GAGGGGCAGGTCAGCAGTGCGGATCCCAGCACCACATCCGTGTGGACACACTGGCACAGGATGATGTGGTGGCCACGGGGCTCATGCACCCCCGTTGTTTGATCACCTCCTTCCCATTCCCAGCCCAGCAGCCAGGAGCTCACAGTGGTGAAGACCCCACAAAGGGATGTGGTGTGATCCCACTGACAAAGCTCAGGGGCTGCTGGTGCTGCTGCAGGGGCGTGCCCAAAACCAGGACACTGGTGGTAGTGTGTGCAGTCAGAGCACCACTGGGGCGCTTTAAGCATGGTGCAGTGCAGCTCAGCTCCAGAGCAGCAGCCCTGGGCTCCTCTGCAGGTGCTTCTAAAACAGAGCAAGTTCAGGTTGGATCTAAGGCAGAAGCTCTTCCCTGTGAGGGTGCTGAGGCGCTGGCACAGGGTGCCCAGAGAAGCTGTGGCTGCCCCATCCCTGGCAGTGTTCAAGGCCAGGTTGGACACAGGGGCTTGGAGCAAGCTGCTCTAGTGGAAGGTGTCCCTGCCCGTGGCAGGGGTTGGAGCTGGAGGAGCTTTAAGGTCCCTTCCACCCAAACCATTCCATGACTCTGTGACTCCCTCAGAGGCCTGGCCAGCCCCAGAGGAAGCAGGGATGCTCCCATGCATTGGGATACTCTGCCCAAAGGCACTGGGAACGGGGCACCTGCCCACGCATGGACAGCACGTGTCCACGGGGCATGCTGCTGGGACGGGTGCAGCCGCTGCTGTGCGGCAGCCGGAGGGACCCGCATTCCCGGCTCAGTCCGGGGCTCGGGGCTGGGCACTGCGGGTGCAGCTCCCCACGCTGCTCTGGGGAAGGGGAGAGTTTATACAAGACATTGAAGCTTTAAGCCCAGGCACCATAAATAGTCTATTTTTCAAGGGCTCCGAGTCAGTTGTAGGCTGGGAGCCAGAGGCGAAATTTGGCAGCTGTCTTTGTTTAATGATGAATTAAAATGAGGTAACAAACCGAGACAGATCTATTAAGGAGGGTATTTGCAGCGTCAGGACAGGATTCCAAATGGCTGATTTCTCCCCCCCTCCCCTTTTAATCTTTCAACTTCTCCTTAGGAAAACAAGCTCTTCCTGCAGCCGGGGCTGTGTCCCTGCAGCGGGAGAGAGCTGTGGCCGGGCCGGGCTTTATCTTTATGGTCCCTCTTCCTTTAAACAAAGCATCCCTCTGCACAGATTTTTCCAGTTTGGAAATGTTATGAAGACCTTGAAGTAAACTTCAATGGAGAGACCCTTGGCTGTGACAGAGGCAGGAGGGGGGAAGCTTTGCACATCCCTCCGGCTCCGTGCCGGCCTCTGCCATGCAACAAGGACTGGAACGGGAATGATGGAGGCAAAGGGGTGGTTTTCAGGCTCTTTTCCCCATGCTCTGGACCCATATCCCCACCATGCTGTGGGGCAGCAGCACACAGCAGTGGGCACCATGGGGAGGAAGTGACGGAAGGGTGGTGCGGATGGAGCCTGGGAGGGTTGTTCCCATCGATCCTTCCCATGACACTGGATTCGTTCCTAGCCCCCAAACCCAAGTGGAGCACGAAGGTGCCTCACTTGGGGGTGCCCATGGCCAGAGGAGGGTTAAAGCGTCTGGAGAGGTCCAGGAGCAGGTCTTGGGGGGGTGTGAAACAGGTTCACCCTCCCCAAGGCTCGCAAGGCTTAGCCACATGGGAAAGCACCCAAGTATGAGGAAAAGGGAAAAACATCCCAAAATAGTTTAGTCTTGTTTTGTGCACTGAGACGCCCAGACAGGGTGGGAGTTCTGGTTGTGTCTGAGCTAAAAATTACAGTCAAGAGAGAAGTGGCTGCAAAGCCCCATGCTCTGGATAAGGAGGACATGTGCAAACGCCGTCCATCAGGGCAAAGACATGCTGGGATGAAGGTCCATAAATAAAGGAGGAAGGGGATGGAGTCAAACGAGCTCTGTGCTGAGGGGTGAGCCCTCACCCGCCTGCTGACATCTGTCTGCTTCCCATGGGATGACAGGGAGCAAGGGAAAACAGCTCCGTACGCAGGGAGGGCTCTGGGCAGAGGTGGGACCCCACATCCTGCTCCGCACACAGGCTCAGGACCACAGAGCCCTTCTGGCAGCAAAGGGGGCTGGTTCTGCGCCACTGGTGGCCAGGATGGGCCTGCTGGGGTTGTGCTGCTCTGCACCCCAGCACGTGGCAGGGAGAGCCCAGTGTAAAGACTGGTGTGACCGGGAGGAGGGGATGGGGATGATGGGGTGGTTATCGCAAGAGATCCAGGGCATTTGCTCCTGCTGGATCCGCTCCTGCAGCACACAAGCGATGCAAGGATGGGGAGCAGGGGCTGGGGCGAGGCAGACTCAGGTAGGAGGAAGGTCACTGCTCCTCCTTGGGAGTCACTCCCCCAGGGACGAAAAGGGGGATGCGCTCCATGGATGCTCCATAGCTCAGTTTAACTGCTCAGGGGTTGCCCACACCGGGCACCAGCTTCAGGCCCCACGGCAGGTCCCGGGCTCTCCACGCTGCGGCTGGAGGGCGGCTGGCCCAGCGGTGAGGGTGGGAGCGGAGCTGGTCCCGGCTCCCACGTGTGCCCAGTGCATCAGGGGCCCACGGCCGGGGCCTCGGCTCTGGGGTGAAATGGTCACACGCTGCAGGAGGCTGCTCCCGGAGGGGACGGGGCACCCGTGGGGCAGAGGAGCTGCGGGTGCTGGAGCTGGCTCGGGACATGGGGCAGGGCAGGGGGAGCAGGGCGGTGGGGAGGGGGCAGAAGGAGGGGCAGGGGCAGCACGGGATGTGCGGAGGGGACGCGCAGGGGATCCCTCGTCACCCCCTGAGGCCCCGACGGCACCTTCCCTCCGCGGCGGAGGGCAGCGGCGGCGCCGGCGGGAGCGCGGCGCCATCTACAGCCGGACCTGGGTACTGCAGGGCCCGGCCCCCGGCTCCTCTGCTGTGGGGCGGCCCCGAGATCCCGCACACTGAGTCACAGAAGGGATCTTAAAGCTCCTCCAGCTCCAACCCCTGCCACGGGCAGGGACCCCTTCCACTGGAGCAGCTTGCTCCAAGCCCCTGTGTCCAACCTGGCCTTGAACACTGCCAGGGATGGGGCAGCCACAGCTTCTCTGGGCACCCTGTGCCAGCGCCTCAGCACCCTCACAGGGAAGAGCTTCTGCCTAAGAGCTCATCTCAGTCTCCCCTCGGGCAGGTTAAAGCCATTCCCCTTGGCCTGTCCCTACATCCCTTGTCCCAAGCCCCTCTCCAGGTTTCCTGCAGCCCCTTCAGGCACTGGAGCTGCTCTCAGGTCTCCCCTTCAGGAGCCTTCTCTTCCCCAGGCTGACCCAGCCCAGCTCTCTCAGCCTGGCTCCAGAGCAGAGCTGCTCCAGCCCTCGCAGCAGCTCCACTGCCTGCTCTGGACGCTCTTCAACAGGTCCCTATGTCACTATGGGGGTGTCCCTACTTCTGACAGCAAATCCATTGGGATGTGACCTCTCACCTAAAAGAAGGGCCAAAACTGTAAAATAAAAGACTTTTTGTCCTGAATGAACCAGTCTTTGGAATCCCTTCCAGCGTGTGAGCTGCCCCAAAACACTGCAGCTGGAACAGCACGGGCCACTCGAGTCAGAGCCCTGAAGAAGCTTTTGTGCTCCCAAAGGTGTGGAAACAAATGCATTAAGGCCCCCCCCCCCAAAAAAAAAAAAAAAACAACACAAAAAACACAAAGCTCTTTTCATGTTTCCTAATGATTCACCTGAGCATAAAATCATCCTCATGGGGAGGAAGCGATGCAGCAGTGGGGAGGGATGCCCAGAGAGAGAATCCACCTCTAGGAACCTTCAACTTCTATTGGGAAGCAATATAGGATCTAAAGTGATGTTTCCCTTCCTATGTGGCTGCAGGGAGCAGGGCCAAGTGCTGGGAGTGAGCTTTAGGCTGCAGGGCTCTAATGTGGAAAACATGCATGAACAGAGCTTGCCTTTCAAAGCAACAAGCCTTTTATTTCATCCAGAAGTGGGAAAAGCAGGGAAAACCACCACGTTAATTGGTGTGAAGAGATGGGAGTCAGAAGAAGGGGAACTGGTGAGCTATAGATCTGCAGGAAGACTGGGCACAGATGTACAACAGCCACGGCAAGATGAGGTTTGGACAGGTCCCCACTCAAAGCGCTTGCTTGGATCACTGGAAAAGAAAGGGAAGAGCATTGGCATTAAGAATAAAGGGAGACTGTTTTGAAAGCAAAGCCCTGAGGAAGATAAGGCTCGCCTTTGGAAGCAAGGAAGGGATATTGATGATCAGGATTGTTTATGTTGGGGTACTCCGGTTACAGCACAGTGTAGAGCAGCAAACACGAAGCCTCAGAGGGCTCGGAGGGGGTGTAGAGAACTCAAGGATAAGCACAGCTGCGGCCTGAGTGCTCGGTGCTTGTGAACAGCACCTGAGCAAGGCTCCTGTGGAGGCGCAGCTTGTGAGCAACGGGGAAATGGTGGCGTGGGTTCTGAGGGACCTTGGGAGGGCTGAGCTCTGGCTCAGCCCCGCGGCCACGGGGTTTATCCAGCCTGGTCTGACCACGAGCTCTGAGTGACACGTCAAGAGGAAACGGCCTCAAGCTGCACCAGGGCAGGTTTAGATGGAGCTGAGGAACAATTCCTGCCCCAGAGGGTGCTCAGGCATTGGAACAGGCTGCCCAGTGCAGGGCTGCAGTCACCGTCCCTGCAGGTGTTCACACAGCGTGGGGACGAGGCCTCAGTGCCATGGGTTAGGGGTGGCCTTGGGCGCAGCTGGACCGGATGAGCCTAAAGGTGTCCCCCTTGTCCTGACAGCGCGGGGAGCGGGGCTCGGCCCCTCCAGGGCCGCGAGGCCACCGAGCCCCAACACCCCCCCCTGGGGCCCCGGCCCCTGCCGGCGGCCACACGGGCTTGGGGCGGCGGACGGGCGTGGAGCAGAACCGGGTTTCTCGCTTCTCATTGGCTGTCCCCCGTCACATGGCGGGGCGCGGGGCCGCCGCGGAGGCGCTGTGCGGATGTGGGCGCTGTGGCGGGCGCTCGGCCCCGCGCGGCGCGGGGCGGGCAGGGCCATGGCGGACACCGGCGCCGCGGCCTCCTCGGCGGCGCGGCCCGCGCGGCGGCCCCGGGACGTGCCGCGCCACGTGTGGGCCCGCGAGCGGCGGCGGAGCGCGGGCACGGGCCTGGCCGGGCCTAACACCGTCTACGTGCAGGTGGTGGCGGCCGGGAGCCGCGATGCCGGAGCCGCCGTTTACGTGTTCTCCGAGTTCAACCGGTGAGTGCGGGGCCGCCGGAGCCGGGAGCCCCCGTCCGGGCCCGCCCTGAACCCCCCTCTCCCTTCCCCTTCAGGTACCTCTTCAACTGCGGCGAGGGCACGCAGCGGGCCATGCAGGAGCACAAGTAAGTGCGGGCAGGCGGGGGGGAGCCCGGGGGCCGCGGCGGGCCCTGCTCACCGCTCCCGCCCCGTGTTCCCCCCCCCCCCCCCCCAGGCTGAAGATCTCGCACCTGGACAGCATCTTCCTGAGCCGGGTGGCCTGGGCCAACGTCGGGGGGCTGCCAGGTGAGCGGGGCGGGCTGGAGCCGGCCGTGGCGCTGGGAGCTGCCCGGGGTGCGGAGGGGAAGCGCGGTCACGGCGGGGTGTGCCCGCGGCGGTGCGGCCAGGGGGAAGGGGGAGGTGCAGCCCCGGCCTCACCGGCCCGAGTCATGGAACGGTTTGGTTTGGAAGGGACCTTAAAGCTCCTCCAGTTCCAACCCCTGCCAGGGGCAGGGACACCTTCCTTATAGCCCCCTTCAGACACTGGAAGCTGCTCTGAGGTCTCCACACAGTTTCTCTTCTCCAGGCTGAACAGCGCCAATGCTATCAGCCTGTCTCCATACAGGAGGTGCTCCAGCCCCGATCATCCTTGTGGCCTCCTCTGGACTTGCTCCAGCACCTCCATGTCCTTATATTGAGGACACCAGAACTGCACACGATGCTGCAAGCGGGCTCTCAGGAGAGCAGAGGGGCAGGATCACAGAGGGGCAGGATCACCTCCTTCGACCTGCTGCTCACACTCCTGTTGATGCAGCCCAGGATACGGTTGGTTTCTGGGCTGCGAGCACACACTGAAGCCGGCTCATGTTAAGTTTCTCATCAGCCGATCTGCCAGAGCAGAGACGTTACCAGCCTGGCACTGCCGGCATGGGCTGCTCCTGAGTTACAGGCACCTCCTGGGCCTTCTGCCCCGCTCCTGTTCTCAGTGCAGGGTGAAATTAAAGAAGGTCCCTTCTTGTCCCTCTGCTCTGCTCTGGTAAGCTCCCACCTGCAGTGCTGTGTCCAGCTCCTGAGTCCTCAGCACAGGAAGGATGTGGATGTGTTGGAGAGGGTCCAGATAAGGACCACAGAAAGGGTCAGATGGATGGAGCATCTCTCCTGTGAGGAAATGCTGGGAGAGCTGGGCTGGTTCAGCCTGGAGAAGACTCTGAGGAGACCTTATTGCAGCCTTTCAGTTCTTAACGGGGACCTGTAAGAAGGATGGCAGGGCCTGTTGTGGTAGGATGAAACGAGGAAGATTCAGGCTGGATGTGAGGAAGAAATTCTTTACACTGAGGATGGTAAAACGCTGGCACAGATTGCCCAGAGAGGTGATGGATGCACCATCGCCGGAGACAGTCAAGGCCAGGCTGGATATGCTTCTGGACAGCCTGGTCTAGTGGAAGGTGTCCTTGCCCATTGCAAGATGAGCTTTAAGGTTCTTCCACCCCAAAGCAGTTTGGGATTCATTAAAACTGGAAGTCTTCCAGGAAGGAGCACCTCGACAATCCATGCAGGTAACTGGCTCTAAATTGTGACTGTCAGGATTTGGGAATCTTTTCCTTATCTTCTGCTAAGTGGCTTGTTGAAACTGCCACAAAGCTGAGGTGAAATTGAGTTTGGATCCCAGTTCAATTCCAGCCTTCCTGGAGAGAACCAGCACTCCTTTAGGGATCTTTCTTCACTATCCACCAGCGCTTACAGGGCTGTGATAAAGCTGTTTCTCCCTTTCTTTTAGGTATGATTCTCACATTAAAGGCTATGGGGCTTCAAAGATGCGTTTTCCTAGGGCCACCAAAGCTGGTAAGTGGGGAAGCTTGAAGAAGGGAACCCTTCTAGTGTTAAAGCTGACCTTGGAATTGAGAGAGCTGGTAGAACAGGAGTGAATCATCATACAGGTGGAAAGTGCTGGTCTGAGCAAGTGCCAGCCTGAAGGTTCTGCCAAAGGGCTGGCTTTGAGAAGCAAATCTCTTCAGTTACATACAGGACAGCATCAGACTGATGCTCCTTGAGCCTGTCTTGTCAGCTGAGGTTCTAGTAACTCATGTTTCCTCCAAGGGCAGCCTTTGTTCTCCCATCTGCTTCCTCTCAATGTTCTTTTAATAGAAACTTGGTCTCTGATCTCCTGCTTAATGTGCTGCTTGCCAGACTAATGCCATGACTAGGCTGGTCATTCCCAGTCCTCAGCACTATTTCATTTCCTTACAGTTTCTGCTGACTACATTGCTGGAAAGGATGGGGAGAGTGGTTCTTGGGTTTCTTTCCTCTTTCTAGAGGAGCAATGCCCATGGGATGTGGGAACCTGCCCAGTGCTTTCTGGCTGGCTGTGTGCTGCCCAGGTTTTGCCTGACATGGTGCAAAGCCTTTGACTTCACTGAAAGGAACTGATATGCTCTCTCTTTTCCAGCAAAACTATTTGAAAGCGATTCGGCAATTCCCTGGGCCCCTAAAAAGAATGGATTTAGGTATGTGGGGAGTGATGTTTAGTGAATATGAGCTTGGAATGGTTTTGTTTCAGCTGTAGCCGAGGTTGCATCAAAAAGTCACACCTGCAGGATAGAACCTCTGTTTTAGATCCACTCAGTTTTAAGCCTTTGTTTTGCTCTGATACCCGCTTCAGATCCATAGATAGTTTCCAGCTCTGTTTCTGGTAGGCCATGGCCAGTCTGTTGGACTATTAGACAGCATTGTTTTAAACCACTGTGAAGGCAATTTGCTTGCAGAGTCTGGCAGTGAACTACCTTCCCATGGGGTCGTGGACTGCTTCTTGTGGATATTGGGCTTTTAAGGCGTAATTACTCAATCTTTACAGTTGGGCAGAGAAGGGAAGGAGGGGGATATTCATCAGGCTTTGTTTAAGAAAGATACAAGAGTTTTTCCTGATTGAAATCTCCTTCTGAGCCTGTTAATGCCAGTTCCTGATCTCTTTCCAGCCGTGCAGCTGCACACAGAGCCTGAGTATAAGGATGAGACGATGACAGTCCACCAGATACCTCTTGCAGGTGAGCATGTGAGGCTGTAGTCACGCAGGAGAAGCGCTTGTTCACTAACCACGCTCAGGGTGGCTTCTGGTTGCAAGCCTGAGTAAGATGTCTATTAAGCTGCATGTGTTTCTCAGGAAGAGAATCTCCTTCAAAGAGACAGGACCTGCTGAGTCGGGGCTTTGGATTGTTCCTTTAGGTGTGGGTGTGTAGAATGACCTTGAACTGTTGCTGTGTTCAGCTTTCTGTGGTCTCTTACTGCTGGGAGCTGTGATTCCCATAGTGCAGGCACAGACTTGACAGAGTTGAGCCATTCTGACAGTTGGACTGTGGAGTTGGATGGTGGATGGCTCCTGAAATGTGACTGGATTATGCAAGCACAAGTCAGACTGGGGGGGAGGAGCCTTGTGTTCTGGTCAAGAAGCATTCCCTCTTCCATATCTGTCCCTTGGGATTGAGTGATTTTTCTCTGGTTTTATTGGATTTGGGACAGGAAAGCCACAAGCTGCTGAAAGTATGTTGCCTCAGAGTCCTGGAGCATCAACCCAAGGTGGAAATAGCCCTAAAGGAGATGCAGGTCCTGGATCCCCAAGAGCTGCACAGCAAAGCTTGGAGAAAGGCAAGGAAGAAGAAAGCCCAAAGGAAAGAGGTGAAAAAGAAATGGTATTCCCTTTTTAACTTTAATGAAAGGATGCCCAGTTAAGGAGATGTATTTGTCCTCCAAGCTGCTTGCTGTCTGGAAGTAAGGTCCATAGAGAAGCTCAGCTGAAGGAGCAGGATGTGTTCTGTCACTTTGGAAGTTGACACGGAACTAATAAGGCATAGAGATTGGGCACGATTCCAGCTTGGGGTGGGGATAGCCCCTGTAGTAGTTTGCCGCTGGCTGGAGTGGGTGCTTCAGCCTGTGTCATGTAATTACAAGGGGATGTTTGGATTAGTTACTTGTCAGTCTTGGGCTTTAATTTGGTTTCTCCCAGCTGAAGCCGTGGGCTTTCTGCCTTTAGGCTCATTCAGCATTCTGCTGCTGGGCTGGAAGATGTTGCTCCTGTTGGTGCTTTAGCAAACATGGACGCATTTTGGTTTTAAGGAAGAATGGTAGTGATGATTGTGAGTGGTCTTTTGCTCTCTTTTACAGGTGCTGAACAGAAGTGTGCAGGCAGGCACCCTGACCTGGTCATGGCTTTCCTTTGTAAAGTAAGCTTGGGCATAAAGGTATCAAAATCGGTGTAGAATAGAAGAGTATTTCAGTTGGAAGGGATCTTCAACAGTGACCTTGTCCAACTACCTGATCACTTCAAGGCTGTGCAAGCATGTTATTAAGGGCATTGTCCAAACCCTTCTTAAATGCTGACAGGCTTGGAGCGTTAACCACCTCTCTGGGAAGCTTGGGCCAGGGTTTTCCACCCTTTCTGTTAAGAAATGATTCCTAATGTCATTAGGACATCTTGCTAAACAGATCTAACTCGAGATGACATTTTCCAGCAGGGCATTGAAGCTGTTTTGTGATGCTGCTCTTCAGAGTGGCTGGAGCATGAAGAAGAATGTGTGAAAGCTGGAGGCATATTTGAGCAGTGTTCTTTATAGAGCAGCCAACTATGAGTGGACAGGTTCCATTCTTGCTTCATGCTTACAATGGGGAAATCTGTACTGCTCCCTTGGCTAAAGAAATATGCAAGAAGCAGCTACAGCATCTTGGAGACAAAAAAGTCTCTTCTGGGGAAAATGAGACCAGTGGAAATCCATGGATCTTGTTTCCCATCTCTCTTATTTGGCTGGTAATTCTGCTTTGCTTCTTCCTTTCAGATTCACCCCAGGAAGGGAAAATTCCTGGCAGCTAAAGCACAGGAGATGGGCCTGCCAGTGTGAGTATGGGATCCCAGCTGGGTGATTGGGAAACCCCAGGCACATTGCTGGCAAGCTGAATGTTTCCATGCCCTTTGTTTCAGGGGAACTCCAGCCATTTTTCCCATAATCACAGCTCTCAAGAATGGGGAGAGCATCACTTTTGAAGGCAGAGAGGTAAGATGTGGCTGTGCTTTGTGCCTTGGCTTTGCCATCCTCCCTCCTTCACCAGGCTCCCGGGGGAATAATCTTTTTGTGTAGATTTTGCCTACCAGTAATTACTGGGACATGGGGTGGGTTTTTACACCCATTTTTGAGGGACCTTAAAGCTCATCCAGCTCCAACCCCTGCCATGGGCAGGGACACCTTCCACTAGAGCAGCTTGCTCCAGGCCCTGTCCAGCCTGGCCTTGAACACTGCCAGGGATGGGGCAGCCACAGCTCTGGGCACCCTGTGCCAGTGTCCCACCAGTGATTTCTGCCTGTTCCCTCTCACCCCTCCTTGGTGTGGTTTTTGCTGGTTTGGAGCTTTGAGTGGCTAATGGTGAGTGACTGCTCCCTGTTCTGCCTGAATGTGGCTCCTGTGGGGAGCATGAGTGGGGCTGTGGCAGGGTGTGATGAAGGAGGTGTGCTCTGAAATGAATTCACTTGTGCTTATGGCTGTGTGGCTGCTGGTTGTCAGAGCTTCTTACCTCCCCTGCCCGAAGCTGATGCAGTTCTAGGAGTGCATTAGTAGAGTTAATCCCTGCATGGGTTGGACGCTGGTGTAGCTGTCACTCCCTCCTTGCTCTGGTTGCTCCTCTTGCACCAAAAGAAGTCCAGTGGCTCCTGTGTGCAGGGTCTTCATGTCTCAAACACTAGTGTGAAGTGAGAGGCAGAGCCAGCTCTGGCCATGTCACAGGTGATCTGTAAGTGAAGATCCTAACCTGGGAGATGTGACTGATGTATGTTTGTGTCATAAGAATTCCACAAAGTATTTTCTTAATCATGCTTTTGCTCCTGTCTGAAGCTGCCATGGGTACCTGGCAACTGCCGAAATTCCCTTCCTCTGTGTTATGTTGGGATTTGCTCCAAGACCACAGTTGGGATTTGTTGTTGCACAGCAAAATGCAGACATGTGTAGCGAGAGCAGAAAGGGAACAAGAACTGCATTGGTTGGTTTGCTGAGCATTGGGAGTTGCTGCTGGAGCTGATGTAACAGCTCCCTAAAGAACCATGGAATGGTTTGAGTTGGAAGGGACCTTCAAAGTTCATCCAGTCCAACCCTGTGCAATGAGCAGGGACATCTTCTAGATCAGGTTGCCCAGAACCACAGTCAGCATGGCCTGGAATGTCTCCAGGGATGGGGCATCCACCGCCTCTCTGGAGTCAAACACAGTGATGCAGGAAGTTGTGTGTATAACCTGATGGTGGTGTGGTCTGTGTGTATCTGCCTGCAGCTCTTTCCTGAAGAACTGTGCGCCCCTGGTGACCCTGGCCCAGTGTTCATTGTGCTGGAGTGTCCCCACGAGGGCTTTGTGGATGCTGTGTGTGACAACGAGACCTTCCGAAGGTAACGGGGTGGTGTGGGGGGCACATCTATGCCAAAGAGAAGCTCTTATTCTGGTGGTTCTTGGGGCTGATGTCTGTGCTCCTTGGCACTATTAAGGAGGTAGAGACCCAGGAAAGGCCTGGTGGTGTGTTGAGCCTTTTAGGAAAGGCAGGGCTGTGCAGGACCTGTGGGGTTCTGTCATGGTCACAGGCTGCTCTTCCCTTAGGAGCCTTCAAAGAAGGTCATGTGCACTGGAAGGCAGCAGTGCAGAGACTGCTGCTTCCCTGTGCAGTAGAAGCCTGGGCTGCGTGTAGCATCTCTGCAGGGCTTGTGCAGAAGCATGGCAGGCTCCTGAAAGGCTCTGCAGGTCTTGCTCTTGGAGGAGAGGAACTGCCCTGGGGACAGAGCGCAGGTGGCAGCAAAGGCAGGCTTAGGCCTTGTGGAGCCTTGAGCTTCCTGTGCTCTGCCTGCTGCAGGGGGCATCTCTGACAGCACTCACACGGGAGAGGGGAGGCCAAGGTGATGGAGGCTGAAGCTCAGGTGCTCTCTATTTGAACGTGCCCCAGGTACCAGGAGGGAAATCCTGAGCATCAGGTGGCCTTGGTTATTCACATGACTCCAGAGGCAGTGCTTCGAGACAGCCGCTACCAGCAGTGGCTGCAGAGGTGGGTGATCTCATTCCTGGAGTGTCACTGATGGGCAGCAGCATGTTCTTATCATGTTGATAAGAGCATCGTCCCAGAACGGAAAGAGCTGTTGGCTGGCAGTAGGGCTCTGCTGGCTCGGATGCACGCATATGCCAACTCTAATGTCGGACTGAAGCCATTGTGCCCTTTGTTGTCCTCTTGCAGATTTGGACCCGGAACTCAGCACTTGGTGCTCAATGGGAACTCCTCTGCCGTGCACAACCCACGCAGCTACAAGATCCAAACTCAGCTCAACCTCATCCACCCTGAGATCTTCCCTCTGCTCAGCACCTACCAGAGCAAGGTAGGCCAAGCCCTGAATGCTTGTTTTTCATGCTCCTGAGCAAAGAACATGTTTAATGTCGCTCTTCTCCCTGCAGGAAGAAGAGGCTGTGTGTAGCGTGCCCATTGTACGAGGAGAATGCCTCTTGAAATACCACTTCAGACCCCAGCAGGAGTGGCAGAGGTCGGTGGGAATCTGTGGTTGCTGGTTTTGGGGTGTTCTGGGTGAGTCTGTGCTGAGGGTGGATGGGGGGGGGCGGGCTGGTGTCCTTTGCACATTCCTCCTGGTGGCTGTGCTGGGGTAGCTGCTAAGCTGTCAGTTGTGTGCCTGTCCCAGGAAGTCTCAGACAAGGTGTAGGACGTGGTCTGGAGTGCTGTTTCTGTCGCTCTTGTAGCCTCCTGCACTGCTCTGCCCTTTGCTTTAACCTTGTGCACTGTGCACACAAGTGTGGCTGTGGCAGAGCAGGCGGTGGCAGGGAGAGACTCTCTGGGGAGCCTGGTAAAAGTCCTGCTGGGCTTTCTGGGTCTTCAGAGGGTGCCAGAGCTGTGCTTGAACACTTGCAGACTTCCCTGGTGCTTGTTTTGTGGGCAAGTAGGTGAAGCTGCTCAGTGAGGAGCTTAAGGGCAGGGACCACATGGGGATAGCAGCTACCATGGCTCGAGCTTCTGGCTCTGTTGGGCAGAATAGAACACAGATGCAGTCACCACATGGGAGGGAAGGGATGGGAACCAGAGGGACACTTGAGAGGTGGGACAGCGCGAACCACATGAAGTTCAACCAGGCCAAGTGCAAGGTCCTACCCCTGGGTTGGGGCAATCCCAGGCACAGACACAGGTTGAACAGAGAAGGACTTGGGAGTATTGAGTGAGAACATACTGAACATGAGCTGGGTTCAGTGTGTGCTTGAGCCCAGAGCACCACCATGTGCTGGGCTGCACCCCCAGAGCGTGAACAGCAGCTCAGGGAGGGGATCCTGTCCATCTGCTGCTCTCTGGGGAGACCCTGCTTGCAGCACTGTGTGCAGTGCTGGGGTCCTCAACATCAGAAGGACATGGAGCTGTTGGAGCAAGTCCAGAGGAGGCCACGAGAATGATCAGGGGCTGGAGCAGCTCCTGTATGGAGACAGGCTGAGAACATTGGGGCTGTTGAGCCTGGAGAAGAGAAGCTGCGTGGAGACCTCAGAGCAGCACCCAGCGTGTGAAGGGAGCTAGAAGGATGCTGGAAAAGGGACTCTTCATCAGGGACTGGAGCGATAGGACATGGGGTGAAGGGTTCAAACTGAAACAGGGGAGATTTAAATATAAGGCAGAAGCTCTTCCCTGTGAGGGTGCTGAGGCGCTGGCACAGGGTGCCCAGAGAAGCTGTGGCTGCCCCATCCCTGGCAGGACACAGGGGCTTGGAGCAAGCTGCTCTAGTGGAAGGGGTCCCTGCTCGTGGCAGGGGGTTGGAACTGGATGAGCTTTAAGGTCCCTTCCAACACAGGCCAGTCTGGGGTTCTGTGACTGTTGTAAGGCTGTTTTGGCACACTGTGCTTGGACGAGTGCTGTCTTTTCAGTTCCAACCCTGCCCCATCCTGCTCCTGGTCTGTTCTTGCAGAGATGCTGTGACTGTCTGCGATCACGACGCGTTTGTTAGTGAAGCTTTGGACCTCCCTGACTTCCAGGCCCGAGTGAAGGAGTGTAGAGAGAGCCTGGCTGCTGTTCCAGGTGAGAGTCAGCAACTTGTCTTGGATCGGTGTAATGGGAAGTAGGTGGTCTTGGTGACCCACTGCCTTAGAACCCAGACAAAGCTGTGAACATACAGTTTTCCTGAGACCTTAAAGATGCTTTTAAGTCCTCCTGGAGCTGTACAGAGGCCAGGCTTAGTGCAAATGGAGTTGTCTTGCTTCAGTTGGGTTTAGGCCATCTTGTGCTTCTGTTTTTCTGAAGCTGCTGGGTTTGGGGACTGAGCACTGCTGGGGGCAGAGACAAAGCAGCCATGGATTCTTGCTCCAAGCTGAGCAGAGCCCTGCTCATGTTGGGTGCTGTCGTAACAGCCACAGTGTGAGTCTTCGTGTCCTGGCTCTAGATCCAGCTCTCTGGGAGGCACTCTCCTCCAAATCCCAGTTGTCCTGTCAGCAGTGATGCTCCCATGGTATGGCAGAGCACCACTCACTGCCTGCATCCTGATTCTGGGCCAGAGTCAGGGCAGTGCAGAACAGGAGGAATCAGGTCACTGCTGAGCTGCCAGCTCTGTCATTGAGCAGAGGCCTTGTCTGCCCACCTCTGGATATGCACTTGACTGTGATGTGTGCTCTTGGTGATGCTCATTCTGTCTTCCCTCATACACCTTAGTGCTGTAGGAAAGCTTGAGGCTGAGGGAAGCAAAAAACACACTGGACATGAAGACCATGGAGTTACCAGGCTCTTGAACTCAGTGGTGTCTGACTGGGCAGGATGTGGATAAAATTGCCTGAAAATCCTTCTGTTTTCTCCAGGAAATATGGGTGCTTATCCTGAAATTGTGTTCTTGGGAACAGGATCTGCAATTCCAATGAAGATCCGAAATGTCAGTTCCACGCTGGTAAATACCAGGTAAATCCCAGTGCCACGCATGCTGCTTGGGCCGGCTCAGTGTCTCAGAGGGCTGTTTTGATGACACAGGGAGAGTGCCCCTCTTGTGAAGCCTGTAGGACTTGTGTCAGGCCCCTGTGTCTCTGTAGGGGAAGACCTGAGAGCCACCTGTAAAGCCAAGCATTCAATGTTTGTGAAGCCAAACATAAATCTCATTTCACCGTCTGCTCCGAGGGTGTGTTCAGCATTAATACGAGAGCACAATGAGCTGTGCAGGCAGAACAGTCTTTCTAAACCCATGGCTAGTAGAGCTGGAGTTGCATTTAGAGGTTTAGAGCACTGAGAGCTCTGTGCCTTAGAATCATAGGATCACAGAATGGTTTGAGTTGGAAAGAACCTTAAGATCGTCCAGTTCCAGCCCTCTGCCATGGGCAGGGATGCCTCACTAGACTGTCTCACCCAAGGCTCTGTCTAGCCTGGCCTTGAACACTATCAGGGATGGGGCATTTACCACTTCTGGGCACCCTGTGCCAGGGCCTCATCACCCTCACAGGGAAGAACTTCTGCCTTACACCTAACCTGAACTTCCCGTTTCAATCTGAACCCATCACCCCTTGTCCTGTCATTACAGTCCCTGATGAAGAGTCCCTCTCCAGCATCCAACCCAACAGATCCCCTCCCTGAGTGGGCCCTGGGCAGAGCTCATGCAGTGCCCACTGTCATTGTCACTTGTCTTGTCAGCTCTACCCACTCCCTGCTCTTGGACTGCGGAGAAGGAACCTTTGGACAGCTCTGTCGCCACTACGGAGAGCAAGTTGACCGGGTGCTGTGTAACATAGCAGCTGTGTTTGTGTCTCACATGCACACTGACCACCATTCGGTAGGTGGGGGGGGTTGGAAGGAGATGGGCTCCTGTCCAGGCCTGCTTTGCTCCTTGGGGTTTGGGAGTAACTTATGACTACAGGCTGCCCTGCTGGCAGGGATGCCTGTATTCATCTCCTCTGCATTCCTAAGGCACTATTGAACCTCTCTGTTTCTCATCCCCTCTCCCTTTCAGTTAGGGGTCCCTGCAGATTTGCTGGGACCATTTGGAGCTGCAATAGTTTAGCAGTGTCCAGCCCAGCTTGCTTCAGTGCTCTGCAGTCACTGCTCAAAGGAGGGCGAGTTGCTGTTGTAGGTTGGGCCTGATCAGGGCCTTTGCTGGCCTGCTGCCTTGTGCCTGGAAAGCACAGCAGCACTGGCAAGGGCTGAGGGGCTGCTGGCCACTGGCCTGGGGTAGGAGCAGTGCCACTGTTCCCACAGCTCAGCAGTTTGCAGTTACTGGAAAGGAGCTGTCATCTATTCCTGACTATAGACCTTCCAGGCGCTGCAGCGAGCTGGGGTAGCGCTGTTGTTACTTCCACCCCAGACATCTCTGCAGCTTTGTGTCTTGTTCACTCCCTTTGCAGGGGCTGCTGCACATCCTGATGGAGAGGCGGAAAGCTTTTGTAAGTAGTGCTGCTGTTTCACTGCCCCGCACCTCGCCTTAGGGCGAGGGGAGGGAACTTCAGAGCAGTGAAAAAGCACCATCCTTTCCCTTGGTATTTCATCTCCGATTTGGTGTATATCTGGTATTGAGTTTGGTTTTTTCCCCCGCTTTTGCTTTTCCAGGCAGCCCTTGGTCAGCCTTTCAGCCCCCTGTTTCTGGTAGCACCTGAACAGATCATGCCATGGTTACACGAGTACCACAACCACTGTGAACTGATTCTTGGAGACATCAAGTGAGTGTTCTGTGTGGTATGTGGAGGAATGGCCTTGCTGGGTCCTTACTCAAGGCAAACTGCTGTCATCCATTCCCCAACCCCTTTACTGAAGGTGACTGACTCCTTCTATTGTGTAGAATTAGGATGTGCAGTTTGCAAAGGAGAGGGAGACAGTTTATTACAGTTGTGCTACTTCATAGAGGCCTAAATGCTGCTTCCCCTTCAGAGAGTTGGGGAAGTGAACAAAGATTCCTGGAACAGAGTACTGGGCAGTGGGGGGGAAGTGGTTGGATGAGTTTCTGGGCCACTGGGTAGTGTGAGCCTGCACAAAGGCATCTTGTTTGTAAGGCTGTGAACTGAGGAGAAATCATCTGCTTAGAGACAAGATATTTTCCTTTGTACCTGTCCTTAGTTCTCTCCCCTCCATTACAGGATGATTCCATCCCAGTCCCTTGTGAAAGGCTGTGAGAACATCAAGCCTAAAGCTAAAGAGTTTGTCAGCTCTCTGTTGCAAAGCTACGACTTGGCTGAGGTAAGCTCCTGAGCTGGCAGGGACAGTTGCTGCAAGGGGCCAGGGGGGACCTGAGCTTTAACACTTGTGTCCTTGTTCAGTTTCAGACTTGTGAAGTCCAGCACTGTAAAAATGCTTTTGCATGTGCAATGATCCACAAATCTGGCTGGAAAGTAGTTTACTCTGGGGACACAATGCCCTGCATGGCCTTAGTACAAATGGGTAGGTGACAAACACCCTCTGCTTGAAGAAGGTCTTGGAGAAAGGTCTGGAACTGTTGGTATCCCCTAAACTAGTGGGCACCCCTAGACCCTCGGTGCTGTGCCTGCAACACACCAGGGTTCTAAGAGGGGGAAATGAGAATTCATGCAGGCAGTTGAACCAGTCTGTATTCACCTGAACATTGAATATATGCTTTTTGTACCCAGGTAAAAATGCTACCCTGCTGATCCATGAAGCAACGCTGGAAGATGGCATGGAGAAAGAAGCTATAGAGAAGACACACAGGTAGGGGATGTTCTGCTGTCTCTCACGAGGAAGGCAGAGATGCTGAGCTGGGTTTTGTCCCTGGAGCTGGTGGTGGAGGGCCCAAGTCCTGTACATGGTTCTGGTGTGTGTAGAGCTCCTCAGTACTAAAATGCTGTGTTGCTCATTGCACCAGTTTGAAGCCTTCACAGCTCCTCTGAAAGTCCCCAGAGAGTAGTAGATTGCGGTAGCTCTACAAATAGCCTAGCCCAAAGGCAAGGCCCTCTGCTTGATTATATGGAGGACTAAACTCAGGAGGTAGAAGATTATTAGGCAGGAATTCTTCCCTGTGAGGGTGCTGAGGCGCTGGCACAGGGTGCCCAGAGAAGCTGTGGCTGCCCCATCCCTGGCAGTGTTGAAGGGCAGGTTGGACACAGGGGCTTGGAGCAAGCTGCTCTAGTGGAAGGTGTCGCTGCCTGTGGCAGGGGTTGGAGCTGGAGGAGCTTTAGGGTCCCTTCCAACACAAACTATTACTCTGGAAGAGTCATCTTGTCCCTGCACCCAACTACATAATTTGAGCCAAGTGCTGCAATACCAAGTGTTCCCCCAGCAAAAGTGGGGAGACCTGAGAGCAGCTTCTTAGAATTCCATGTAAGTTGCTGTGCCGGAGCTGGACTTGCTGGCACCCCTGGGGCAAGTACTTGAATAAGCCCTTGTCCCCACTTTGTGGAGCTCTTCAATGCAGAGATCCAGGTAATTGCAGCTGCTCTCATGCACTTGAAGATGTTTGGAGGTCAAACCTGCCACCAGCACAGGTTGCCAGAGGAAGAGGTGTCTGCCTGTGGCTGCAGAGAGCAGGGACACCTCATGCTCCACCCGTGTCAGTAGGACCTGGTGGTGTGTGTGGAGGTGCCCTTGCATGCAGAGCAGCCAGCCCTGACCCTGGAGCAGCAGCACCAGCCAGGCTGTGTGTGAAAGGGACATGGTGCCCTGTTCCTGTTCCTTTGCAGCACAACCTCGCAGGCAATTCAGACTGGGATGAAGATGGGTGCAGAGTTCATCATGCTCAACCACTTCAGCCAGAGATATGCCAAGATCCCGCTCTTCAGTGAAGACTTCAGTGAGAAAGTTGGAATTGCATTCGATCATATGAGGGTAAGTTGGGAGCTTGGAGCCAGCCTGTGGGAAAGGTTTCAGTGTTACTTTGGGAATGGCTGCTCACAAGTTGAATTCTCCACTCGTATCAATACACCATCTCCTTCTGAAGAGTCAGTCTCCTCTGAAAGAGCTCCTTTTGCTGCTAGCAGCAGATGTCAGTGTGGGGAAGGGGTGAGATGGGTGCTGAGGGCTCTTGAGAGTGCTGCTCAGGGATGGGATGGGCATCATATGCTCCTGGCCAGCTCCCCAAAGTTTATATGATGCTCTGTGGTGTGGAATACCCCTTTGGCTAGTTTGGGTCAAGTGTCCTGTCTTTGCTCCCCTTCTTTGCTTCTTGTGCCACTCCTCACTGCCAGAGCATGGGACTGAAAAGTGCTTTGTCAGGTAAATGCTGTTGAGCAACAACTAAAACTCTAAAGCTGAAACTATCTCAGGGCAGTATCCACCCCTATTCAACACCATGTATGTTGTGCCCAGATCCCACACTTTCCAGTACATCATCACCTTTCCTGCCTTATGATCTGTTCAGATATCGTTCTCTTGGCTATGGACAATCTCTGTAAAGTCTGTGGAGTTCATTCAGCCAGACAAGGGGGAATGGGTTTAAATTTAAACAGGGGAAGTTTAGGTTAGTTATAAGGAAGCTCTTTACTGTGAGGGTGCTGAGGCACTGGAATGTGTTACTCAAGGGAGTGGTGAATGCTCTGTCCCTGGCAGTGTTGAAGGCCAGGTTGGACAGAGCCTTGGGTGACATGGTTTAGTGTGATGTGTCCCTGCCCATAGCAGGGTGTTGGAACTGAATGATCTTAAGGTCCTCTCCAATCCAAACTGTTCTATGATAATGGGCTCTTTGACATTTCATATTGCTCCATTTCCACTCTGGAAACTTTGGAATCACGCAGTACTTCTGATGTGAAATTCAGTTTGCTAAGAGCTGAATGTAGGGGGTCTTTAACCAGTGGAAAGGCTGACTTTTGTCCTGTTCAAGTTCAGATAAAGCTACTTTATTACATCTGCAAATCTCCATATTTCAGCAGTTGCCTGATAAATTGAATCAGATTTGATTCCTACACATAGTGCTTAAATGTTCCTTTGGGCTTCATATAACTACGTAGGAATCAGGATGTAAATGAGCCATTAACTGCCGTGAACACTGAATTTGCCCAGAGCTGCACTGACCTGTTGTTCTTTCTGCTGCCTTCGCTCTTTGTTCTGTATTGACTTTCACTGCCCCTTCGTTTAGAAAGCTGAAATTTAGCACAAGTCTTTTGAAAAAGAGTAAATGATCTTGTCAGAGGTATGGTTGAGTGAAGCTCGAGCGCCATCACTAGAGCCCAGTCTGACCATAACACTTCTGATGTCCTCCACTGGACCCTCGGGCTCTGCAGTGAGTGTAGCTCTTGTGGGTTTCTAACAGTGGCCACCATATTCTCCCTTCTCTGTTGGTGCTGCTGATGCCTCTTGCAGAGGACACGGAGGAGCCCAACACTGCTGGTGTTGGATTGAATGCAGCCATAGCAGTGGGAATAGTCACTGATGGAGCGAAACGTGGACAGGACCCACGTCTCGTAGGAATTAAATTGGAGGCAGGAAAACAAAGCTCAGCTCTCATGCAGGTGCTCCTGTGCTTTGTTGCAGGTACGCTTCAGTGACTTCCAGACCATCCCGAAGCTGATCCCACCTCTGAAGGCTTTGTTTGCAGATGACATAGTAGAAATGGAGGAGAGAAAGGAGAAACGGGAGCTGCGGCTCCTGAAAGAGACTGCTCTAATCCTGGAGAAGTTGAGTGCTGGGGAGAACAAGGAGGCACCGTGCCAGAAACGGAAACAAGTCAAGAACCATCAGGAACTTCCAAACAAGAAGCTTAAAAGTGTAAACTGAAAGAGACAGGGGCTGGGGATGCTCTGCAAGGAGAGGTCTTGCTCTGCGGGGCGCAGAGTGTGCAGCGCTGTGAGAGCCATGGAACAGGGCTGGCCTCAGTGTCTGGCTTTGCTTGGTCGTGAGGGATCTCTGTGGGCTGAAGCTGCTGAGCACGCCGTGAGCAGCACGAGGCCTTGTGGTGACAGTATCTGCCCCTGCAGCTCCTGCCCTGGGTCTCACCAGTCCCGCTCTCATTTTTCTTTTAGCCAGAAGTTGTTCTCTCTCAACTGTTTTAATTTGGGTTTTATGCTACAGGCTATGAGTGATGCAAGGGCAGCAGCCAGCCGTGTGCAGCTCAGCTTGGAGAAGCCCTGGAGGTGCCCTGGGTCCACTAGAGTGAGATGGGAAGCTCTCAGGGCTGTGAGGAATGTAACCAGGTATTGGCACCCAGAGGTGTTTGTATCAGCATAGGAGGAAATATCACAATAAAATGGGACCCAATTACTATTTAGGTTAAAGTCAGGATGCGAATGCTGCTGTTCCCATTTTATTGTGGTTTTCTCAGTTTTTTTCCTCCTGTTTTTTCAAATCCTTTATTTAGACTCTGAATAAACCACTGGACATGTGCTAGAGGCTGGGTTCTGTCTGGGTTAGTAATGAGGACTTGGCAGTTCAGACACCTACATGTGCTGGGCTGCACCCCCAGAGCGTGAGCAGCACCTCAGGGAGGGGATCCTGCCCCTCTGCTGTGCTCTGGGGAGACCCCCATCCCCCGCAGTCCTGATCCAGCTCTGGGGCAGCAGCACAAGAGGGACGTGGAGCTGTTGGAGCGAGGCCAGAGGAGGCCATGGAGCTGCAGCGAGGGCTGGAGCAGCTCTGCTCTGGAGCCAGGCTGAGACAGCTGGGCTGGGTCAGCCTGGGGAAGAGAAGGCTCCTAAAGGGGAGACCTGAGAGCAGCTCCAGTGCCTGAAGGGGCTGCAGGAAACCTGGAGAGGGGCTTGGGACAAGGGATGTAGGGACAGGCCAAGGGGAATGGCTTTAACCTGCCAGAGGGGAGACTGAGCTGAGCTCTTAGGCAGAAGCTCTTCCCTGTGAGGGTGCTGAGGCGCTGGCACAGGGTGCCCAGAGAAGCTGTGGCTGCCCCATCCCTGGCAGTGTTCAAGGCCAGGTTGGACACAGGGGCTTGGAGCAAGCTGCTCTAGTGGAAGGTGTCCCTGCCCGTGGCAGGGGTTGGAGATGGAGGAGCTTTAAGGTCCCTTCCAACACAAACCAGGCTGGAGTTCTGTGACTTAGTGAGGGAAAGCAAACACCTGAACTGCTCTGGGCACTGACCTGACCTGTTTGTGCATTACAGCGCTCGTGTAAGTACCACAGCCTGCTGGAGCCTCAGGCCTGTGCTGGCTGTTTCCTGCCAGTGATGTCCCGCCTGCCTCAGTTGGCCCGTGGACATCCACAGCTCCGTGTGTCAACTCAAACTGATAACGTCTGAGGTGGCCTTTGAAGGCCTCTGGAGCAGATTCCCACCCTGGGTGCAGCGGCTGTGAGCTGGCAGTGGGCAGACAGGAGGAAAGCCTGGGGTCAAGGTGAGAGTGATGGAGGTTGCCTAGGGGTCAGCGTTACAGTGTTGTGTCTGGGAGCAGGGGCGGGAGCTTTGTGCTGCTTCAGTTGGCTTTGCTTTCAGAGGTGGCTCAGGAAACAGTGCCAGCACGCATTAAAGATTTAAGGCTTCATTTTAAGGGCATGGAAACGTAAGAAGGCAACTGGCAGCCAAGCACCTTCTGTTGATCAGCTGTGTTTTAAGTGTGCTTGTCTAGAGCAGAAAGGGGATGACCAGCACAGCCGGGTCCTGAAACCCCAGTGCAGGGCCTGGGGTAAGACTAAGTGAGCTGTTGTTATTGCATGGGTGTGAATTGGATCATTTCTTCTCATAGAACCCCAGCCTGGTTTGTGTTGAAAGGACCTTAAAGCTCCTCCAGCTCCAACCCCTGCCACAGGCAGGGACACCTTCCACGGGAGCAGCTTGCTCCAAGCCCCTGTGTCCAACCTGCCCTTGAACACTGCCAGGGATGGGGCAGCCACAGCTTCTCTGGGCACCCTGTGCCAGCACCTCAGCGCCCTCCCAGGGAAGAGCTTCTGCCTAAGAGCTCAGCTCGGTCTCCCCCGTGCTCATGGCTCCAGACCCGCCTCTCGCTTTCCTATGGAGCCGCCGCGGGTGCAGCGGGGCCCGGTGAGCTCCCTGTGCTGCTGTGGGTGGCGGCAGGGGCCAGCCTGGGCCGCTGCGCTCCCCGCGGGCTGGCTCCGGGGCCGCCCGTCCCGTCCCGTCCAGACGGGGCGAACGAAGCCCCCGGGCGGGCGGGCGGGGCCGGCGCTGGGCCCCGCCTTGGTGTGCCCCGGGCAACAGCGGCTCCGCCCGCAAACACGGCGGGTCCCGGCGCGATGGAGGCGGCGGAGGAGCCCCCCGCGAGCCCGGAGCCGGTCCCGGAGCCTGCCCCCGACCCCGCGGTGTCGCGGCTGGAGCGGTGCGCGGCGCTGGCGCTGGGCCCGGGGCCGGGGCTGGGGGCGGCGGCCCCGGCGCTGAGGTCGTTCCTGAGCGGGACCGCGGGCCCGGCGCTGCTGGCCTGGCGCGGGCCCGGGGGGGAGCTGGAGCTGGGCCCCCCCCCGCCGCCCTCCGCCCGCCGCAAGGCGCTTTTCTTCCTGCGCCCGCCCGGCCCCGGGCCGCTGCTGTGCGGGGACCTCCCCGCAGAGCCCCTGCCGCACTTCGCCGCCCTCGTGGAGGAGGTAAGGCCCGGGCAGCCTCCAGCGCTGGGAGCGGGCTGCGGGGCTGCTCCTGCTGCGACTGGAGCCGCTCTGACCCCGCTACGAGAGAGACACTGAGGTGCTGGAGCGGGGCCCGAGAAGGGAATGGAGCTGGTGCAGGGCCTGGAGCACAGGGGTGATGGGGAAGGGCTGAGGGACCTGGGGGGTTCAGATGGAGAAGAGAAGGCTCAGGGGGACCTGATGGCTCCCTACAAGTGCCTGAGAGGAGGATGGAGCCAGGAGGGGCTGGGCTCTGCTCCCAAGGAACAAGGGATGGGACAAGAGGAAACAGCCTCCAGCTGCACCAGGGCAGGTTTAGATGGAGCTGAGGAACAATTCCTGCCCCAGAGGGTGCTCAGGCATTGGAACAGGCTGCCCAGGGCAGGGCTGCAGTCACCGTCCCTGCAGGTGTTCACACAGCGTGGGGACGAGGCCTCAGTGCCATGGGTTAGGGGTGGCCTTGGCAGGGCTGGGGTAAGGGTTGGACTGGAGGAGCTGAAAGGGCTTTTCCAGGGGAGTTGATTCCATGATTCACAGCACCTCCTCCTGCTTCATGGGGGTCTTTCAGTTAAACCTCCTCAGTCCTGACCCACATCAGCTCTGGGCCTGTCTAATGCTGCTGTCCTTGTGGGACACAAATCGCAGGCTGGAAAGTGCTGGAGGGGACGCCTCGATGTCCCCTGGTCCAAGCCTTGTTAAAGCAGAGCCACCCAAAGCCGGGTGCCCAGGGCCATGCCCATGTGGCTTCTAAGTCTCTGTGAGGATGCAGATGAGATGCCACAAGAACCCAGCAGCCTCATGCCAGTGCTCGGTTACTCTCGTGTGGAAAAGCCTTCCCTGGTGGTCAGAGGGAGCCTCATGTAGCCTGTGTAACAAAGTGGTGCAGGAATAGGAGCAGCCCTGGTCTGTGTGCATATCATCACATCTCGGTCCAGTGCTGGGTTCTGCTCTGGGCTCTCCTTGTCCATTATTGGGTTGTTTTTACAGGTGGGCTGTAAACTCCTTCACATCTCTCTGGTTTCTGCCCCTTGGTATCCACGCAGCTCCTTTATCTTCCAAGAGCTAAGCACGGGTGCACAGCCCAAGGCTCCAGAAACCAGCTCCAAGCTGGGCAAAGCCACCAGTGACAAGAACTCAGCTAAAGGAATTCAGCGCCACTGAACTCGGTTCACACACCCCGGGAGGCTGATGTTTGCCCAGAGGGATCTTCAAGGTCCTTGCTCCTTCCTGTGCTGGCAGCCAGAAGCAGCGCTGTCCCCAGCTATTCCTGATGGCTTCTCACCTGGAGAAGTCTCAGCAGCAAGGCTGCAATGGGGAATAGAGGAGCTGCTTGATTGGAGATGCTCTTGGTGGACTGATGGTGATGGATAGGCTGGATTCCAAGAGCAGCCTCGCAGAGCGGTTATCCCACTTTGGTGGGATAACAATTATGTATGTGGGCAGCTCTGTTTTTGAGGGCCTTGAGTCCCATGGTCTTGGTGACTCTGCCCAGACAGGGGTTTGCATTTGGGGTTGATGTGTACGTGGTGGCACAGGCCAGGAACACTCCAGCAGATCCCGGTAGATCCTGTTTCCGGGCTGCCTTCAGCAGGTGGGATGGTGCATCCTGATGGTCATTCCCAGGCTTTCCTCTCCCCATGCAGGGTTGCTGCCGAGCAGGTTCTGCCCGGGCTTGGTCCCACTTTCAGACGTCACTTGTGGGACACAGTGATGGGGCTGTGCTGGAGTGGAAGGGTCTCTGGTCCTTGAACAGAGGGGTTTAGGGCAGCCTTAGGAGAATTTGTCAGTGAAACAGTTTGTGTCCATCTCACTGCGGGTGTTTTAGGATGTCAGGAACAGACACACCACAACTGTGTGTGCATTCAGTGAGGAAGCAACCTTGTCTGCCTGGCAGGAGGAGTGCGCCTCTGCTCTGTGGAGCTGGGGCCTCCTGGGGAGCCCAACAATGGGTTTAACAACCAAGAAGAAAATGAGCAGCTCTCATTGACTGGTTACAACATCACTGGCATTCTCAGTCCATGGTTTCACAGAATCCCAGACTAGTTTATGTTGGAAACGACCTTAAAGCTCCAACCCCCTGCCACGGGCAGGGACACCTTCCACTGGAGCAACTTGCTCCAAACCCCTGTGTCCAACCTGGCCTTGAACACTGCCAGGGATGGGGCAGCCACAGTTAGTTCCTTGGGATTGTGCTCGCCCTCCCCACAGCTCCCTGAGCATGACGGTTGCTGGTGCCAGGTCTGCAGTGCCAGCTGGAGTTACAGAGATGGGGCAGCACCAGGACAGGCCTGGCTGCTGGACTCCTTTGCACTTTTGTATTTATTCCTTTTCAGTGTATTTGTAGCTATATATCCCTTTCCCCTCAGCCAAGGCCATTGTTTGTCACCAGGGACAACCAGGCTTTGTCGGGTTGTTGCTGCAGGCTGGTGCCAGCCTGGAGCCACCCTGGGAGAGCCTGTGCTCTGAAAGGTGAAGCAAGCACCAGGATGTTCTGTGAAGGCAAGGGGAGAAGGGCCCATGGTGCTGTCTCTAGATGTAGGGCTGAGGGAGGCTGAAGATGGGGCTGCTCACTTTGCTGCTTTCCAACTTACTCAGCCTCTTGGATTCAGGGGAAGGGATGTACAAGTGCACAGAGTGGGCCTATACAGGGGTTTGATGAGGTCTGTTCATCATCATCTGCCCTTGTTTCATGTAGCAGGGAAATGCTTGAGGCAGCAATGAGTGTGCAGGCTTGGCCAAGCAAGGACCTAGGAGCAGGGTGGCCTGTCTGTCTCCTGCAGCACTTGTTTCTCACTGCTCTCACGACTCCTGCTGTAGGTGATCGTGCCCATCCTGACGAACCAGAAGAACCATCAGGGCTGGCCACGAGTGGTGTCCCAAGACCTTATACGTCATGTCCACACCCTGAAAAGCACTGTTTTCAAGGTTGTTGGCCAAGTAAAGGGCAAGACCTTGCTGCCTCTTCCAGCTGGTTCAGAGGGAATCGAGGACATTGATCTGGACAATGAGAAATGGTGAGTACAACCTCACTGATGCATGTGCTGGGTCCTCTGGGGAGCCTCTCCCCAGAAGCAATGAACTGCTGGGATCAATGATGATAAAACCCAAACCCAGGAGAGGTTTTACCCTGTTTCATAGAGGTCCATGCTGCCTGCTTGGGCAGGACTATTTTGCCTCCTTTCAAACGTGGATTTATCACGTATGGGAAAAGTCACCTAAAACTTCCTGCAAGCAAGCTCCTAAACTGCTCCTGGTCCCATAGAGAGATATAGAACCTGTTGCATCTGTTCTCCTGGAGAAGCAGGGTGGTTTCCACACACCCACTGCCTTTCTCTTCAACACCCACTGTGTTTCTCTTCAGTAAAGACTTTGATAATTTGGGTTCTCTCCAGTCATAGGTGGACCTCCCTGGTAGCAATCCTGATTCTGAAGTTCTCTTACAGCCCTGAGGGCCAGTCCCCAGGAAAGCCACCCCAGGTTTTCTCACTAGTTATTACCGTGGAATAGAACCATGGAAACTTTCAGGTTGGAAAAGACTTTTAAGACCATCAAGTCCAACTGTTCCCCAGCACTGCCAAGGCCACCACTAACCCATGGCACTGAGGCTTATTGAGCCACATACAGTTGGCCACAGCCCATCACTCCAGCCTGTCCAGATCCCTCTGCAGACCCTTTCTACCCTCAAGCAGATCAGCACTCCTGCCCAGCTTGAGGTGCACTGGATCTCCTTGTCCAGATCACTGGGCAGCCATGGGAGGCTGAGGCCCCTGTGTAGCCAGGCATTATCCGGCAGCTGAGGACCCCTCATCCTTTGCTAGCTGATCGTGTCATTGCAGCTGCAGGAACTTCCACCCTGGTCCTCCCAAGAAGCCAAGCTGGTGCCAGAGGCTGGGGGGGGGGCAAGGATTTTGACTGTGGCAGTGCTGTGAGCCTGGCCCAATCCACAGTAACTAAGTCTGGAAGGTCCATAGAGCAGATGTGTTTGCACATCTCCTGAGGTCCCCGAGTGGAAGCACGTGGCCCAGACATGGGCTACAGCTCACTCTGTGCAGTTTCTCTCTGAACTGAGTTAATGGCTGTGGGGAGGTGGAATGTATTCAGGGAGAACAGTACAGGGAGAGATAATGCTGCTGGAGGTTTGGCTCTCCAGGTCAGCCCCTGAACCCGAATGGATCTGATGCCACAGTGACTGGCTGTGCAGAGAGGTGGCAACTGGCTTTTGGGTTTCCATTGTTCTGGGGTGTTGAAAGGTGAAGCTAGACTGCAATGTGTAAACTCCAGCCATCCGTGGGGTCATTTGAAGTAGATCCGGTCGAGCATTGCCCATCAACAAGAGGAAAGCAAAGTTAACCTCGTGGTCTGTTTTCTGCAGCTTGGAGCTGATAGATAAATCTCTGGTCTATGCCACTGAGTCGTCCATCATAGACTGGAGCTACCAGATCCAGGAAGCACTGAAGAAAGAGTCTTCAGAGCCTCTCCTGCAAGGCAGCAACCCCAACCCAAAGGTGGAACTGGAGTTCTGGGAGAACAGGTACCCTGGGGGGCCAGCCCAGGGCATGGTGGTCACTGGCTCTGGTTTTGGGTGGAGGGAGAGTGCTGGAGACACACAGAGCTGCTGCTTCTATGACTTGAGAAGAGCAAGGCCTGCAGAGTGTCAGGGAGGTCACTGGGCCCTGGGCTGTGTTTTAACTTGCCCCCAGCACAGGGGCTGCACCTCGAGGGAGTTCTGTCACTGTTCACTAGGAACCAGCCACAGGAGGAAGTGATGATGTGGTGTAGTGTTCTGTAGTGTGTAGTGTTCTGTAGTGCCTTCTAGAAGCAGTGCTGCTCTTCATCTGTCTGTGCCAGAGGGGTTTTAGAGGCTCAAGAGCCTGGGAATGGTATTTCCTTCTGCCCTTTGCAAACTCTCGAGCTGTGTCAGTCCATCATTTAAAGCCCTTCCTGCAGGAGAGCTGTTACTGGTGTCTGCAGAAGCTCGTCATGGCTTCCTTCAGAAGTGTTCTGGCAGTGCAGAGCTGTGATAATGCTGAACCCCTGCACTGTTTGTCCTGTGGGGTTTGTCTGTGTCTTCTTCCCATTTCCTTTCACTCAGCCCATGTGGAGCTGAAGGAAATCCTGAATCAGGGGCAAGGGAAATGCGTGGTGTGAGGGGGCAGCTGTAATCTGTCTTGGTTGTTGCAGGTGTGAGAACCTGGAATGTATTTACAACCAGCTGAGAACCAAGAAGGTCAGCAACATGATAGAGGTGCTGAAGAGAGCTGGGAGCAGTTACATCCCAACCTTCAACACTATGCTCATGGATGTTGAGACAGGTGAGGTGCTGGGGCAACTTCACCATAGTGCTGGTTTCTGGCCTTTGTCCCTAGCCTGATGATACTGGTCTCAAGCCCAGTGTGGCTGTAGTGGCCCTGGTCATTCAGTTTGCTGTGACTGAGGGGACTGCAGCCTTGTGTCTGGCCCTGTCTGGTTCACGGAGTGCAGCTGGGCTGCTTGTGCTTGATCTGTTGCCTTTTTTTTACAGGCTGGGACAAGCCTGATCCCTGGTCTGTTGAGCCAGATCCTTCCCGAAGGTCTGAGTGAGGGGATCTGGGAACTCTCTGTTGAAATAAAGCTTTCAGGCTGAGAGAGCTGGGCTTGTCCAGCCTGGAGAAGAGAAGGCTCCTTAAGGGGAGACCTCAGAGCAGCTCCAGTGCCTAAAGGGGCTCCAGGAAATCTGGAGAGGGGCTTGGGACAAGGGATGTAGGGACAGGCCAAGGGGAATGGCTTTAACCTACCAGAGGGGAGACTGAGATGAGCTCTTAGGCAGAAGCTCTTCCCTGTGAGGGTGCTGAGGCGCTGGCACAGGGTGCCCAGAGAAGCTGTGGCTGCCCCATCCCTGGCAGTGCTCAAGGCCAGGTTGGAGACAGGGGCTTGGAGCAAGCTGCTCTAGTGGAAGGTGTCCCTGCCCGTGGCAGGGGTTGGAGCTGGATGAGCTTTAAGGTCCCTTCAACACAAACCAGGCTGGGATCCTGTGATTCACGTGAGTGCAGCGGGATTTACCCCAGCTTTTGCGTTGTGGTTGGAGGCCTGGTAGCTGTGAAGCGGCTGCAGCATGGTGTGAGCATGGCCCATGTGTCTGCCCACATCCCCACCCAGTAATGTCCTCCTGAATGCAAGGTCCGGCCTGCCCAGCTTTCCTGGCCTTCTTGATAGGGAGATGGTTGCAAGGATGCTGTGGGGCAGGTGACCTGTAGATGGTGATGTGCATCAGCAAATCTGCCTTCTCCCGTATTTTTCCAGTCTGGCACACTGCAGTGAGACGAGAGCTGGGAGCGAGAAAACAAGATTGCATTTCCCAGTTGAGGGAACTAAAGACTTACAAGGAAAATCACCCAGGCTTTTCTAGCTAAGTGCATGCTGACAGGTTACTCTGTTCTTCACCCCTTCCCATAGAAACAGTCTAGTAGGGATCTGTGTCATACTCTATGCTGTGCAGTTTATATACAGGCTCGAGAAAACCCCCTTCTGTAAGGAGCCAAGAGTTCCTTGTCACACTAATCCTATGGTTCTGTAATGAAAGCTTTAAGGATCTAATCAAAATACACCAAATATGTGGGTTTAACCCAGTTACAGCAACACTCCCCCTGACTGCAACATTTCAGTTGGGATTTGTTTTCACCTGCCTTTGCCTTTGCCCCTCTCCCTTTTGTTGTGCCCTTCAGTGAAGGTGGGTCATGGGGAGCTTCTCCTCACCCAACACCCCCAGGTCCTTCTCCTGAGGCTGCTCTGAATCACTTCTCTGCCCAAACTGTGTCTGTGCCTGGGGTTGCCCCAGCCCAGAGGCAGGACCTTGCACTTGGCTTGGTTGAACTTCATCAGGTTTGCACTGTCCCACCTCTCAAGCGTGTCCAGGTCCCTCTGGTTCCCATCCTTCCCTCCTTTGTGGTGACTGCACCACACAGGTTGCTGTGCACAACATTTAGCAGTTGTGCACTCAGGTTGTGCACAGAGCCCTGTCCCAGCTCCCTGTTGCTCAACTTCATGTCAGTGTACATCCTGTTGTGGTGAGCAGTGTTCATGGCTGAGCACTCTCCAGCACACAGGTAGGTGAGTGTGCTCCATGACTCCTGGTTTTCCCAGGTACCTTCCATCCACCTTATAGCCCACCACAGCTTGGTTCAGTCTCACCACTTCTCCCATCTCTTACCACAGCTTTGGCCGAAGCTCAGGACATTCACCTGCACCTGATGCCCCTCAAGCGCCACTTGGAGGACATCGAGAAGGTTGAGTTCAATGAGGTGAAGCCTTTCCTGGTCCCTCTGCTCCATGTGGTGTGTTTGATCTGGGTCACCTCCAAGCACTACAACATGCCTGCAAGGATAGTAGTGCTGCTCCAGGAAATCTGCAACCTCCTCATCCAGCGGGTGCGTGGCCATGCTGCCTGTGTTTGCCAAGGGGGGTTCTTTCATGCAAGTCCCTTCACAGTATCACAGTATCACAGTATGTTAGAGATTGGAAGGGACCTCGAAAGATCATCTAGTCCAATCCCCCTGCCGGAGCAGGAACACCTAGATAATGTTACACAGGAATGCGTCCAGGCGGGTTTTGAATGTCTCCAGGGAAGGAGACTCCACAACCTCCCTGGGCAGCCTGTTCCAGTGTTCCGTCACCCTCACTGAGAAGAAGTTTCTTCTCAAGTTTAAGTGGAACCTCTTGTGTTCCAGTTTGTACCCATTACCCCTTGTCCTATCATTGTTTGCCACTGAGTAGAGCCTGGCTCCGTCCTCGTGACACTCCCCCTTTATATATTTATAGACACTGATAAGGTCACCCCTCAGTCTCCTCTTCTCCAAACTATAGAGACCCAGCTCCCTCAGTCTCTCCTCATAAGGGAGATGCTCCACTCCCCTAATCATCTTAGTTGCCCTGCGCTGGACTCTCTCCAGCAGCTCCCTGTCCTTCTTGAACTGAGGGGCCCAGAACTGGACACAATACTCCAGATGCGGTCTCACCAGGGCAGAGTAGAGGGGAAGGAGGACCTCTCTCGACCTACTAACCACCGCCCTTCTAATACACCCCAGGATGCCATTGGCCTTCTTAGCCACAAGGGCACAGTGTTGGCTCATGGTCATCCTGTCGTCCACTAGGACCCCCAGGTCCCTCTCCCCTACACTGCTCTCTAACAGGTCATTCCCCAACCTATACTGGAACCTGGGGTTGTTCCTGCCCAGATGCAGGACTCTACACTTTCCCTTGTTATATTTCATCAAGTTACTCCCTGCCCAACTCTCCAGCCTATCCAGGTCTCGCTTCTCTCCTTCTATTCTCTCGCCTTCTCTCCTTCTATTCCCCATCCTTCCCTGGCAAAGGGATTCTTAATGTGAGAGGTGGGATCAGACATGTTCACTGCAAGAAGTCCATGTTCTCTGTGGCAGCAGAAGTGACCTCTCAAATTTTGCTTTTCTAGGCCACGGTGTACCTGTGTCCAGAAGATCTTCTGAAAGGAGAGATGGAAGAGAGCCTGGGCAAGGTGCAGCTGGTGCTCAGCATCCTGAATGCATTCAAAGAGGCGTTTGAGGAGAGAAGGGAAAGACTGCACACATATTATGGACCAGGCCAGGAAGTGAGGGAGTGGAAATTCCCTGCTGTGATGGTGTTTGCAAGGCTGGACAGCTTCCTGGAGAGACTGGAGATGGTGGAGGTGAGACTCTGGTCTTGAAAACTATTGCAAGCCTTCAGGAGAGGTCTGTAGCCATGAACTCATTTGCTGGCATCTTCCTTTCCTGTCGCTTCACCTGATACCAGGGCATGGGGCACTTCTTTGCTGTTAGGTCTGTTACAGCAAGGCTGGGACTTTGTTTTACTATGTCCTGCTGCTGCATGTGTAAGGTGCAGCTGTGTCCTGCTCAGGTTGGTCAATGTGGTGTTGTTCCCAAAGAGTCCTGCTGGACTCCTTGCTCCTCTTGGGCAGGGGAATGGCAGTTCCTGGAGGCTGTGCATTTCACAGCTGTAAATAAGGCTCTACAGTCTCCCAGTCCTCCTGTTGCCATCAGAGACACCCCAGAGCTGCAGAGCCCACGTGCTCCCCTTGAGCGTGGCCACATGGGCCTGGGGAGGAGCAGGGAAATGTTCCTCACCAGCTCATCGCTTTGATACCAGGTTTCAGTGACACCTTCACACCCTGATGGTCTGTCTGTCTGGGATGCTGTGGTTGAGGGGTGCCCCTGTTTGTCACTGCTTGTGAGATGCTCATCCAAGACAGTGACATCTGGAGTCATGAGTCCCCTCATCCCTCAGCTCCCAGGGTGGCCAAGGGCCCCTTGGGCTGGGGGTGATGTTCTGCAGAGAGCAGGTCTGAGTGTGTTGGGGCAGCCCCGTGCTGTCTGGAGTGGAAGGTGTCCCTGCCCATTGCAGAGATGAGCTGAGCAGGGACAGTGACACCCACTTGGAGACAGGGAGGTCTGGGCAGGAGCTGTGAACCTGTAAACATCAGAAGTCTCTTGGTCAATACCTCTAACATTGGGATTGTGAGGTTTGTGCATGACAGACCAGGGTCTGCTTTGGACCTGTCCTTTAAACATCCTTAAAGCAGTTTAGAGTTGTTGTAGTATTTCTGGTGGTAGCAGCAGGTCCCCCTAGGGAGGGCCATGTTCTGAGCAGCTGCTGGTGACCAGGACAGGCAGCATCTAGCTTCCCCCTGTCCTGGTTGTGCCACTCGGCTTGGGGACATCCTTGGAATGGCAGCAAGTACGGCCATCAACAGCAACCACTGTTGCCATCTTTTGTCGATATAACTTGTGTCCTCCATTGACTTTGAAGGATCTTCTGGCAACTGCCTTGGACCTGATGAAGCTGGAAAAGATGGAGTTCAGTGGGATTAAAGGGAAGGCCCTGGGCCAGCAGGTGCTGGACATGAATGAGAACTTCCAGGAGGCATACAAGGTGTTGACAGAGCACTCCTATGACTGCCTTGACCTGACCAACACGGTAGGTGGGACCAGCTTGTGGTAACTCCAGCAATGTGTGTGTTGGTAAGCAACAGCTTCCTCTGCCATGGAGCCCTGGCTCATATGCAGTCCTGCTGGCCTCTTCCCAGCTCAGGACTTGACACCAGTGCAGCTGGGAAACGGGGATTTCCATGTCCTTTACGCCAGCTTTCCCTCTATGTGGTACTTGCTGGTGTGGTTGAGCTGTACCAACATCCCTGTTTCTTTGCTTTCCTGCTCTTGGTGTCCAGCTTGTGTGATGAGGGCCAGCTCAGGTAACCTCTGGGGATGTGTTTGCTCTTGTCTAGATGAACACATTGGCATCTGGTGCTCCTGGAATTTAAAGGCTCCATGCTGTGTTATCAGTAGTTCTTTAATGAATCTTGCCAGCCCTCTGGGTCATGGCTCAGTGGCTGTCTGGATCACAGGTGTTCACAGCAGCATGTGTCATGCAAGCAGGGCAAAGCAACTGTGCCTTGGGCCTGCTTACTGCCTGTTCACAAACTCCTGCTCTTGGTCTTGACACTGAGCAGCGTGGCCTGGGGGTGAGCTGTGAAGGAAGGGTGAGGATGGGGTTTCTGAAGGGGTCCCATCTGGGTCCTGTGGTTGTGGCTGATCTGAGAGGAGCTTTGATTTCTTTTGCTGCTTGTCCCATTTGCTTTAGGCTCAGCTCGCTGTGCCTCAGGAGCAGGACATGGTCAGGCCTGTCCCAGGGCTAAAACTGGAGTGGCCATAGGGCAGCTCCATGGTGAGGAGCTCCAGTCTCACTGCTCTGACACACATCCAAGTGGAAGGTGATCCTGGGGCAATGTCCTGGCTCCTGCAGGCCTTTGCCTTGCTCCCTGCTGTGCTGGGGTGGAAGGTGTCAGGGCTGGCAGTGGAACACGGGGCTGCTGTGCCTTGCTCTCAAGTGTTGGGACTTTGCTGTGGGGATGGCTGCTTGTGCTTTGCCTCCTGCAGTTCCCAGCACATCTCTGCAGTGCTGGCTTGTCCCCAGTGCTGCCTGGGGGATCTTGCTGCTCCGTGTCCCCCCTGCTTCAGGAGGGAGGGCACAGGAGGAAGGGTGACGTTGGCTCTGGGGGAGCTGGCTGGGGTTCACTGACCCCATGGCCTTTGTGTGATTGAGTTGTGCTTGTTCTTTCAGTGCTTATGTTTTGCAGCCCCTGATACTTTCTAGAGCCTCTTTTGTAGCTAAACCAGGGCACATGGCTCTGCTGGAGCTCGGCAGTGGCAGAAGCCGTTGTCTTATGACACAGAAAACAGACATATTTAGAGGCTTAATTTTTAGTGGCTTTGTCCAAGCCAGGACAGGAGGACTGATGTCTCCCACTTTGAGGCTTTGATTTGGGCTCTTACCTGTAGGAAAACAAACCTGGGTTTTACACTTGAATTTGAAAGGATTTATTACAACTGGAGCTGAAGAAGCAGTGCAGGAAGAGGATGGACGTTACAGAAACACAGACCTGGTGAGGTTAGAAAGGACCTCTGGAAATCACCTCCTCCACCTTCCCTGCTCAAAGCAGGCTCAGCCAGAGCAAGGCTGTGAACAGGCAGGTTAACCTTCTCCAAGGTCGAATATGTCCAAGGGTAGAGACTCCACAACCTCTCTGGGCAACCGGCGCCAGTGTTACGAGCTGCCTTTATTGTTGTCCCATTTGCAGCCAATTCAAGCTGAAAACCACAGGCTTGTTTTGCCTTGGAACTACCTGGATTTGGACCCAGCAGGTTCATCTGCGGGTTGGCTGGATGGCGGTGTAGCCTTCAGGTCAAGTGGTTTAATGCCTGATGAGTAGGAAAGATCCCTGGATCAGGAGGATGCAGGTACCTTCCAGGTGCCCTTCCACAGCCTCACAGCTGCTGTTCTGTCTTCCCACAGGAATTTGTGCAAAATGCCTTGGAATTCCAGCAGAAAGTAGAAGACATCGACCGCCGGTTGGGCACTGTTTTCATCCAGGCTTTTGATGACGCCTCGGACTTGGAGCATGCCTTTAAGGTTTGTTGGTCATGGTCCTTGTCTTCTGGAGAGGGGAAATTGGGCACCTGTGGTTTGCATGGGTGAGAATATCCCCGAGCTGGGATCCCGGGCAGTGCTGTAGCTACAGGCCCATGGGAATGGAGAGTGGCACAATGAGAACAGACAGGAGGAGCAGTCACGTTATGCACATCAGGCTCTCAGACGTTTGACTTGTGTCTCTGCGTGCTGGGGGAACTTCTGCTTTTTGTAAGATTTCCTGGTGGGAACTGCCGTTCAACCTGTGGGGATGGTTGTTATCAATTTGTTCATATTGATAATAGCTGGATGGATTTTAGGTGTGGAAACGGGGGTTTTCCAGGAACCAGGCTGCTGTGTTCATCTTGCAGGAAAAAGAAATGGGATTATATGACCAATTTCAAAACAAGTGTCTGTAGAGAAGCCCATGGGAAGTGAGAGCAATTCCCTTTGGAAGGGTTTGGAAAAAACAGCAGATTTTGAAACATTTGAAGAATGCCAGTTGGAATATGGTTCTAAAGTCACTGCAGGAGAGACACTGAGGTGCTGGAGCGGGGCCAGAGAAGGGCAATGGAGCTGGTGCAGGGCCTGGAGCATAAGTGTGATGGGGAACGGCTGAGGGACCTGGGGGGTTCAGTCTGGAGAAGGCTCAGGGGGGACCTGATGGCTCCCTACAAGTGCCTGAGAGGAGGATGGAGCCAGGAGGGGCTGGGCTCTGCTCCCAAGGAACAAGGGATGGGACAAGAGGAAACGGCCTCAAGCTGCCCCAGGGCAGGTTTAGATGGAGCTGAGGAACAATTCCTTCCCCAGAGGGTGCTCGGGCATTGGAACAGGCTGCCCAGGGCAGGGCTGCAGTCACCGTCCCTGCAGGTGTTCACACAGCGTGGGGACGAGGCCTCAGTGCCATGGGTTAGGGGTGGCCTTGGCAGGGCTGGGGAACGGTTGGACTGGATGAGCTTGAAGGGCTTTTCCAGTCTGGTTGCTTCTGTGATCCCATGATCTCTCTAACAAAGGGAAGGGACTACTTGGAAAAGCAGGGTAAAGGAATTCCCTTTTCCACAGCACCCACTGGTGCAGACATTTGGGCTGGTGAGAAGGATGAAGCATGTGGGCTGGGGAAGGAGATCCCAGTGGATCTCCGCTGAAGTCTGCATTGTGAATTTCTCCCCTGTTCTTTTCCTGCTTCTTCCCCTCTGCAGTTGCTGGACATGTTTGGGAGCCTCTTGGAGCGACCAGTGATCGCTGCAGATGCTGCTGACAAATACTTTGTCCTCATCAGCATGTTCCACAGTGCTGTGGCCCATGCAAGGCTCATCTACTCCAGGCACATCCAGGCAGAGCTGGAGCTTGGTGGGTGGCTGATGCTGAGTACAACAGGTTCTACAGGGAATGGGGTTTAGATTCTTTTTATTATTATTTATTATTATATTATTATATATTATAATATTATTATTACAATATTATATTATTTATTAATATTAATAATTATGATTTATTTAGACTCATTTCTTGGGGAACAATTTCCTTTCTTCTAAGGAGATCAAGACTTGCCCTGTTACAAATGGTTTGAGCCTCTGTAGCTCCTGGTGGCAATGGAAGTGCCTGGGAAAGCTGTTCTTAGTATTAAAGCAAATGATCTACTGGGGGGAAAAGACCATGGTTTAAATGTGTGTCCGTGGGATGTGAGTGGGAATGAGCTTTACCCCAGCAAGGTTCTAACAGGGGGTTTCTCTCCACACTTATGCCCTGCCTTGGACACCCCATGGGCCTTGCTCATGTGCTCCTCAGTATGAAGTTCTTGTGTTTCCACTGTCATGCTGTAAATGTAAGTGGGACTTTAACAAGGCTTTAATCAACCTTTCCAGGTTTATCCTGGCCCAGGAAGGTTGGTGCAGGAGGACATGGGTCAGACTCCAGTCAGGCTATGAGGACAAGAGTGTGTCCTGTTGAACAGCACCCAGGTCCCTTGCCTCAGGAAGGCTGTACTGGAGCCAGGCAAGTCTGGGAGAGGCAGCACTGCTGGAACCAGTGTGGGTTAACAGAGGGAACAGAGAGATTGGTGGATACTTGCCCTGGTCACAGACCTCCCCCAGTGTATCGCATGTTGGATGTAAGGCAGGAAGCTGGGAAACGAGAGCAGTTTTGTGGAGATGAGCTGCTGGTGGTGTATCTTTTGAGGTTACAAGTACCGTGTTCAACCAAATGCTGTTTCAATGTGCCCTCCCCAGGATCCCCTGCTGTGCACAAGAACATGCCCCCCGTGGCTGGAGCGCTGGGCTGGGCTCGGGAGCTGCGCACACGGATCCAGGGGCCGTTTGGTCACTTGAGGCGCATCCCACGTGCGTGCGTGTCCGTGCCAGCTGAGTTGGTCTTGTTAATCACTGTTTGTCTTTCTGTTGAACATTATCCAATGGTCATGGATGCAGTCATTCCCAGTTGGAGGGGGGAAGGTTCTGCCCAGGTTCTGGCATCATCCAAGCTGTGGGTGGCAGAGGGGTGCTGCATTGGACTCACCTAAGACGTGTTGATTGGGGCTGAGTCTCGAGGTTGAAAAGATGAGGACTTTGGGCACTGGCAGAACTTTCTCAGCATTAAACAAAGGAGCAATCTCCCAAGATCAAGGAAAGAGAGTTCTGGAATACTCATCACCCAGATGCTTGTTATTATGGGTGGTCTTGAATAAGTGGTGCCCTGTGCTCTCAGCTGCCGTGTCTCATGGCATTATATGAGACAGCATTTAAGAGCCCTGCAAGCAGCAGCACTGGACACAGGATAACAGAAAGTGCTTCAGGAGCTGCAGCTTGTGGTCACAGGAACAGTTTGGCTTGTGCTGGGTAGGATTTGGAGTACCTGGATCCACTTATGTGCTTGGGCAAAATAAGTCATCTCCATAACAGCTGGGCTGCACCCCCAGAGCGTGCACAGCAGCTCAGGGAGGGGATCCTGCCCCTCTGCTGTGCTCTGGGGAGACCCCCCCTGCAGTCCTGATCCAGCTCTGGGGCAGCAGCACAAGAGGGACGTGGAGCTGTTGGAGAGAGGCCAGAGGAGGCCATGGAGCTGCTGCGAGGGCTGAAGCAGCTCTGCTCTGGAGCCAGGCTGAGAGAGCTGGGCTGGGGCAGCCTGGAGAAGAGAAGGCTCCTGAAGGGGAGACCTGAGAGCAGCTCCAGTGCCTGAAGGGGCTGCAGGAAACCTGGAGAGGGGCTTGGGACAAGGGATGTAGGGACAGGCCAAGGGGAATGGCTTTAACCTGCCAGAGGGGAGACTGAGCTGAGCTCTTAGGCAGAAGCTCTTCCCTGTGAGGGTGCTGAGGCGCTGGCACAGGGTGCCCAGAGAAGCTGTGGCTGCCCCATCCCTGGCAGTGTTCAAGGCCAGGTTGGACACAGGGGCTTGGAGCAAGCTGCTCTAGTGGAAGGTGTCCCTGCCTGTGGCAAGGTTTGGAGCTGGGGGAGCTTTAAGGTCCCTTCAACCCAAGCTGTTCTAGGGTTCTCACTGGGCAGTATCAGTAGCCTTCTCTCAATGTGTACTGCATTAAGGAAGGGTTTACGTGCACTGTTATAAAGACATGAGTGCAATGTAACAAGATCTTGGAGCATTCCCAGCACAGTTCTCACGCCTGGTTTTAATCTGGGTGCCAAATTCAAGGAACCATGCAGAAGAAGCCAGATCTACATTCTGCATTGATTTTGTTTCCTTGGTTTAGATCACTTCAAGCCGTGCCCCGCAGAAGGGAGGGGGAGTGATGCTGTTTCCTGCATGCAGCTTGAAAGGGAGGAAGGAGTCAATAGGAAAACCAAAGATGCTTTTGCTGGGGGTTGCTGGGGGGACCTGTTTACTTGCAGAAGGTTTAAGCAGCACTTGCCCAGTGGTGACAGCTCAGGTTTTGATGTTCATTCAGGTTTTGTCAAAACGGCCTCTAAAATCAACAGTTGTGTCCAGGAAAACTGGAATATTGTACATAAAACAGTGGGGAAAAGGTGGAATTCCTCTGCCTGCCTGGGCTTGGAGGTGCAGCCCCACAGCTCTGGGATGCCTTTGCCCTTCCCTGTTTGAAGGGCACAGATTTGGCACCACAAAGAGCTGCATCTCCCAGGAGCCAAGTGCTGCTTCCTTCTGAGCCTGTTAGACCTTGGGAAGTGCTGGCTGGTGAGCAGAGGCTGCCATGCTCTGTGCAAATAGTGTGGAACTGGGAGCATCAGGTATGTCAGAGACCGGTATTCCTCCAGCAGCACTGAGCCCCCTTTCCCACCAGGGATTGAATCTGTCATCAGACTGACAGCCTGTTGTGCAGGTTGTCAAGCACATACCAGATAAAGGGCACACTAAGGGTTGAATAGCCTTTGGATAACCTTGGATAGCTTTTGTGCCTTGTTTTGGGTGATGTGGTGGGGATGAAATCCACAGTCCCCAGTCAGAACCTGCCTGCAAAGTGGTGGCTGCTCTTGGGAAGGGTAGGTGCAGATTTAGGGCAGAGCTACACATAATGCTGAGCTTGTCTCCTGTGCTCCCAGCTACTTGGACTCTGCTGAAGGAAGGAGGGTGATGGAGAAGTATGAAGAAATGATCCAGCTGCTCGACAGGTAGGTGGTGGCTCAGGCAAGGCTGGGGCTGTGTGTGCCACCTTCTAGCACATTTGGAAGCCCAGGCCCTGGGAATGTCTCTTTCTAAGCCAGAGGGAATCACCTGGTGAGAGAGGAGGAGGTGTCTATGCCACAATCTTTCTGTGCCATCTTGAAATTCGAAGTTTCCATGGGAGGAACAGATTCATTGCCCATGACTTAGTATCATGATGTTTGATGTTCCATCTGAACTGGTTTCTCCGGGACTTCCCTTGGGAAGAGCCACCTCCCCAGGAAGGAGATACCCCTTCAGGGCCTGCTCTCCATCAGCAGTGAAGGGAGCTGAGACATCTGGCTGCTGGGTACCACAGGGTGGTTGGATGGAGACCAACTCTTCCTGTTTCTGACTGCCAGAACAGGGGCTGAGTGTTCCTGGTTCAGCCTTCCAGAAGGAAGCAGGCACCAGAGGATCCCGGGTGCCCTCAACAGAGGTGGTGTTTGCTGGGTGCTGTTCCCAAGGTGCTCAGGTGACAACATGGTTCAGAAGACACTGGTGCTTGGGTGCTGGGACTCTCCATGGCATGTGGGCTACCAGGACCCCAGGTCAGCCCTCTGCATTTCCATCCCCAGCGGTGATGCTGAGCTCTTCAAGAGCTCAATACCCCTGAGGCTGATGGGCTCTGTAGTGCACCCATCCTGCTCAGACACTCTGGAAATGCCCAGCAGCTGCTTCTCTGTTACTCTAGATTGAATGCTTTTGAAAATCATGCTTGAGAGAGCTTTGCCCTCCTGACTTGATGCTGACACTGGTTTTGGGTGCTTGTGTTTGAAGCCATGTTGCTCATGGAGATGACATAGATGGGGTTTTAATATTCCTTCATGTTCTTCATCCTCAGGGCTGGCCTTGGCTCTCCTTTGGTGCTATACATCGCTCTGGTGGGCTGGTAGCTGTATGATGGATCTTTGGGGTTTTCTTCTGCAGGTATCAGGAAAAGCTCTACGTGAACTGGTCCCAAACAGTGTCTGAGCGATCCCAGTACAACCTGGCCCAGCCGCTCATCCAGCGGGACCCAGACACCAAACTCATCACAGTCAACTTTGATCCCCAGGTAAAAACTGCTGCCGAGGAGCTTGCCTGGGCTTCTCCAGTGTATGCAGGGGGTCCTGGTGAACTTGGTACTACATCTGTGCTGCTGAGTCTGCGGAACCCCTTTCTGTGATGGCTGACATGGATTTACCATCATGGAACAGTCAGGGTTGGAAAGGACCATCCTTTTTGCAGGCTTTAATTCCAATTTAACCAGAGCACATTCTGGTTAAAGGCAGACATAAAGTCCCGGAGTAGCCAGTGAATGGGTGTCAGCATCTCCAGCCCGGAGTTGTACTGGTGGGGGTGTTGGGGCATCACCTGCAGAGTTTGTGTTACATGTACCTGAAGTCTGAGCTTCCTGAAAGGGTGTTAAAAGCCCAGGAAAAGTTTGGTTGCTTCCTGTTGGACTTCCTTTGTTGCAGTGCATGAGACTTAGGGGAGTTTTAAGACCTTGTCTCTGTCCCCTAGAGCCCCCCTAAAGCATGCCTCCAGCACAGGGAGGACTGACCATCCACCTTGCCCAAAGGAGAAGCAGGGATCCAAGCCAGCAGTGTGTGGAGATAGAGTGGAAGCTTCTGTAGAAGCTGCTTCTTCAATTGTAGAAATGTCATTTGCTGGAGGTGCTGCATGGCAGGGGCCTGGGCAGCGCTGGAATCCGACACATCCCCTGCTCCCTGGGACGTGCTCCTGTTAGGGAAGTCTTTGGGGTTTAGAGCTCAGTCAAGGTTGGTCCCTCAGTCAAAGGATTTGTCCATCTCCTTGGAAGCTCCTTGCTAATGTGGGAGTCAAATAGCCACAGGGGATGTTTTCCACCCTTCATCCTGGTGGCATCCTGTGGTGTGCTGAGCATGCACCATCTTGTCTTTGGCTTAGATAACTGCTAAACTGTGCTTGCAGGCACAGGGCTGCTGAAAGACTACTGATGAGGGTAGCTGAGAGAGCCAGAGATCATCGTGGCTTTGGCTGGCTGGGTAGTAAACAGAGCTGTCTTTGGTTGGGAAGAAAACCAGGGGCAAAGATCAATGGGAGACAGATGGAATGGAGTCGGGGGTGTCCAGGCTCTTTCCAGAGCATTCTGCTTTGGGAATAAAGCAGCAGCAGCAGATCCCTAAGATGCTCAGAAAGTCACTGGGTGGGATTGTCCCATGCTCAGCTCTCTGCCTTCTCTCTGCAGCTGGTGTCGGTGCTGAGGGAGGTGAGCTACCTGTCCAGCAGCCAGATGGGAGCCATCCCAGCTGTGGCAGCAGAAATCTATTCCTCCAGGGAATCCTTCCGGCAGATGGTGGCCAACTTGGAGCTGATGGTGAACAGATACAACAGGGTCCTGAAGACAGTCCTGGAGGTTGAATACCCTCTAATACAGGGGCAGCTGCAGGACATTGACTTGAAGCTGAAAGAGGCAGAAGAAACACTGAACTGGAAGGTGGAAGGTGAGCTGCCTCTGCAGGGGGAAAGAGCACTTCCATGTGGGTCTCATGGGATTTGCCCATGTGCCAAACCTCCATCACCTGGTTCCCAACTGCAACTCCCAGCAGAGCCAGCACGGGGGGGATGAATGGCAGCTCCCATCTTGCCACATTCCTTTCATGTGCTGGGGCTGTGGAAAGGATCCTGCTCCCTTCAGGATCAGCCGGGCTTTTGGGGAGGAGAGGCTGCCCTGTGAGCAGTGCCATCAAGGAGATGGCAAGGCTGGGCAGTGGGATGGAGCCAGGCCCACCTCGTCTTTTCCTGAAGGATGGAATACTGCAGCTGGGGTGGGATTGTGCACATTGGCTGTAGGGTGATTGAAGCAGTTTCTTGCTTTACCAGTTTGAACTGTAGAGCGGAGGAAGTTTGTTTCCTCTTGGTGAAAGTGAACTGCTCACGGGTGGAATATGCATTTCTGTCATCAGGCTTGTGGTGTGAACAGGAACAAGTGTCCTCCCTTGGGTACCTGCAGAGCAGAAGTCCTCACAGTGAAAACCTCTTTCTCCATTGTGTAATAAAGATGGGTTTTCCTGCAGATGAACCCTAAGTTCCCTGCATCTCTCTGCAGCCCTCGCTGGTAGCTGGGGCTGACACAGCCCACCTGTTGAGGCCATGGGTCCCTGCTCAAGTGATGGTGGCAGAGATGCTCAGCCTGTTGTGCTCATCCTGCCCATGCTGAGCTCTCCAGTAGCAGTCAGTGGGAGATCAAACCTGAACAGAGGGAATCAGGACCTATCAGATATCCCCAGAGGATGGTGCTCCTGGCAGAAGGCAGAGGCTGTGGCTGTCTGCTGGGACAGGGGGGAGCTGGAAATGGGTCTGTTGGTCGAGGTGGTAAGTCTCCTGTGTCCATGATGGGTAAGAAATACATGAGACCACAGAGAGTAAGTCAGAGGCTGGTCTTAGGGAGGGTGCACAAAAGCTTGGCCCAGCAACTCTGAAAAGCCATCAACCATCTCCTGTTTACCAGGTGTCTGTGGTCACATCTCCACGGTGATGGATGGTGTCCATGACCTCGAGCGGAGGGTACAGAAAGCCAAAGACAACGTTGAGGAGATCCAGACCATCGTGCGGGCCTGGGTGTCACCCATACTGGAGAGGAAGGACTGCAAAAGGGAATCACTGCTGGTCCTAGAGGACTGTCAGGACCGTCTGGGGAAGCGTTACAGCCTGGTCCGGGAGTCAGGGCAGAGGATTCATTCCCTGCTGAAGGTGAGAGGGAACTTCCCTAGGGATTCATTGGCTCCTCATAGGCTTCGTGTCTCTGCACTGGAGGAAATGTCTGGAGCTGTTTCACCTAAAAATGAACTCCCTTAACTCCTTTGCAAGCCTCATCCAGTGTTAATGAAGGGTGGCTTAAATGAGCTGCTACGTGTGTGGTGCTGGGCACCATTGGCGCCCCGTTCAGGCTCAGCCTGGCTCCAGTCCCGGCAGTTGTGGAGCCACTAGATGGGAGTCGTGCAGCAGGAGCTGGAATTATCCTCCTCTGAAAGATGTTCCTGGCAGCAGAGAGGCTCTGCCTGCCTTTCTGCTTCAGGCTTGTCCCTCTGTGAGCAAGCAGTGACGTTGCCAGTCCGGGGGTCAGCTGAGTGACAGGACAAAAGCTGCTGCCTGAAACCTTGGTGCTTTCTGGCTTTGCCAGAGCTGAGACCCCTCTTTGCAGGCCTGGAGAAAGCCCAGAGCTGAGCTCCTCCCCTGCTCGCAGTGAGGTGTTACCACACCAGGGACAGGACTTGGCCTGGAGGAAGGTAGATTTTAGGTCAAGCTTGCTCCTGAGGGTCACCATCCAGCCTTGGACACTGGAGAGAGCCTCTCTGGGACACTGAGCTCTTGTTGCTAACCTTACCTTGCTGTCTGCACTCAGCCCTGGACCAATAACCCCCTTGTCTGCACCCTGAATCCACAGTGAGAGTCTCCCATGCCCAGGTTCTGCTGTCACAGCTGTAACAGGCTCAGCCACCTCCAGCCACCACCCAAGAGACCAGGGCACTTGCTAGATTGGCCAAGGAGAATATGGGGTTGTGGTCATGGCAGGAGGGCTGGCACAACCGGTGTGATGGCATCACCAGTGCTGCTCACAGGGGCAGCACCAACTGCAAAGCGCCACAGAGGTCCTGGGGAGGGAAGGGCATCATGGCCCCAAATGAGTGTCCCCATGCTCTGTCCTTGCTGTGCTGTTCAGACCATGGGGAGCAGCAGCAGAGGGGCCAAGAGCTGCTCTGCTGGGCTTCCCTTGGTTGTTCAAGTCCTCCTGGGGGCTGGAGGGTCCTGAGGCTGCTGAGGGGAGCACAGCGAGGATTTGGGTACTACTTTTGCATCTTTTAATTGCAGGAAAACCAGAGCCTCTTACTCGCAGACCCAGCATCTGACGTCTGGAAGGCCTATGTGGATTACGTGGATGAGATAGTCCTGGATGGATTCTTCACTGCCATTGAGTGCTCGCTCAAGTACCTCCTGGAAAACACAGGTCAGTGCTTGTTCCTTTGCCCTGGTTGTGATGGCTGCTTCAGTCTCACCAAAGGGAGGGTTCTGCCTCAAGACAGGGTCATAGAATCAGGTAGGTTGGAAAAGACCTTTAAGATCACCAAGTCCAACCTTTACCCCAGGCCTGCCAGTACCACAACTAAACCATGTCACTGAGGGCCTCATCTCCATGGTGACTCCATCTCCCAGCCAGCATTGCTTATGGGGAGGGATAGAAATGATTGTGCATCATTTGCAGGGATTAATGGACAGACAAAACTGAGGCATCATCCAAAGTCTGTGCTTGGGCATCAATCTTACACCCTCCCATGCACAAAGGGACAAGTGACACAATCTCATGTGTGGGAAGTCTCCAGAGCCAGTTGTGTCCGTCTAAAGCCCATCTCCAGGCACACTTCACCCCTGGATATGGAGGCACAGTGGGAATTGCATCTAGTTCTGCCCATCTTGTTCAAAACACGCACAGAATTTCACATGTGCATTTGGCTTCAGTTTCCAGTTGCTGAGGTTTTCATGCCCTTCTCCACTAAATTAAAGAGCCTCTTGGTTCCTGTTGTTTTTCTCCTCAGCAAGTACTTGTGTGCTGTAATTGTTCAGCTCTCAGGCTCCCTTTTGATTAGCTGGAGAGCCTGGTCTCTTTAAGGCATTCTCCACAGCATTTTATTCCAGTCCTTAAATCACTTGTGTCTCGTCTCCAGTATCTCCTGTGGGTATCAGACCATCAGCCTCTGTGTTGTGTGCCAGCACAGTGTCACTGGACCCACTGAGTGGGTGTCTGTGTCCCTGTGGGGTATGTGTGCATCTTGTGGTAGGATGTTAGACGTGGCTCAAGATCATTTTTCTCCTCTTGAAGAAGATCCTGGCATCTCCGTTCTTCCCTACCAGATCCCAAGGCTGGGCTCGCTCCCCTGTTTGAGGTGCAGCTGGATTTGGTGATCCCGGATTTGATATTTCATCCCTCCATGGACCCTGGCACAAACGATGGCTTCTACGACATGGTGGAAAGTCTTCTCAATGACATCTACGGGATCTCATCGCTGGTGCCCCGGCTGGCCGAGCACAGCGGCTTCCCCCACTACCAGGTCCGTGCTGTGGAGCTCCCTCATGGTGTGTGGTGGTGAGGAGGTTCCACGCTGCCCCCACATCTCCCCTCTCCTCTAGGCTGACATGGAGGACATGGCAGATCTGGCTGACATGCGCCACGAGCTGATGGAGCGCGTGCAGGCTGTGATGGTGGCGTGCTGCGAGTACCGCAGTGCCTTCGACCACTACTCCTACCTCTACGGAGAGGACAGGAAGGAGTTCTGCCGCCAGTTCCTCCTCTACGGGCACATCCTCACCGCTGCAGAAGTCGAGGCCCATGCGGAGGACGGGGTCCCTGAGACTCCCCCCACACTGCAGCAGTTCAAAGAGCAGATCGACTCCTACGAGAAGATCTATGAGGAGGTGAATCGCATCGAGCCCTTCAGCATCTTCCATGGCTGGATGAAAGTGGATGCTCGGCCTTTCAAGGCATCTTTGCTGAACACCATCAAAAGGTGGAGCTTGGTGTTCAAGCAGCATCTCGTGGACCATGTCACGCACAGGTAAGAGAGGTTCCTGTCTCCTCACCCTGTGCTGACCAGAGGGGATTTCTCTTGTCTGGCTGGGCTTTATCATTACACCCTGGTAACCATTAAGCTAACATAGGAGCAAGAGAAGGGGCCCATGCTGCCTGCTGAGTGTGTAGAATGGAAACCATTGCATAGGCTTGGTACCATTAACATCCCATGAGCTGATGCTCCTGGAGCACTGACAAGGAGCTGATGCTCCTGGGATCTGCTGTGTGTTGTTAGATAGGACGTCTGTTTGTCCATTCATCCTGATCCAACTGATCTAATCTCTGTTAGGGCTCTGTGCTTTGCTGAATTTGAGATTAGCCGTCAGTAAAGCTGCATGAATGCCATGAGATACTGGCTGTATTTCTAAATGCAGCACTCTTCTGAGTGCAACTCAGTTTGGGTTGCCTGGCATGAGCTGTCATGGGGAGGCTTCAAGGTTACAAAAAGAAAGGAGGTTGGGATGTAAGTTTTGGATTAGCACATGTTCCCTGCTCTGAATAGCTGCTTAGTTCTCAGGTTTCTGCAGGATGATGCACCAGGTGATCCATTTGAGTAGTGGCAACTGATGGATGTCACAGGTCTTGGATGTTTACAAAGCAGTTACAGACATGCAGTAGTGAAGGTTGCTGTGAGTGGTGGATGGGATGATCTCTGGTGTTCTTTTCAGCACCATAATTCTGTTAGCTAATTGCTGTGCAACGACGCTTTTGTGTAGCTTAGAATGGGCATTTAGGAGCTCTTACTAAGAGTCCCTGACTCAGCAGTTTAGTTCTTATTAGGTGAAGTATTTAAGGACCCATTTTGGCTCAGCAGCATGCACAGAATTTAAGTGGGCACTTAAAAAGTAAGTGTTCTGAGGAGAGGGGAAAGGTTGTGCTGGAACGGACCAGAGATCCAGGAGCCCATCGTGCCTCTGCCAATAGTGCCCAGTAGCTGGGTGAGATTAAGAACAGGGTAAGCAGGTGGGGAAATGTCCCCCACATACTCTCCTTGTCTCTAATAATTTATAGGACTTTGAGTGCCAGGGGTAATGCTGAGCTCACAGGTCTCCAATGTATTCCTTCTCAGATACCTTTTCTCCAGCCTGAGAGGTTGGAGAACCTCTATGTATCTGTTCCTTGCAGGAAGCTGATATGTTACAGTATCACAAGTATCACATTTATGGATCCCTTAATTGTGGTTCTGATGCCCTCAGCATGTTGCCATGCAATGGTCAGGGTTAGCCAGGCCCTTCCCCTGTCTGTGCCAGTCCAGCTGCCTGGCAGATGCTGATAACTCTTTCAGTGGGAGCTGCTCTCATTTTGTGCTTTCCTGCTTTGTGTTCCCCAGCTTGGCTGACCTGGAGGAGTTCATCAAAACTGCTGAGCAAGGTTTGAGCAAAAAGGTTGACAAAGGTGATTATGGTGGCTTGGTGGAGGTGATGGGTCACCTCTTGGCCGTTAAAGAAAGGCAGAGTGTCACCGATGCCATGTTTGAGCCCCTGAAGCAAACCGTTGAACTGCTGAAGACCTATGAGCAACAGCTACCAGAGGAAGTCTACAAGCAGCTGGAGGTGGGTGAACGCTTGGGATGGCCACACCGCTTTGCCAAGTAGCAGATGTCAAGGAGAGAGTGAGCCTCAGAGCAGCGCAGGAACGTTTAGGACCTTACTCCCTGTCGTTAGAGGGCCTCAGTGGATAATGTTTGCTATTGCAGGATGTGCCTTTCTAGATCCACATTTTGGAGTTATATTGAGATTTTTCTTTTAAAGCAGAGATTAAGGCTTTTGTTATGTCTGAAAACCAGGGAATTGCCTCCTCCAACTCCCTGCGATTGCTCTTGACAAAAATTAATGCATTTTCAACTCGATCTGTTAATTAGGGTGAATTATAATGATTTTTAAATCAGCCAGTTCTTGGCAACTGTGGAGATGGGAAAGATAATGCTGGCAGAGGAGGTGCCTTCTCACAGGGCTTTAGTCCTCCACTGGGTCTGTAACACCAAATCTGCTTGACCCAGAGAACATCACAGGGAGCAGGTTGTGAAAGTATTTTGGCACCTTTCCACGTTTGGCTCTGATGAATCAGTTTCCTTTGGGGAATTCTTTTTCTTTCTGGGCAGGGGACCATGAGGTGGAGGTTAGGAAAGGTTGGAGATGGAGGTTAGGTTGTGAGGTGCCCAGCCAGCCTTGGGGGACAGGACACAAGCACTGGCCACAGCCAAGATTACAGTGGACAAGTGTGTGGCTCCATGCTAATGGATACCCTATAGCCATGGGGTGCTGTGGGCAGAGGGATCTGGGTAGGACACAAGGTTTAAAGCAGGATCTCTGAGGGAGATGTTCCTGCCTTAGGCACCTGTGCAGCAAAGGCTCCAGTCCTCTGCTGCAGGCTGGGTGGGAGCTGAGTGGGGTCTAGCTGGTGTTCTGCTTGTGCAGCTGTGATCCATGAGTGATGGGGTCACCAGATCTGCAGTAGGGTCCTAAAGGTGTCTTTAGGACAGTTCTTACAGACTCCCTAACAACTGAGAGAGCTGCATTGCACAGGCTGCTGCTACAGCTTCAGTTCAACATAAACCATGCTGCTGTGGGGAACCTGCTGATTCCTCTGCCTGAGAGCTCCTTGTTTGGTGCCTGTGTGTGCAGGTACATGCAAGCAATGGATTCATGTGTCTGATAAAAGGAATGAGGTATGTGGGGCTGGTCAGATGCAGGAGGCAACAGAACATTTTCTGGCAAGTGACAGCAACACATACTTGAACAATTCCTTGACTTCCACGTACAGTGGGAAAAACAGAAGTAAGTTCCTTTGAGCACTGCTCCCTCCATCGCTGTGGAGATGGCTGGGCTGGAGCTGGTAGTTTGTATGAGAAGGATGAGGAAGCAGCTCCATGGGTGCCCTGCTGTGGTCATGAACAGTGATTTCTACTGAGACTGGAATATGAAGTGCCAGAAGGAGACCCCTCAGGAGGGACTGGCCATCTCTGCTGCCTCAGAGCTGCCTCTAGGTTATTTCCCTTCTTCCCATAGCGTTGCTGGTCTCAGTCTCCCCAAGTATGTGAACTGGGATGAAAAAGGAAGCCCAGCAGGGGGTTGGAACGGGATGACCTTTAAGGTCCCTTCCAACCCAAAGCAGTCTGGGATTCTATGGAGCCCTTCCTGTAGGCTTGCACAGTACATAGGGAATGGAGCTCTCTGAGGGCAAAGCACTGGGACTTGAGGATAGCAGAGCCCTTGGCTGGTGTCAGTGTCCGGGCTGAGGATGTGGCCCGAGGAGCGTGGTGAGAAGAAATAAGATCCCTTTCTGAGGAAAACCCCAGGAAGAGGGAGTGGGTTGTCAGCAGTGCTGCACACTTGCAGCTCGGATGCAGCCCTGAGAAAGAAACCAGTTTTATTTAGTACCAGTATTATACACACAGGCTGTGGAAGCATTTGCCCACAGAGCTCTGCAGGAATCCTTCTGGTGCAACTTCTCCTGCTCTAAGAGCTGCCAGGGAATTCCCCAGGCTCTGTGCCTCAGTGAGCATCCACAGCCCATCCTCCCGCCTTCAGCTTGCTCCCAGCAGGATGGTGTTACCGCCACTGCTCTCTCTCGAGCACTGAACCATCCTGGGACCCTCCCGAAGCTCCTGCGCACGGAGCGAGCAGTTCGGGGTTCTGAGCCTCGCGAATTGCGCACAAGGCTGCGGGTCTGGCCTTTGCACGGCGCCACTGAGCCTGCTCTGCCCGCAGGACCTGCCGCACGCGTGGAGCCACGTGCGGAAGGCGGCGCAGGCGGTCAAGCAGCACGTGGCCCCCCTGCAGGCCAGCGAAGGGGCGGAGCTGCGCAGGCGCTGTGCGGCCTTCGAGGCCCGGCAGCGCCGCTTCCGAGAGCACTTCCGGAGAGAGGCGGCCTTCAGGTGAGGGCGTTACCGGAGCGGGGAGGCCTCGTGGGGACGGCGCCGGTCCCCGGGGGTTGCGCCGGGGTCCTTGTGGGCGGGCGGGTGAGGTGAGGTGAGGTGGCCTGTGGAGACCCGTCCTGACCATGGAATGGTTTGTGTTGAAGGGAGCTTAAAGCTCCTCCAGCTCCAGCCCCTGCCACGGGCAGGGACCCCTTCCCCTAGAGCAGCTTGCTCCAAGCCCCTGGGTCCAACCCGGCCTTGAACACTGCCAGGGATGGGGCAGCCACAGCTTCTCTGGGCACCCTGTGCCAGCGCCTCAGCACCCTCACAGGGAAGAGCTTCTGCCTTATCTCCAACCTGAACTTCCCCTGTTTCAGTGTGAACTCCTCACCCCTTGTCCTATCCCTCCAGTCCCTGATGAAGAGTCCCTCTCCAGCATCCCTGTAGCCCCCTTCAGACACTGGAAGCTGCTCTGAGGTCTCCACGCAGCTTCTCTTCTCCAGACTGAACAGCCCCGATGTTCTCAGCCTGTCTCCATACAGGAGGTGCTCCAGCCCCTGAGCATCCTCGTGGCCTCCTCTGGACTTCCTCCAGTTCTGTGGTTTGATGATTCCCTTCCTTCTAACATCTGTAACACCTGGGGGGTTTTGTCTCTGGGGACACAGTCCAGTGTTAACAAGAGACTGAACTTGGCTGCTGAGTGCACAGCATCACTGTAAGGTGGCATCAGATGGCTGTGCCATCAGCTTGTGCTGCAGACATTTCCTCTGTGCCTCGTCTCTGCACACTGGTTGGTTTCTGTTTTCTTTAGAAGCTGTTGCAATCTCACTTAGCAAGAATAAATATCTCTTTCTAGGTTCGACACCAAAAAGCCTTATCAAGTGCTGGATGCAAAACACATTGAGATTAAACAACTGGAGTCAGCCATGACCTCGATTTATGAATCAGCCGGTCTGTTTGAAGTCACGGTGCCAGATTATAGACAACTGAAGCAGTGCAGGAAGGAGCTGTGTCTGCTCAAAGAGCTCTGGGATATGATCTCCTTTGTGAACAGCCGCCTTGCTGACTGGCAGACCACCAAATGGGTGGATATTAAGGTGGAAGAAATGGATCTGGAGTGCAAAAAGTTTGCAAGAGACATTCGGAATTTGGATAAGGAAATGAGGGCCTGGGATGCTTTCAATGGGCTGGACAGCAAGGTGAAGAACATGCTAACAGCCCTGAAAGCTGTGGCAGAGCTTCAGAATCCTGCCATTAGAGAAAGGCACTGGAACCAGCTGATGCAGATGACGGGTGTGAGGTTTGTGATGGACGTGGACACCACGCTGGCTGACCTCCTGAAGCTCAACCTGCATAACTTCGAGGATGAGGTTCATGGCATTGTGGACAAAGCAGTGCGAGAGATGAGCATGGAGAAAGTCCTGAAGGAGCTGAAGATGACTTGGGGTTCCATGGAGTTTCAGTATGAGCTTCACCCCCGCACAAACATCCCGTTGGTGAGATCAGATGAGGAGCTCATTGAAACTCTAGAAGACAACCAGGTGCAGCTGCAGAACCTAATGACATCCAAGTATATCGCCTTCTTCCTGGAGGAAGTGTCTGCCTGGCAGAGGAAGCTCTCCACTGCAGACTCTGTCATCTGCCTCTGGTTTGAAGTGCAGCGTACATGGGCTCACTTGGAGAGCATATTCATAGGCTCAGAAGATATACGGGCACAGCTTCCCAAGGTAGGAAACCCCAAATCCTGCTTTTTCTGTTTGGAAAGTGTAAAAGAGCTTCCATTATACAAAATAGGGGTATTTATAATCCTAAATTGCCAGAGCCAGGGCTTTTTCTCCTCCTCCCTTGCATCTTTGGAGGCTCCCTTAGGGCTCTAGGAGTTTCCCTAGTGCTGCCCCAGGGTGATTTTGTACTGTGGGTTGTGCTTGAGTCATGCTGAGTAGCTGATTGTCTCCCTTCCACTGCTCCAGAGCAAATACAGAGCTCCCGGAGGCTGAGGGGGGCTGCTGGCTTCCTTCAGTGCCGCAGACATGTTCCCTCTTTCCTCAGAGGGGAGAGGAGTGGGACTTCGACCCTGCAAATCATCAAACCAGAGCTGGGGCAGGCAGCTTTGGCAGCATCCCCATCACATCCCTGCCTTCAGCACTGCTGGGCAGCTGGACTCCCGCTCCTGCTTCTGAAGATGGAGCAGGGTTGTCAGTGGTGACCTCCTCAGGGGTGTCTGTGAGTTCCTTCCCCTGCTTTGGGGAGCGCTGGGCACACCTCACTGACTGGGCCACCTCTGCCGGTGCTGATAACCAGTGAAGGCTGGCCCACGTGCCAGGAAGCTGTTAATATCCAACAGCTACCTAATGGCATGTATGAAAGCACATCAGGGTCTGAAGCTGCATCCTGCTGGGCAGTTGTTTGTATCTCAGTATCCATCTGGCACGTGGCAGGATGAAGCTCAAAGCCTCCTGAGGCTGAATCTGCTCGGGATGCATCCAGGGCTGGGGGAGGATGTGCTGGCAGGGCAGGGGATGTGAATCCCTGAGGGTAGGGAGCTTCCTACGTGGTTTGTGTGCAGGGAGGGCTCAACCTCTTGGCCAGAGCCTTGCTACTGGGGCTGAACAGAGGTTAATGTGGAAGTTCTCAGTGGTGCCCAGTGATGGGACAAGGAGCAATGGCCATAAACTGACACACAAGTTTTGCCTCAATGTGGGGGAGAACTGGATGTGGCAGAGCACTGGAACAGGCTGCCTAGGGGGGTTGTGGACTCTCCCTCTCTGTGATCTGCTCTGAGTGGCCCTGCATTGGCGGGGGGTTGGACTGGATGATCTTGAGGGCCCTTCCAACCCTAATGAAAGCTTGGAGCATTTCTATTCAGTGTCCTGGCTCACTCAGGAAGGAGCAGAGACATTTTGAACATAACTTTATTCTTCATTGTTTAGCTCCAGAAATGGAGGGTCCCTGTTCAATGCAGAGCACAATTGTCAGTGTGCTCTTCTGCTGCTGGTGTGGGGTTTCCAGGGCCTTTCCAGGGCCTTACTCAAGGCGAGGAAGGGCTCTCCTCTGCAGGAGTCACTCAGGGATGGGACTTCTGTGCTGGGGCAGGAGGGGGAGAGTGAGCTCCCATGAGGTTGGTAGCCTTTCCCCCTTAAGGGATCATCTCCTAATGGAAATGGCTGTGGCATCTCCTAATGGCTGTGGCCAGGGAGGCTGCACGCAAGAGAAGATATTCAGAGGGGAATTCAGCCCCATGGAAATGGTTGGTCCTGGACACTGGCTTCTGCTCTGATCACATTATCCACAAGCCCTTTGGCATATAGAGACAGGAAGACAAGAGCCTGATTGGAGACTTGTTTCAAGCATGTGGTGGCAGAGCCCTTTGCAGTGGTGGAGAGGTCCCTCTGCACTGCACAGAGGGCTCTGCAGAGAGTTTTTCCCCTCACTCCAAAGAGATGGGATCCTTTAGCACAGGAATAGTGACTCACCATGGACATGTTCTTCCTTTTGCTTTTTAGGACTCGGAACACTTTGAAGGGATTGATGTGGATTTCAAAGAACTGGCCTATGAAGTTCAGAAAACCCCAAATGTGGTTGAAGCCACCAATAAGCCAGGCCTGTCCCAACAACTGGAGGACATTCAGAGTAGGTGGGTAGACCTTCAGTCCCAGGAGCTTGTCAGAAACTGCCACCAGCCCTGTTTAAGCTGTGCTCCAAGGCTTTCTGCCTCCACTGTGCATTCTTTGCATTCACAAGCCACAGCATTTCTGATCTTTCTTGAGCCTTATCTGTGATCCATCACCCTGAAACCCCCAGAGGGGAGTCTGGCTCTGTGTATGTGCAAACCCTCATCCTCAATATTGACGTATGAACCAGCATCCAGCTGGTTTCATTTTGCCACCCCGTACAGGAGCCCTTCAATACCTATTGAGCAGTTCAGGCAGGGATATCTGCAGCAGAGCTGAGCCCATGTTCTTTCATTCACAAAGTTATCTCTGCCTGTATACCCTTGCCACATGGGATAACTGCACTCCCTGAGAAAGCCCTTAGTGTCCTGAGATGGATCCATATCTCGCTAAACATAGGAGCTGGTCTACCTGGAACACAAGTAAAGGTGAATGTGGTAGCTGCTGTCAGTAGTAACTCTCCATTTAAAGAAGCCTGTATTTTCTTTGTTAATCAGATAAGGCAGTTCCTCACAGAGGAGTAGCTGCGTGTTATTTATGCACTTTGTAAGCTCAGCAGCAGTTTAGCATGTGAACACTGAAACATTCATTTGAGATGGAAACGAGCAAGTTTCTTTTCAGGCTTTGCAAACACAAAAAGCTGAGTAGGGCTGAATCAGACTTTCAAATGTGGCTCATTAGAATAAAAGCAGTTATGGGAACTTTCATCCCAGTGGGAAGTCACCTGTGGCAGATAAGAGCTTGTCTAACACAGTAGGTCAGGCTGCAAACCCTTCTAGCCTCTTCTTCCACCTCTGTTGCTGCTTTTTTATGAGGCTGTTCTCACTGTTAGGCTGTTTGACCCCTGGGAGTAAAGAGAGATCTCTGAGTTACTATGAGCTTTGTAGAGGACCAGCCTATGGGCTCAGCTCCTGCCTGGCATTACACAGGGGAGGGGTGAATCTACTTAACTCAAACTGTAGCATGGAAGATGAAGTCCCTGCTTCATCAGGGACCATAGTGATAGGACAAGGGGCAATGGGTTCAAACTGAAACAGGGGAGGTTTATGTTGGATGTAAGGAAGCTCTTTCCTGTGAGGGTGCTGAGGCGCTGGCACAGGGTGCCCAGAGAAGCTGTGGCTGCCCCATCCCTGGCAGTGTTCAAGGCCAGGTTGGGCACAGGGGCTTGGAGCAAGCTGCTCTAGTGGAAGGTGTCCCTGCCCTGGCAGGGGTTGGAACTGGGTGAGCTTTAAGCTCCCTTCCAACCCAAACCATTCTATGATAAAGAATGCTTACAGCCCTGCCCTGGGCTCTGTTCTACTCCTTTGTCTCCACAGGTTGTCTCTGTGTGAGAAGGCTTTAGCTGAATATTTGGACATGAAGAGGTTGGCCTTTCCCAGATTTTACTTCATTTCTTCTGCAGATTTACTAGATATTCTTTCCAATGGCACCAACCCACATCTGGTAAGCCTTGTACTGCATCCCCTTTGCATTATGTAGCTGTCAGTAATGTGAGCGTGGAAGATGCTGTCTTGGGACTCACCTGTAGCATCTTCAGTGCTTTTTCTCCCAACCTTTTACTTGGAGTAATAATGATTCTTTCACAGCTGACCCTCATCTGTCATCTTTAAAAGGCAACATGTGCCTGTGTGTTGTCTGATTAACGCTGGTGATACTTGCAGATGGTTCTGAAAGTGCTGCACAGAGTAGAGCTACACTTTTGATGCCATAAAAATAGTGGTTTTCTTTCTGCTGGGATACAGTGAGGTTGGAGGAAACCATCTTTCTTGAGGGGCTCAGCCAAAACTTCTTGCTGACCTTGAGTCCCCAACCTGGGATGCCACCAAAGAGCATCTGCTGTTGAAACAGCCACAGACTGGTCATTCACATATGGCAGTGTTGACAGCTGGTGGCTTGGAGAGGTCCCTTGTTTTAGCAGAAGAGGCATTTGCAAATCACCTGCTTCTTCCTTCCACCATGCAAAGGTCTTTGGGAATGTCCTGATTATAGGGGAAGAGAAGAGCACAGCCTGAAAAAGGTAACACAGCTGGTGGAGAGACAGTCGCTATGGCCAAGGCAAGCAAGGAGATCTCCTGGGTTGCCATCCATCCCTGCACAGCTCCAGGGTCAGGCCTGCACCTTCTTCTACTCTCCAGGCTGGGTTTCTGGGGGTGGTGCCTGAGTGCCAGGTATGGGGAAATGATCCAAATACACCATTCCTCCTGTTGGCTTTGATGGGTTTTTGGACCCTCCTGTGGAGGAACTTGTGGTGCCCTTGCTGGTTTAGGAAGTGGTTTCTCTGCTCTTCCTTAGTCCCTCTGTCAGCAGTGAGTAATCTCACCTACTTTAAGCTTTTCATCATTTTCAGCATTCATGTGAGCACCTTTAACTGCTTATATCTGTTTCTGCTGCTGGGTGATTTAAGCCTGCAGAGTATCATAAATACATATTGATTGATATTTAAAACGGAGAGGAAAAAAACCCCAGGAAGCAAACAGAAGATGCTGTGTTGCAGTGCTCCACGGAGGAAGACGAAATTCGTGGTGCTTTCTGTTATTCAAAACTGTTTGCAGTAAAATCAAAGCAAATGTCAAGTGGGATCACACACAGATTCGCTTTCAGCCTTTCCACTGTAGTTTCAAAGTGGTAATTCCTAAAGAAGGATTAATGTTATTATCCTCTTCAACTGGATATTGAACTTGTACAGATTCAGGTGTAGTCAGGGTGCTGGTGGCAGGGTTGCACCAAGGACCGAGTGCAGCCAATGTCCTGCAGCCAGGGCAGAGGCTGGGAATGTACAGTGGGGATTTGGGAGTGGGACCTCCGAGGTGTAAGAAAAGGTTTCTGTGGTTTACTCTAATCATATCTCCATTAAAATCTTATCTGAGGGAAGCTGAGTGCCCATTGCTTCTCCTTTCCACCTTCTGGGATTTAGCCCTGCTTAGACACCAGTAAGAAGCTGTCCTCACCTGCAGGACAGCTTGTGAGAGGCAGTGTTGTAATCCTTTGTGAGTCACCGAGGAGGAATTAAATGGACAAGCCCACCCATTTGTCTCTGAAAGCACCAGGCATCACAGGCTCTGCTTGTTTCTCATCCTACCCATGGGAGTGTGTCCATCTCCTGTCTCTGTCCTCAGAGGGAGACAGCTTTGTGAGCTGACCCTTGCTGTGGGGACATCCGTGCTGGGAGGAGCCTGTGACAGCGTGACACAGTGTCTTAGCTGTGTTCTCTAGTGATCTAGAAGCAGCGTTGGTGACCTGCTGGGCTGATGTTGAGAGCCTGCAGCAGTGGTGCTAGCATCAACCTGCTGGCTTTTCACATTCATCTGGGTGTGAACAGGACATGAGGGAATTACTCTTTTCCTCGAGTGGTTTTGTCCAAGAAGGGAGTAGTTTTGTAGGTCTGGGTTGTTGAGCATTTTATCATGGTTCTTGGGCAGAAATAAAAAGGTCTTTCTTCTCCACAGAGGACAAGTCAGGGCTTTTCATTGGCGCAAAATTGATTTCTAGTACTGAAAACCCAGAAGGGTTCATAGTGAAGAAAACTCGGCAGTGTGCTGAGAATAGGATGAGGTGGAGAGAAGTTAAGAGACCTGTCGTGTAGGGAAATGGAGGCTAGGAGGTCCTGCAGTGTTTGAACGTTTGCTGTGCTTTTGCTCCACGTGAGATGTTTTCCCAGTGGGAAATGCGGTTCATTAAGCCCGTCTAACTGATGCAGAAACAGGTGGAAGCATCGGGAGAGACAGCAGGAGGCTTGTGGTGGCAGTATCCTGGCCTTGTGTGAGAAGATGTGGTGTTACCAAGACGTCCACGAGCATGCTTTCTGAACATAATTGCTCCTGTGACATGAATGGTGATCTCTATTCTCCTTGTCCTACCTCAGTTGCTTTACTTATCCAAGTCCTTTTGCAGGTGCAGCATCATCTTCCCAAGCTTTTTGACAGCTTGGCCCACATTAAATTCCAGCTGGATTCTGAGCAAAAGGCGACCAAAGTTGGCCTGGGAATGTACAGCAGAGAGGAGGAATATGTCAGCTTCAGTGAGCCCTGTGACTGCAGCGGGCAGGTGAGAGGGAAGCCCTTGTCTATCAGAACTATCAGTGGAGTCTGCTCTCCTGGCCTTGTGTGGGCATCTCCTGCCAAGACATTGCAAAGCTTCACTGCTCTTCCTTTATGCATGAGAAAGGCTGGAAGAGATGGTGTGTAATTTAATTCCTCCTTACACCACAGCTTTTGGTCCCACGCTAGAAAGGTCCTCACTGTCTTCACTGATTACCAAAGGCACTTAAGAAGAGCAAATGTGTTACTGTCATTTAATCTCTCCTCCAGGTTGAGGTCTGGCTGAATCATGTCCTGGAAAGCATGAGAGCTACTGTGAGAGATGAGATGACGGAAGCTGTTGTGGCTTATGAGGAGAAGCCAAGGGAGCAGTGGCTCTTCGACTACCCTGCCCAGGTATCTGCACTGCTCCTCATCTCCACTCAGGTTGGCACGTGGGAAAGGCAGTGCTTGGTTTCCCTTTAGTCCTGCCTTTCCCTTCTTTAAGTAGTGGCCTCTAGCAGTGGATGTGGAAGTTTCTGGCCTCCACTTTGCTGTGCAGCAGGGAGGATGGGTTGTCCTTTATCCTGTTAAGGACATGGACCTGTGGGAGCAAGTCCAGAGGAGGCCACAAGGATGATCAGAGGCTGCAGAATATCCTGTATAGAGACAGGCTGAGAACATTGGGGCTGTTCAGCCTGGAGAAGAGAAGCTGTGTGGAGACCTCAGAGCAGCTTCCAGTGTCTGAAGGGGGCTACAAGGATGCTGGAGAGGGACCTTCATCAGCGACTGTAGTGACAGGGCAAGGAGTGATGGGTTCAAAATGAAAGAGGAAGTTCAGGTTAGCTCTAAGGCAGAAGCTCTTCCCTGTGAGGGTGCTGAGGCACTGGCAGAGGGTGCCCAGAGAAGCTGTGGCTGCCCCATCCCTGGCAGTGTTCAAGGGCAGGTTGGACACAGGGCCTTGGAGCAAGCTGCTCTAGTGGAAGGTGTCTCTGCCTGTGGCAGGGGTTGGAACTGGGTGAGCTTTAAGGGCCCTTCCAATCCCCACCAGCCTGGGGTTCTGTGATCCCGGCAATCTCCTGATGGTTTCCAGGCTGAGCTCCATTCTCTGACAGGGACTCCAGGCAAGATATGCTCTTGGCTGGGTTACAGAGCCTGGGAGTTTGGGCAATGCCTGCTGCACCCTGTGGATCTATACACCCAGAGAGCCAGAGGTGCAGCAGGACAACCAAGTGGTAAGGTCTAGTGAGAAAAGAGCCCCTCAGATGCATCTCTGACAGCTTTGTGGTCTTCAGCTCTTCCTCCTCTGCTGTGTCAAGCACGTGAAAGGTGCTGATTTACTAATAAGTAGCTGCTAAATATGTCTGCCACCGATAGGGTGTTTGAAATGAATGTCACGGGGCAGATCCCCGTTGTCCTGTCTGCTGTGACTGCTGTATGACAGAACACTTAATTTCATGTCACGGTTACTTCATCCTTGATCTCCCTGGGGATCAGACACTCTGGCAGGTAAGGAAGCCTTGGTTTTATCATGGTACTGAGCCAGTCCTTTTCCATAGGTGGCTCTTACCTGCACCCAGATCTGGTGGACAGCCGAGGTTGGGATTGCCTTCGCCAGGGTGGAGGAAGGCTACGAGAACGCGATGAAGGAGTATCACAAGAAGCAAGTGGCCCAGCTGAATGCCCTCGTGACCATGCTCATTGGGCAGCTCTCCAAGGGTGACAGGCAGAAAATCATGACCATATGCACCATCGACGTGCACGCTCGGGATGTGGTGTCAAAGATGATAGTGCAGAAGGTTTGTGTTTGCAGCTCAGCATGGACCTCTCATGGGACTTGGGGCAGGGGTTGCAGGAGTGAGAGACCAACCACAGGCCATCCAGTGGGAGGTACATCACTAAATGTACTTCTGCACTGTTTGCAGTAAGGGGGCAGAAAGCCACTGTAAGCAGAGCTGTTCTGGATCGTGGCCATGCAACACCAAAGGGCTTGTTGCACTTGCCACGTTCCCACCATGGGCAAGAGTGTGGCCCCACGTTGGTGGATGACAACAATATGTTGGGAGGCTGCTGGATGCAGCCCACTCAGTCTGGTATGGGGCCACAGGGACTGTTTTGGGACTCCTTTGTCCTGCATGCCTTTCCCACAGCACTCTCCTGTCCTTCATCTTGTGTCAAGTGTCCAGGCCTGGGGGTGGGTGGGAAGGTGCTCTGAGTGTGCTGGGTTGTGGCTTTATCCTTTATCTGTTTAAACCCATCACCCCTTGTCCTGTCGCTACAGTCCCTGATGGACAGTCCCGTCTTGTGCTGCTCTTTCTGGTTTTGGTTATGCACTTTTTCCTCTCCCACCAAGGTCATTGCTAACTTGGTTCCTACCCTCTACTGGTGGGAGATGGGGAGATGACCTTCCCCACCACACCTGCCTTGTCAGTGAGAACCAGTCCACCCCCAGTGAACACTTCATTGCAGTCATCCTTTTGGTGCTTTGGCTCTGTGTGCCTGGCATTCCTGGCCTTCCCATGATGGTGCTTGTGGGTGTGTTCCAGGTGGACAATGCCCAGGCGTTCATTTGGCTGTCGCAGCTCCGGCACCGATGGTCAGATGAGGAGCGGCACTGCTTTGCCAACATCTGTGATGCTCAGTTCCTCTACTCCTATGAGTACCTTGGGAATACCCCACGGCTCGTCATCACTCCACTGACTGACAGGTAAGTCCCTGGGAAACACCGTCACAGCTGGGCTTTGCCATGCACTGAGACAAAGAGCTGCCAGCCAAAGAGGTTGTTCTTGCTCCATGTTGGAACATCTGGTGGCCGAGCTCTAACTCTTCCCTGGTTTGTGATTTGATGGTGTTACTCCTTGGAGTATCTGTGCCTCAGATCACAAGGTGGGATTTAGCTCACAGATTTTGCTCACTTGTGGATGTCTGCCTGTGCACAGGATGTCCCCAGTCCATGGAGTTTGTGAGTCTAGAATGCTTTCATCCCATCTTGGAGTAGACATCAGTTCTCTCAGTAGAGACACGTAGGTTGACTTGAGATGCTCTGTGTTGTTGCACCTGGCTTCCAGCAGCCAGTCCAGAAGTGTGCAAGTCTCCTGTGGATCCTTTGTCAAATCTTTCCACCCTATGTTGTATTTCAGTAGCTAGGAGCATCTGGGTGGCCCTAGTCACCCATGTTAGCCAGCTGAACCAGTCTCTCCCTGCATTATCAGCTTTTGTTGGCTCTATTGACTACTGTTCTGTGGCTTATACAGGGAGTATGGACACCCCCATGTGGGCACCTCCCTGGTGTCCGTCATCAGCATGATGGAGAAGCTTTTGAGCTTGCTGCAGTGTTGAGTGGCATCATTCATAGGCCGTCAGAGCAGGTTTCTCTCAATGGTGGGGAATGGGATCTTTTGGGATGAAGAGCAGTGGGAAAACAAGAGGAAGGTCTTTCAGAAAAGCTGCCCTTTTCTCATACTATGTGGGACATGCCCAGTGTCAATGAGTCATGCCCAATGGTGTCAGGATCCAGAGAGCGCCCCGCCTGATGTGAAGGGGTTGGACAGACCTTAGTGGAAGATGAGTATCTCTTGAAGAAAACACAGGTGGCCAGAAGTGGTAAGTAATGCCCAAGAGGACTTTCAGCTTAGACATAGAGTCATAGAATAGTTTGGTTTGAAAAGGACCTTCAAAGCTCATCTAGTCCAACCCTCCTGCAATGAGCAGGGACATCTTGAACTAGATCAGGTTGCCCATTATGTCCTGCTTATGTGCAGCTTTCCAGAAGAAAGGCTCTCCTGAGTGCCTTGCCCTAGTGCTGTTTCTCTGCAGCCCAACAGTGACCTGTTGGACCAAGGCTCAGCCTCTTTCCTTTGTTCCTTCATCCTTCACTCTGGAAGATGTTACATCACCCTGACCCAGTCGCTGCACTTGACCATGAGCGGAGCACCTGCGGGCCCTGCAGGCACTGGCAAGACGGAGACTACGAAGGATTTGGGGCGAGCCCTGGGCATCATGGTGTATGTGTTCAACTGCTCCGAGCAGATGGACTACAAGGTACTACTCCCACCTCGGCCGTGGTATTGTCACATGGGGCTGGGGGTGCTCAGGGCCTGATAGGACATGAAGGATAGGAGTATTCCATTGCTTTGATCCACCACCTCTCAAATCTCTGCTATGTTCCTTTCTGCAGAACACCTCTTCCTCCTCACTTTTCTACTTGTACCAGGTTTTCTACTTGTACAAGGTTCTTCAAGAGGCAGAGACCCGAACTGTGTTCTCTGCCTCATTACACCTTCCCATTCCCTTCTGGAGGTAGACTCCTTGTGAAATGTTTCCTAAACTGTGGCCTATTCAGATGAGATGGAGGCTGTGCTGATATTTTGGTGCTGGTCATTTCTTATAGAATACAGACTGGTTTGTGTTGGAAGGGACCTTAAAGTTCATCCAGTTCCAACCCCCTGCCATGGGCAGGGACACCTTCCACTAGAGCAGCTTGCTGCAAGCCCCTGTGTCCCACCTGGCCTTGAACACTGCCAGGGATGGGGCAGCCACAGCTTCTCTGGGCACCCTGTGCCAGCGCCTCAGCACCTTCACAGGAAAGAGCTTCTGCCTTCTTTACTATTCCTGTGTTGAACTGGCATGGGAAGGAACCTGTCCTGCTTTTCTCAGGATCCTCTCCTATAACAAGTCCAAAACGTGCCAAACCTTCGGCCACTGCAGAAAGCTGAACTGTTGGGCCAAGTCTTGCTTTGGGTACAGGCATTTTGGGAGCCAAGCATCACTCAGCCCAGGTAACCTTTAAATGAAAGCAGTGCACAGAGCTGCTAAAGTGCAATTAGCAAATCAAGTGGCAAGCAGCAGAGCTATAAATATTATAATTGACTTGTGCCTGCTGGTTCCATACCCACAATAGGCTGCAAATGTAAATAAACAGGCAGGGAAATCACTTCCTTGATTCCGTTTGGGATTTCATTTGTGTCATTTTCTTTTTCTCTTCCAGTCTTGTGGGAATATTTACAAAGGCCTTTCCCAGACAGGAGCCTGGGGCTGCTTTGATGAGTTTAACAGGATCTCAGTTGAGGTCCTCTCTGTGGTTGCTGTACAGGTAAGTGGAGAAACGCTTGTGAATAAATACAAACAAGGCACAGCTGTGATGCAGCCTTTGAAGCCAGGGTAAAGATGGAAAGTGCCTGTTTCCAGTTTCAGTTCCACGTGTAGGCAGGTGAAGAATTACATCCCAAGATTAAGCATCTGCATATCACAGCACTGACGAAATGTGGCATTTTTATCTCTCCTTTTCTCTCTGCAGTTGCAGCATTTGTGTCGAGGCAATTCTTTACAACATCTTCTCCCAGACCAGTGCACACTATGGCTCTGTACCTGAGGAAGACACTGGTGTCTGTGAGATAACTGCAGCATATCATTTCAGGGAGGAGAGCTGCCTTGGCAGGCTGAGTAGCCTTAAGTCATGTAGGGAATAATTTTCATGGAGGAAAAGAGAGGTGCTTGGGGCAGATCCATGTCCAGGCTTACGGAGGTTACTTATTGCCTCAGTCAGGTGCAAGTTATGTGTCATATTCAACAAGTAGGATTATATTCAAGATTAATGATGACTTTGGACAAGGGCCTGTAGTGACAGGCCAAGGGGAATGGCTTTAACCTGCCAGAGGGGAGACTGAGCTGAGCTCTTAGGCAGAAGCTCTTCCCTGTGAGGGTGCTGAGGTGCTGGCACAGGGTGCCCAGAGAAGCTGTGGCTGCCCCATCCCTGGCAGTGTTCAAGGCCAGGTTGGAGACAGGGGCTTGGAGCAAGCTGCTCTAGTGGAAGGGGTCCCTGCCTGTGGCAGGGGGTGGATCTGGACGAGCTTAATGGTCCCTTCCAACACAAACCATTCTATGAATCTGGGTGGATTTGAGGTGCACTGGCCTCATCACCCGCACAGGAAAGAACTTCCTAGTTAAGTTTAAACCCGTTCCCCTTTGTCCTATCACTACAGTCCCTGATGAAGAGAACTGCTGGAGAGTCTTGTTCTCTTGTGCTTATACATAATCTGGCACATTCCCACCTCCTTCCCTTCATTTCACTGACCCACAAGGAAATCTGGAGGTGTTTTACACAGGGCAAAGGACTGCAGGAGGAGAGATGCTCCATACCCTGCTCCTGTCTGCCCCAGGGATGGTGAGGAGGCACCCAGGGTAAGTGCTGTGGGTGCGAATCCTTATGGCAGGAGCTGAAATCCTGGGGCAGCAGTGAGAGCAGGCCATGCTCCCGCTTCTGGCTCTTGCTTTGTAGGAGAGCTCTATCTGTTTGTTCTCCAGAGCCTAAATCTCAGTAGTATCCTCTGGAAGTGCCAGTTAATTTCAGCTGCCAGGGGAGTTTGAGCAAAGGGCAGATGCTCAACTGCACTGTCCAGACCAAGACAGCTGTTACAAGGGTAGAACTGAAAGTGCTGAGCCTTGGTGGACTTCAAATTGAAGTATCCAAAGTATCGAGTTCTTCTGGACCCAGCTGTAGCTGAGTGCAGGTTTTAGGATCCCAGTGTCTGAGTAAGGTGCTGAATTCTTCCTAGGCCCCCTTTTGGGTTTGGTATTGCAGAAAGAAGGATCGAGAGCCCAGAAGTTTCTACACTTTTGTGAATGTTTCAGTCAAAGACTTTGTTCTGAACCCCTCCATGAACTCCTCGCTCTTTTCATCTCTCTTTCACTTGTAATTGGTACCTGACATGATGTCCCAGAGAAGCCCCAGGCAGGAACAGGGGTTTATGTATCGTTCCCTCTCAATTTCTTTTCCATCAGGATCTAGTTGAAAGTTGCCATTGGGAAAAAAAGTCTTTGAGGATCTTAAAATGAAAAAGGAAGCTGAACAAAAGCAGCCCTGATATGACTCAACTGCTAATGATTCCCTCGCTCCTGGCTGGAGCGCAGCATCTGAAGGAAGCAGCCTGGCTGTCATTCCATCATCATGTTTCCTGGCTGCTATTAGGAGCTGTAACCATGGTGATGTTTAATTGGCTGTCTTAGTCATGCAGCTAATGTCGATATAGTTCCTTCCAGAGAAAGAATCGATTAATTGCTTAACTTTAAGATGGCAAAGAGCAGTAGGGTTAGAGGAGTGAATAGAGAATTTCTCCCTCACTGGAGTGCTGTGATCTGGCTTTAATAAACTTGCTCTCCTTGGAAAGAGGGGTTTTTTGTCTTTTGCAATCAGGCAAATACACAAGACAATACATTAGTGAGTGGAGGTGTCAGGGGAGGTCTTACAGCCTCTTCCTTGTGGGTTTGCTTTTAAATTAAGCATCTAATGTCCTCAAGTCTTTAAAAGCAATATCGAGTGTTCAGTTTACAACTGAGCTGAGGGCAAGCTTATGGGAAATGTTGCTCCTTTTCTGGGCCCAGTCAGGGTCTGGAGCAGCCACAGGAGGGTTTTGGGTTCTCATGAAGAGCAGTGGTGTGTGGGGAGTGAAGATGGGAGAAGGGGGTCAGTGACCTGCACTGTGTCATTGGGGCTACATTTTGGTGCTGGCTGCATTGTGGATGTTTGGCCAGTCCCGAATCTCATCTCAGGCATCTGGCCTCCTGCTGGCTTGGGAAGTTCAGAGATGATTCAGCTTTTGGTGGTGGTTTTGTTGTGAGATGTGCTGAGAAGTGTCCCGCAGGTGATGTCAACAGCCAAGGTGAGATGTGGGCAGCTTTGGAGGCATTTACTTCTCCTCAGCTGCTCTTCCTTAGCCACGTCCATCATTGTCTTCTCAGCCAATGTTGCAAATTCTTGCAACTCCTTTGCTCTTTGGCCAGTCTCTCCAGCCTTCTTTTCTGCTTTGTCAAAGCCTGATTATGATGGGACATTGATGCTGCCATACAGATCTCCAAACAATGTACAAAGCTTGGTATGGTCACTAAAAAGCCAAAGCAAAGCAGGGATAAGCCCCTAAGATGGAGCCAAGTGTAAGGAAAGCAGCACTGTTGTCTGGTTCATAACACCGATACTATAACTCTCTCTTGGTTCCTAGGTGAAGTGTGTGCAGGATGCAATAAGGGAAAAGAAGAAATCCTTCAATTTTCTTGGAGAAGACATTAACTTAGTTCCCACAGTAGGCATTTTCATCACCATGAACCCTGGCTATGCAGGGCGAACTGAGCTACCTGAGAACTTAAAAGCTCTTTTCAGGTGAGTCCAGGTCAGGGTTTGTGACCTGTATTATAACAATGGCAGAAATTGTCTTTTGGAACATGCAGGCTTGATTTCATTTCCTTGAGGAATTCACTTGTACTGGGGATTTGCAGGTGGTTTCAGCCTTGTGCAACCACTGCGCTCTGCAATCTTTTCTTGTCTGTCTCTTTAGGCCCTGTGCAATGGTTGTGCCAGACTTCGAGCTGATCTGTGAGATCATGTTGGTGGCTGAGGGATTCATCGAGGCCCGGGCACTGGCCAGGAAGTTCATCACCCTGTACCAGCTCTGCAGAGAGCTCCTGTCCAAGAAGGTGAGCCCCTTCTGTGGCTGGATGGTGCAATGAATCTGTTGATCTCCAAAATCAGCAGGAACGTGGCACTCTGCCACTCATCTCTATGGCGAAAGCTTCACAGCTGCTGTTGAACTATTGCAGTAGCTTCTGGCAGAGGAGAAGGTTTGTCATCATCAGAGCAATGACATTTTTGAACTGCTTTACTTTAAAGAATCTGCCAGGACAAAAGCATTTGGCCAGCAGTATTAATGGGAGAGATTTTCCAATGGGCTCAAATGACACCGTGTTTGAAGTAGTATCCAGTGACCCTTTGCTTTCCAGTCTCTTGCTTCCTATTGATTCTCTTGTCTGTAAGGAGTTTCTGATGTCCATTCTATCTGTGAGCAAGTTCCCTGTCATGTCAGATAGGGTCACTTCCAGTGCAAAGCTCTAATTCATCAGATTTTCCCTTGTCATCATTTGCATAACTCAGAGCTGGGTCCAGAGAAGAGTTGAAAGAGGACTCCAGGTGAAAAACCTGATCTTGGCTGTTCCAGCGTGAGGCTGGGTGGACGATGCTTGTCACAGAAGCTTTGTGCTGTGTTTTAGAAGTCTTGATGGAAGCCATGGTCTCCCATACAAAGCAGTCAACTGTTGAGCTGTGCTCTGGAGGGTCTTAAGAGAGCAGAAATATGAAGAGTTGTACTCTGTAAGCACAAACTCATCCCTCCTTTTGTTTTCCTTCTTTGCTTTTTCCCCTGTTCAGGATCACTACGACTGGGGCTTACGTGCGATCAAGTCAGTGCTGGTTGTCGCCGGCTCCCTCAAGCGAGGTGACCCAGGGCGACCCGAAGAGCAGGTTCTGATGCGCTCACTTCGTGACTTCAACATCCCCAAGATTGTGACTGATGATGTGCCGGTGTTCATGGGGCTCATTGGGGACCTTTTCCCTGCTCTGGATGTACCTCGGAAGCGTGACCTGAACTTTGAGTCGTTGGTGAGGCAGGCGGTGCTGGACCTCCGGCTGCAGGCTGAGGACAACTTCATACTCAAAGTAAGGCCGAGTGATCTTCTGCTGTGCCTACATCACCATCCATCACTTGGGTTTTCTCAACCATCTTTGCTTTCCCAAAGAGGGCTCTGCAGACCTTGATGGAGGCTGTGGATTCTGGGCTCCTCAGTACAAGGAAAGACAAGGAGCTACTGGAGAGGGTCCAGCAGAGGCCACAGGGATGGTCAGGGGTCTGGAGCATCTCTCTTACAAGGAGAGATTACAGGAGCTGGGCCTGGTTAGTCCGGAGAAGAGCAGACTGAGAGGGGATCTCATCAATGCAGATCAGTATCACAAAGGTGGGTGCCAGGAGGATGGTGCCAGGCTCTTCAGTGGTGCCCGGCGACAGGACAAGGAGGAATGACCATAAACACATAAGCACAGCAAGTTTCACCTCAACATGAGGAAGAACTTCTTGCCATTGAGGGTGGCAGAGCCCTGGAACAGGCTGCCAAGGGGGGTTGTAGAGCCTCCCTCTCTGGAGGCATCCAAAGGGGCAAACTCTTGTAGGCTTAGGGAAGTGTGGCCCCTGGAAAGCAGAGCCTCATCAGCTGTTGGCCATCAGATGTGAATAGTGCTGGAGGGTTTCACCCACTGTGATTATAGAGTAACGAGACCAAACCCAGTGTCAAATCCCTTTGTCTGTGGGTCACATCTTTCTAAAGAAGAGCCCCAGTGGGAGCAATGTCGTAGATCTGAGCTTCAGTTTAGCATCTCTATCTAAACCTGGGGGTGTTCTTCCCCAGGTGGTGCAGCTGGAGGAGCTGCTGACTGTCCGTCACTCTGTCTTCGTGGTGGGTAACGCAGGCACGGGCAAGTCTCAGGTGATGAAATCCCTCCACAAGACTTACCAGCTAATGAAGCGGCGTCCCGTCTGGACAGACCTCAACCCCAAAGCAGTCACCAATGACGAGCTCTTTGGAATCATTAACCCAGCAACCAGAGAATGGAAGGATGGTAAATGGCGTTTTGTGAAGGAATCTGTAGATACAGGATGTTTTCATGACCTTCCTGAGCAGCAGCAGGATGACTGGTTCTTTGTGTGCAGCGGAGGCCCAGGCGCTCATAGCTTTGCGAGAGTTTGTTGAAAGGATACACAGGATGTTTTAGCCTCATCAAACGGGAAGTATAGCATAAACCTGTTCTATTTGGGTTCAAACAAAGGGGACATTTAGGTTGCATATAAGGCAGAAGCTCTTCCCTGTGAGGGTGCTGAGGCGCTGGCACAGGTTGCCCAGAGAAGCTGTGGCTGCCCCATCCCTGGCAGTGTTCAGGGCCAGGTTGGACACAGGGGCTTGGAGCAAGCTGCTCTAGTGGAAGGTGTCCTGCCTGTGGCAGGGGTTGGAACTGGATGAGCCTTAAGGTCCCTTCAACACAAACCAGGCTGGGATTTGATGATTCTGTCCTGTCACCATAATAATTGTGTCCATTACTATCAGCACTTACCAGTGTCCATTAATATCAGCACTTACCAGTTCCTGGCAAGCAGTTTTTTGGGGTTGGCTGCACTGGTGATGGAAGAACGTTCCCTTTTGCTCTGTGGTGTGCACTGGGGTCCCCCAGAACGTGCCATCCCCAAGTTTCTGTACCTGGTAGCACACCTGCAGAAGTGGTGTTTTTCCACATAACTGTTGCTGCCCAATCTAGCACACCAGCATTTGCCAGTCAGTTGATCCTGATTGCTCCTGAGGAAAATCAGATGGGCATTAAAAACCTGCTGAAAGGTTACAAAATCTGGAGTGGAAAGGCTCACTTGTGACTAATGGGTAAAGGCAGCTTTGATTTCCGCGTGCGGCTGCTTTGGAGGTGTGGGAGGTAAGGGAAGATGTTGCCATAAATCATTCTTGGCCAGAAGCCTGCCAGGAGATGAGCTGCCACCCACCAACCCTGGCCCCTGCTGGAGACCTCTCCTGACCTCCTGCTTTGCTCCAGTGCCAGGGTTAATGTCTTTTTAATTGTAATTAGGGACCCTAAATCAAAGTGACAAGAGGGAGGTGGGGGATAGAGCCTGAGCTCTGCGCAGTGGCTGCAGGTCAGGGCTGCTGGTGGGACTGAGCAGCAGGAGGGATATCCTACAAGTTGTCCAGTGGTTTCTAGCCAAAACATTCAAGGGAGCTTATGGAGCTCCAGGCTGAGGTCTCGAGGCAGATATTTTCTGCATGAACCATTCCTGAATAGGTTGTTTCTTGTCAAAAATCAGCAAGGCAATCATCACCCCAGCCTAACGGGAGGTGATGTGTCCCCTCCTGGATCAGCCCCTTCTTTTCCTCCTCTTTCGTCCTGTCACTCCTTTCGTTATCAGCAGTTGAAAGGGTTATACATGTTAGGTGGTAAAAGGTCCCACAAGGGAATCCTGAAAGTGTTCTTTGTAGAACTCAGCCCTTCTTTTAAATCCCAAGACCTCCCTGTGGTGTGGATGCACACAGTTTTCTGTTGCTGCTGTGGTGTATATGAGGCAGCCATTGATGCTCTGAGGCAGCCATTGATGCTCTGAGCCAGCAGCTATTTCTGATACTAATGATGCTGGAGCAGCTTCCAAGGCATGTATCCTATGTGTCAGGAGCTGAATCAAGGCAGAGCCAGTGAAATGTGATGGGGTTTTTTTGGCCCCTCTCTGAATGGGATACCTGTTTCAGATAAGCTGTTCTGCATTTGTTGTGCTTGGTCTTAAGTCATAGAATTCCAGTAGCTGTTCCTGACCTGGCTCCCAAAGAAATAGCTTGTCCTGAAGAGAAAAAAAAGGTGTGTTTGTCACAATTCACCAAAAGAGGCTTTTTTTTTGTAACATTTGCCTGTTGTTTTGTCATGAGGAGCAGCATCTCCCCAGGTATTCACAGGGAGAGGAGAGCGATAGTTTCGTGGAGTTTGCATTTGCTCTGCAGTGCTGCTGCTCTATTCCCAGCCTTCCTGCTCTTCTTAACATTCATTATTTACTCCCCTTGAGACACTGTATCCTCTCTGTCTCCTTGATTTTACTGACAGTTTGTTCTGTCATTCAGTGTCATCTTGTGCTTGTTCTCCCCTCAATCTCTCTAAAGCCATGGTCCAGCGTTTAATGCATCTTGATTTCCCTGATATCCTTGCAGCCACAGAAAACCACGTAGAAATTTCCAAGGCATATTCAGGTGGTTTTCTCTGCAGTGTGTAATTCATGCCTCCTTTTGCCTCTGAGTACCTGTTCTTCACTTTCATCATCCCTGATGATTCTCGGTGAGAATGAAGCTGTTACATAGGTCTGTGGTAGTTTTCAGTGATCGTAACTGATAATGCCGACCAGACCCAGACTGTGAGATAGTAATAGATAGGTACAGATGTAAAGAGCTTTGAATGCTTAAGAGGAAAACATTAATTAGGATAATTTTTAGTAATCTGCTAGAGAACACTGTTGGAGAGGTCGCAACTTCAATGTTCATCAGCATATTCCTGTCCCACTCCCAGGACTGTTTTCATCCATCATGCGAGAGCTGGCCAACATCACACATGATGGTCCCAAGTGGATGGTACTAGATGGAGATATTGATCCGATGTGGATTGAGTCTCTTAATACTGTGATGGATGATAATAAGGTAATGAAGATAAGTCAAAGAGGGGATATTCCTTGATTGTGTGTTGTGATTCAGCCTGGGAGAGATGCAGATGCTGTGATAACACCCCCTAAAATAATGTGATTGTGTTTCTTCAGATAGAACAACCAATAGTGCATAAAGAAAATGGTACACGAAGGAAATAGCTCAAAGCATGTTGTCACTGGAATTCCCCTTTCCTGGGGCGTTAGGCTCATGAGTAACCACAAATGTCCTGCTTGTAACTTTAGGCCCTTTAAAAATAGAGCAGGGTCATAATCCAACACCTTTCTTCCCCACCCTGAGGGAGTGTTGTGGGTCATGGAAGAGAAGGATTGTTCTGTCTGTTAGAAACCACCTGCTGAGCAGCCAAGCTTTTGAATATAAAATGCTGAATGCTTTTCATTCCTGTTCCTGGGGGAGGAGTTAGTCTGACTGTCTGTCTGTCTGCCACGTGCAGGTGCTGACCCTGGCAAGCAATGAGAGAATCCCTCTGAACCCAACAATGAGGCTGGTCTTTGAGATCAGCCACCTGCGCACAGCCACTCCAGCCACTGTGTCCAGAGCTGGTGAGTCCTGGCCTGAGCTTCACACTGGGGTTTTGCATGGACTAAGTAGGACCCAGTGCCTTTAACCAGTCTTTCGTTGGCCAGCTTGGTCCCTCTTGAAAGTTCCCAGGGTGGGTTCTTGAAGCACATAGACAGGCTGAGGATCCTGACCCCAGATCCCTGGGAAGCTGTCATCTTGGAGATCTGTCCAGAGTGCTCTGACTGTTGATGGGTGACCATGGCTTCAGCGTTGCCGCAGAAGTGGTCCTGTTGTGCAAAGCCCTTTATAGACTGGATGAGGAGAGGGACAGTATCCGAAAAAGCTCCTGATATTCTGGAGTACATGAAGTATAGGAAAGGGAATGAAGATGTCCCCTAATTGTACATATGAGGCCCAGAGCAGTAACATCACTAAGGCAAGACTGTGTTCTGTATTTGGGGCAGGGTCAAGAAAGGTGTCCTGGTTTCCTGAGTTAGGTCTCTTCACTGTTAATGTTTCCAATGTGTGTGTGGGGGATAGGTATTGGGACACCAAGGTGTTTTTGATGGGCTTTTATTAGTGTGAAAGTAGCTGAGAAATTCTGCTGGAGAAAAGGAAGAGTTGCTTCTCTGTCCTTACTGTATGTTCTCTCTTACCCTGGGCCTAAAGGCATCCTGTACATCAACCCATCAGACCTGGGCTGGAGTCCCCCAGTGAGCAGCTGGATTGACAGGAGGGAGATCCAGTCTGAGAGAGCCAACCTGACCATTCTGTTTGATAAGTACCTGCCAACTTGCCTGGACACCCTCAGGACAAGGTACCATTGAGGACTAGCTCTGCTGGCAAGGGCAAGGGGACACAGCTGTGCTGTGCTGCACATGGCACGGGTGGCTGGTTTCCTCCTTGCCCCTGAGAGCCCTGAGCATCACTGGTTTAAGTGCAGAGAAACAACAGGCCCTGGGCCTCCTTACCTTGATTTGGCTTCATAGTTGTGCCCACAGGGAAGTTGTTCTTGCTTGTCATTGTGTGAGACAACTCTCCTATACTATGGGGAGGACTGGCCAAAGTAGAGTCCCAACAAACTGAAGTAAGGGATCTTCTGCTATCCTCTGCTTGCTTCTCATAGTTATACCTTAATTTAAAAACCCCCATAGAATCATAGAATAGTTAGGGTTGGAAAGGACCTTAAGATCATCCAGTTCCAACCCCCTTGCCACATGCAGGGACACCTCACACTAAACCATGTCACCCACCTCCATCCGACCTGGCCTTCAACACTGCCAGGATTTTCACAGAGGTTGGAGCATTCACAACTTCTTTGGGCAACCCATTCCAGTGCCTCACCACCTTCACAATAAAGAATTTCTTCCTTATATCTAACCTAAACTTCCCCTGTTTAAGTTTTAACCCATTCCCCCTTGTCCCATTGCTCCACTCCCTGATGAAGGTCCCTCTCCATCATCCTTGTAGCCCACTTCAGACACTGGAAGCTGCTCCGAGGTCTCCATGCAGCTTCTCTTCCCCAGGCTGAACAGCCCCAGCTTTCTCAGCCTGTCTCCATATGTGAGGTGCTGTTGAACATGGGAGTTTTCAGCCACAGTGGGAATGTGTCAGAAGCAGCTGCATTAGTGATAGCAGTGGGCTTTTGAAGTAGGAGCTGCTCTCTGAGTGACCAAGCTGGTTATAGCTGTTGGCAGCAGAGTCCATGAGACATCTCCCACTCCATTTGCTAAGCGCTGTGTCAGCCCGTGACAGGCGCAGGATTAGCTGCAGGCAGCCCCGAGCAGGGTGTTTTGGTAGCTTGCTTAATTCAGAAATTGTAGAAGCCACCTCTCCAATAGCTGTCATTACTTTATGGAGGACTTGAGCGCTGCTGCAGTATTAGTTTGGAATTCTGTAAGTGAGCCTAAATGAATGTAAAATGGCAAGATGAAAGGTTTTATTTGATGACTCCTCTATTTGACCGCGTTTGAAGTGCTCGTCCGCGCAGGAAATCACAGCCTTTAGCTTCCATTTTACTTCTTTCAAGAGGATCAAAGTTTTAAAATGGTTCAAACTTCTGATCACTGTTATTACTTGTGTACGTGCCGGGGCCAGCGGGTCTGCGGGAGGGGAGGGCTGTTCTCTCTGCTGCTGTACCAGGGAGCAAGACACGCACTGCTGACAAGTGAAGTGCCTTGAAAAACCATTTCCAGCCTTGCCTGCCTGGGTTCTGAATAGCTGTGATGCTGACATTGCCATCCCTTAGGTTTAAGAAGATTATTCCCATTCCTGGGCAGAGTATGGTTCAGATGTTGTGCTACCTCCTGGAATGCCTCCTGACAGAGGAGAACACACCTCCCGACTGTCCCAAGGAGCTCTATGAACTTTACTTTGTCTTTGCTGCTGTCTGGGCTTTTGGTGGATCAATGTTTCAAGACCAGGTAAGAATGAAAATGCCACTTCAGCATTTTATGCAAGCCTTTTACATAGTGCTGTTTGCCTGGGGGTCTCGTGTAGGTGACCATAGGTTAGAAACCTGAATGCAACAGCTCCTTTTTGTAAAAGACCTCAGGGGAGAAGGGCTGAGGAGTCAAGTGATAAAGGCAGAGAGATGTTTGATTATCATAGAATTCCAGGCTGGTTTGGGCTGGAAAGGTCCTTAAGATCATCCAGTTCCAACACCCCACCATCGGCAGGGACACCTTCCACCAGAGCAGGTTGCTCCAAGCCCCTGTGTCCAACCTGGCCTTGAGCACTGCCAGGGATGGGGCAGCCACAGCTTCTCTGGGCACTGTGCCAGCGCCTCAGCACCCTCACAGGGAAGAACTGCTTCCTTCTTCCTGTTTCAGTTTGAACCCATCACCCCGTGTCCTATCACTACAGTCCCTGATGAAGAGTCCCTCTCCAGCATCCTTGTAGCCCCCTTCAGACACTGGAAGCTGCTCTGAGGTCTCCACGCAGCTTCTCTTCTCCAGGCTGAACAGCCCCAGTGTTCTCAGCCTGTCTTCGTATGGAGGTGCTCCACCCCCGTTATCATCTGTGTGGCCCCAGTTAATTTATAGAGGCCTGTGGATGTGCATAATGGGATCAAAGTAAAACTGACTTATCAGATGGATCTGTCAATGGAGCAGCCTTCTGTCCCTCTGACTGTGCAGGTAGATGTTGAACCACAAAACCAGTCAGTGCTTTGTCATAGGTTGAGGTTGGTGGCTGTAGGTGCTCAGCTTGAGTTCCCTCTGGCAGCCTGCTGTTTGGAGTCTGTGACGTGAGCTCCTGGGCTCAGTCAAGCTCTTGGTGGATGGATGCCCACACCCAGGACTGTAGCGCTGCAGGGCGCAATCTAGAGAGCAAGATCTTGGGCCAGGAGGATTAATCAGGCTGTGGTTCACTAGTGGCGTCCCTGATGTTCAAACTACACTCGTGTCTGAGATGCAGAGTCAGACAGGGCAGTACTCTCCATGCTGCTTCCCAGGTTGTCTGTCCTGTGGATTTGCTGCTGCTGTTAGGCTCTGAATCCACCAGCTTGCATTAAACAAGGGGGTTGGGGATGGGGATGGTGGTGGTGATCTCTTGCATTGCAATGTTGTTAGAAGACAGTTTTCTCAAGGTCAGCAGTTGGTACTGAGCATTTTCAGCCCCCTTTCAGGTCCTTGTCCTTAAAACATGGGAGGGAGGAGCAGAGACATCTCCAGCCAGGCTGAAACACAGCCGCTTGGTGGGAGCTGTAGCATGTGAACAGCAGCGACCTTGGGAAGGGTATTCTCCAGACTTGCCTGGGAAAAGCAGGGTCAGAGCTGTCTAAGAGCACATGAAGCATGTGAAGACCCAGGTTTTGAGTACCAGGTTTTCAGGAAGTAGCACAAGGCAGTGTGAGTAGCTGCAAAGTCTGCAGGTTTTGAAATACACTTAGCATCTTCTGGAGCTGCTCACATGTTCTGCCCAGTCCCTGCTGGGAACCTGTTGGGTGGTTGCATCTCCTGGTCAGAGGATACTTTGTCCCCAGGTTTAATGCATGTAATCCTGACATGTGGGTCTGCTGTGTGACAGGACACTGATGTGTCAAGCTCTGTGTTGTCTGGAAGTGTGTGGGGCTCTCCATGGACCTGACACCAGCGATCCTTTCCCAGCTCAGGTGGAGGCACTGCCCTTCTCAGGGGCTGCTCAAGTGCTCACTGGGGTCTGTGTTTCCCCTTGTGCCTCAGTGCACCAGTAGCATGTGCTGGACTCCACCTGTGCTTCAGGGTAAGGAGCAGATGTTTTGGGAAGTGACAACAACAAAGGTCAAGCTCAGCCATCCTGCCTCATGGCTGTTAAATGACCAGTGTAAGACCAGTTTTCTTGGTCCCTGTGGAAGACTTAACCCTGCATTTCCTCTGTGCCAGCTGGGAAATGCTCAGCCTTAGTGGCATCACCACAGGGTGACATAAAGGCAACACAGTGAAGCCTGGGGAGCACTGCTTGTGCTTGCTTCAGCAGTACAAGCTGCTGTCTCATTGTAGGAGCTCACAGCTCCTTCAGCAAGTTGGCTGGAGCACGCTCGTGTAGCAACTGAACACTGCTCCCTGAGCCACCGCAGAGTCAGTCACAGAGTCACAGGAAGAGCCACGTTGGAAAAGACCTTTAAGATCATCAAATCCAACCATTCCCCAGCACTGCCAAGGCCACCACTAAATCCCTGGCACCTCAGGCTCTGCCTGGCTCCCTGGGGAGGAATGGCACGGACACATGTGCCTGGGATTGTGCTGCAGGGGCACAGCATCTCTCTGGGAGCTTTGTCTTGGAGGCTGGACTCTGCGTTGCTGCTTGTGATGCTCTGTAAATGTCAGGAGTGTGAGCGTGAGGATGCGGCAGCCGGAGCGAGGGGAAGCCTGATGAAAAATGATCCAATATAAAATCTGTTTATTGCTCTCCATTGAAGGTGCCCTTCGTGCTGACCTTTTGCTGCCGAAATGTCAGGAGAAACAGTCTGGAAGGCTTCCTGCTACTCTGTGCTTGTTGGTGGGGAGTGGGGGCCCCTGGATAAAACCAGATGATAGATTTGCCGTTTCCAGCCTCTGAAATTAGCAGAAATCCATATGGGCTTTGTATTAAAGAAGCAGCTTGAGTTCAGCACTGCTCTGGCAATAGAGCTGGGGCTGGAGCAGCTCCACTGAACTACTTGGCTGGGGGGGGGGCAGCCCCTCACAATGCAGCTGGAGGCAGTTTGCCTCTGTAGGGGTAAAGGCACCCTTGTGAGAAAGCTTTTAGCAGTGCTGCACGTCCCTCCCCACTGCGGGCTGCTCTGCTGCTGGCACCGAGGAGGCAGAGCAACAGAAGGGAGGATAACAGTTATTCTGCTTCTCTGAACAGCACGGGACTGCAAAAGCATGGGTACCAATAATGTGCTTTCTCAAATCCTCTGCTCTCCTGGTGGCTTGTGACTCAGGAGGCTCTATAGAGGCCACTTGGTTCAGTTCAGCTTCTGATCCACGTTTCCTGTTGGAGGCTGAGCAGTCTATGGGCAAAGTGTTGGTGGCTTGGCAAAGCACATTGAATGGCTATGGGGAGGTGAGACCTGCAGATGCCCCACGGACTGTTAGAACAGCACATTATGTATTTCACAGCCATCTTTCTAACAGCACTTTCCCCCTCTTTCTCCCACCCCTTTCTCCCCAGGCAGGAGTCTGTAGTCCCCACTGTCTGCATGGGAAGGTGCTCAGGCTGAGTGACAGGCCCAGTGTCATACAGGAGACCTGGGGCAGGGGACTAAGCACATTTTGCAAGTCCTGGCCCAGCATCGAGAGCAAAACTGACCCCCCAGCTCCTGAAAAATAATCAGGTGCTCCAAATTCTCCATGGATGGGAAGATAAAATGGGGACAGACAAGGAAGCGCTGATGCAGCAGCACAGAAACAAAGGGGCAGGCTCTCTCTCTGGTGCTTTGGTACACTGGTGTCTCCAATCTAGCTTTTTCTAAACATTGTGGCCTGAAAAGAGGCCAGAAGACAAAACCTAAATATTAATAGAGGGGTGTGATTTATGAGGAAAGGCTTTAGTATGCGTGCTTTGGCTACCCATGACCACAGATGTAGATGGATGTTGAGTCCTTGTCTGTCAGAAGCAGCAGAATCAATCAAGGGGTCTGTTTAGTCACGGGCACGTATTTCTCTTTTTCAGATTGATCCATCTATCTAATCTCAGACATACCAAGAGTGATCAACACTGAGGATGAATTATTTAGGGGAATAAATAGGAGTGATGAGAAGGAATGAAGAAGATGAAAAATTAGGCTTAATAATAGGGGATAAAATCGTTATGAATGGAATGTGTTTAAGGACTAATCCTGCTCTGGTGGCCTGGGATAGGTAACGTTCTCCAGCACTAGTGAATTTCTCCAGATTAGCATATTTTCTCCACTTACTGTCTTGCAGCTTGTGGACCACAGAGTGGAGTTCAGCAAGTGGTGGGTGGCAGAATTCAAGACCATCAAGTTTCCTTCTCAGGGCACAGTCTTTGACTTTTACATCGAGCCAGAAACGAAGAAGTTTGAGCCTTGGTCTAAACTTATTCCCCCGTTTGAATTTGATCCAGAAATGCCATTACAGGTATGTGAACCTCACCTGCATTTGGTCTGGGAGGAGTACATGGGTTTTAGTATGTGGGCATTTCAGTGAAGTCCCATTCAAGCACTTCGTAATAAGGATGGCTTCTTTATGAGGTACAACCAAATTACCCAGCTTTTTCTACATGTGAAGATACATCCTCCATCCATCTTCCAAATATGAGTGATGTGCGTGAGGGGCAGGCGCAAAGCCACCCAGTGACCCTGGAGCTGGTGTGCCCAGGGTGCAGGATGGGGGGAATTTGTCCTTCAGAGAGAAGCAGGATGTGTGACAATGTAGTGACAAAGCCCCTGAGACACCATGTCATCGTTCTGCGTGGCTGAAAATAGATCTGGTTTTGTGATCTGGACACAAAATGAGCCGTCCTGCAGGTAGCGAATTGTGTTTGCCAGCTCTGCTTTACTTTTGTTTTATAAGTGCCACAGTGAGGAGCTGGCTGCTAGAAATTGTTCCCATTTTAGGAAAACGTGTGTTTGCGGGGAGATGCAGGTGCTGCTCCGGCAGCGAGCTCCCGAGGTTCCCTCTGTACCATTTGACTTTAACAGCTCTCTTCCTGCTGCAGTCTGGAAACTGGGGCTGCCTCCCTCATTCCTGGCTCCCCTAATTGGGCTTCTCCCCAGAAGGTGGCTGTGGGCTTGTGGATGGGGGTGCTCATCTGCTCATTCTGCCCCTCTCAGGCTTGCCTGGTGCCCACCACTGAGACAGTCCGTGTGCGGTACTTCATGGACCGGCTCCTGGAGCGCCGGCGCCCGGTGATGCTGGTGGGCAATGCCGGCACAGGCAAGTCTGTGCTGGTGGGGGACAAGCTGTCCTCACTGGACACGGATGCCTATGTGGTGAAGAAGGTCCCGTTTAACTACTACACCACCTCTGCCATGCTGCAAGGTAAGGAGGTGGCTGAGTCACAGGACTTCCGTCTGTGACTCAGACAGGTAGAATTCCTGGGGTGTCCTTCCCAACAGGAGAAGGCCTGTGGGAGAGCTGCCTCTGTTGTCTATGGGCACTGCATTGACACCCACAGACTCTTAAAACCCACTGTGAAACCCTCAGGTCAGCAGACCCCTGGTTTTGTGGAAGGTGATGTTTTCCATCGTGAGGATTTGAGGGCTGACCACCATGACTCCAGCTCAGGGCTGTGCCAAAGCATGTGCTTAAATCTGCTGCTGTTTTGTATAGTACACAGTACTTGACTTGAGATGTGTCTTTAAGATGCTTGAATTTAAGCCCATGCTGAATAGGATGGGTCTATTGACTGAGATCTAAACTGTCCTCATGGTGAAGTAACAGGAATTGCATCCCAATTACCAGTGAGGATGGTGCTAATGGATATGTGCAGCCTATAAGCCAGGCCTGCCAGTTCCTGGCGCTGTCTGGTTTCCTGCCACAGCCCATCATGGTCCTGTGGAGTAAGTCCCCCATCCCCAAGGGCACAGGAGTTGCTGCCCCTGTGGGGCTCAGAGCCCCAGGGAATTGCTGCCCCTGGGGAAGTCCGTAAGAACATCGCTGATGAGGATTTGACACATCAGTGAAAGATGAAGTTTAAGATCAAGGTAAGGTCACTTCTGTTATGTGTTCTCTTCAGAGCTGAAAAGAAAGGAGGGAATTATTGAAAGGTGGTTCATTTTGGAATGTTTTTTTTTCACTTTGAGTTGAACTAAAGAGAGAGAAAATAATTTGTTACATGTGTTTATTAACCAGGAATAAACCTCCTTTGTTTTAAGTTGAATGGGTCATTGTGAACCAAGGTGCTGCCTTTATGTAGCTTGGTTTGACCCAAGTGTCCTGAAGTTCTTCTACTTCCCCAGCCCCATAGAGGACCACAGAGAAGCTGTGGCTGCCCCATACTTGGCAGTGTTCAAGGCCAGGTTGGACACAGGGGCTCAGAGCAAGCTGCTCTAATGGAAGGTGTCCCTGCCCATGGCAGGGGTTGGAGCTGGATGTCCTGTTTGAGCTTAACATTGCCCTCTGGGGCTGACCCACTTTTAGAGAGATGGCAGCCCAGGCTCATCCCATGATGTGTAACCTGGGGCCATGCTGTGGGGCTGCTTTCTGGGCAGGTTTGAAGGGTTTCTGGTCTTGCTGGTGTGCACCCTCCCAGGCTCTGCTGCCCCTCTCTGTCAGCCAACGGGATGGTGCCTGTGCCCACAATCTGCCCACAGTGTGAATGCAGATTATTTGGGAATGCAGAAAACTTGGGTAAAATCTCACCTTTGGGCCGGTCCTGCAGCCCTGATTGAGTGGTGTGATGGTTATAACCTGCCTTTCCCCCTCCCAGGCGCCCCTTCTCTTTCCCTCCCTGTGTGGAGTCTCTGAACTGTCTGTCTGTCCACCCAGCTGCCTGGGTGGTGGAACGTGCCCTCATTTATCTCCATCAGGGTGGATGAGTGTGTGCAGGTGTTGAGATTGATGCCAGCAGCCCTGGCAGCACGTCCCTGTTTACTCTGGCTGTGAGCGATGGGCTGAGACAGCGACTTTCTTCCTCTGCAGAGGGGAGCAAGTCATCTTGTGTGGGGATGAAGATGTGGCTGTGAGATTTGCATCGGGAAGCATGATTTATACTGCTTGGCCTGGCGCCCCGCTGCTCATTTTTTAGAGTTAATTTGTCCCTTTCTGTGTGGCTTGTCAGTTGGTTTTTCTCCCCAGCAGCACCTCTTTAAATGTGCAAAATACGGATACCAAGCAGGTTTGCATTTCTTTCTTTTTTTCCTTTGAAAAGCTCCTAATTTCCTAGACCAGGTGGCGGTTGGTGCAGGGATTTGTAAGGTGCAGAGCGTGCGCCCTTCACTGTAAGCACAGGTATGTGGGTCAGATCATCCTTGTGGCTCCCATGGTGACAGCATTGCCATCTGCAGAGGGGTTTTAACCACACTCTGCCCAAGCCTGGGGCCAGCTGGGGGCTTTTCTTCGGTGTTCTGTGACTGAACTGCCCTTTGTGTGGCATTTGGTGCAGTCCCAGCCCATTGCCCTAGAAGACCTCCAGCCGACTGCTCTCCCTCTTCATGCCCTCTTGGACCTTTGCTTCTCCACCATATGCTTCTCCATCCCTGGCTTCTGTCATTCAGCACCTTCTACTCCAGATCTAACTTGAGAAAACTGCCGTAGGTGTTGGGTGGTTTTGATGTTGGGTTTTTTCCCCTCTCGACCAGGACCCAGCAGGCAAGAGGAGCCACACTCCCTTTGAGAGTCCCATTTGCAGTGACTCTTTCAGTGCTGATTTGAGTGTGTCAGGTTCTCAGAGGCCCTTTATTAATACTGTGAGATACAGCTCTGAATTAAAATGCAACTTTCCCAAACATGTCACTTGATCCCCAGTAATTGCATTTCAGTGTGATGAATCTCCTGCATACTTGTTTAACCTCAAAAAGGGCTGATTTTCTATGTTAATGAAGGCCTCATTAAATTGAGATTAAATGCTTATTTGAAACACTTAATTTAACTTGCTACCAGAAACTTCAAATATCGTGGGTTTACGGAAGGGGGAGAGAGGCTCCACCGAGGGAAGATCCATCATTCCCTTCCTGAGCACAATTCCTGCCTTTGTGCAGCAGCGCTCCATGACAAGAAATCAGCTCAGTTTTGAGGAGTGGGAAAGACAAGCTGTCTGCAATGCACTGGAGCAGTGAAAAGTGCTGTGGTCTGAACAAAACGCAGCGTAGAATCATTCCTTAACAGAATTTGCCCATAATAAGGAATGCCTTAAGTGTATGTTTTCACAAGCTGATTTGAATAAGAATTCCCAGTCCCATTTACGTTTGCTAGTCTTCCCTAATGACAAAGAATTGCTCCTTCATGTTCCTCTCTACAGTACCTTAACAGAATCATAGAGTCATGGAATGGATTGGGCTAGAAGGGACCTTAAAGCTCCTCCAGCTCCCACCCCTGCCACGGGCAGGGACACCTTCCACTAGAGCAGCTTGCTCCAAGCCCCTGTGTCCAACCTGGCCTTGAGCACTGCCAGGGATGGGGCAGCCACAGCTTCTCTGGGCACCCTGTGCCAGCGCCTCAGCACCCTCACAGGGAAGAGCTTCTGCCTTAGATCCAACCTAAATCTCCTGTTTCATTTTGAACCCATCACCCCTTGTCCTGTCACCTAAAACAATGTAAATGAAATTCTGCCTCCATCTCCAGGAGAGCACTGAGCCCCGGGGAGTGAGGATGCTCTCCAAGTGAGCGCACAGCAGAAAGCCCATCCCGGGCTCTGGGCAGAGCAGAGCTCTTCTGTTTGCTTTTCCTCTTACTGAGTCAGTAAAGGTTGCTGGAGCTGCATTCAAGGGGATCAGTAAGCCCCAAAGCCCCATGTGCAGCAGTGGGGGTGGTTTTTATCAAATAACAGCCCAGCTTTATAAATATTCCCCACATTTTGTAATTCAGAGCACCACAGAACCTCAGCCTTGTGCTGAAGGGAATGGAAACCTTCCAAAGCTTTGAAATGAGGAACTTTTATCTCCATGCTTTCTCTTGCTCAAACACGACCCTGCTTAAAACTAGGTGGTCATTTGATAACTCCTGTTGGAACTGAGCCTTGTCACGTTACCTGGAGGTTTGGGTGATGCTGGGGATGGGAGCAGGGAACCTGTGGGTATTTGGTACATTTATATAAATAATATTTGGCTTGTTCTGAAGATGTGCAGGATTTTACCCCAAAATCACCTACTGCTTTTGTTTACCAGAGGCAAGAAGTGCACTGACAGTCACAAAATCAGCTTTGCTCGTGGGCTTCTATGCCCAGAGCTCTCCCTGTTCCTCCCCAGTACCCAGCCACTACTGCCTGTGTCACTGGGGCAGGCAGCAAAGGACGTTCACTGCTCTGCTGTACAGCTCAGAATAATACCAGCAAGCAAGATTTAGTTTAAAAAACTTATCCAGAAGGGATTCAAAAGGCTTTTATCTTGCCTGAAAAGCTTTTGTTTGCTCTGAAGTGGATGTGGTTTGGAGCTGTATTGTGTTTGGTTTGCTGTATTGTATTTGGGTTGCTCTGTTTGGTTTGAAAGGAGGAATTGAGAGCGCTCTGATTTGGGTCGAGTCAGACTGAAAAGCTGCCCAAGGGTCCCTGGCAGCTCCACACAGGGCTCTCAGCTGCTCTGTGGCTGCACTTTGGTGACAGCCACCATCCTGAGCTGGTGCTGAGAGCACCTCTTCCTCCTCACAAAGCAATAACCAGCCCAGTTGCCAGCTGGAGGGCTGTGAGGTGAGCCCTGCCTGTCCTGTGCATGGCTCAGGAGGTACAGCACAGCACGGTGCTGAGCTTTGCTCCTCTGCTCCACACAGGGGTGCTTGAGAAGCCTCTGGATAAAAAGGCTGGCAGGAATTACGGCCCTCCAGGCACCAAGAAACTCGTGTACTTCATCGATGATCTGAACATGCCTGAGGTGGATGCTTACGGGACTGTGCAGCCCCATACACTGATCAGGCAGCACCTGGACTACGGCCACTGGTAGGAAGTTGCTTGGGCTTGGTCATCCAAGAGCTTTTCGTTCATCATCTCTTGGGGATGGGGTTTGAGAGGAAGTCGCATATCCTGGCTCCCTTTCCCACCCTGTGTTTGCCATTGCATCCTGCTGGGCTGGAGCTTGCTGGAGGCTCTGGGTGAGCACTGTGCACCCTCAGGCTTTCCCCTATCCCCAGCAAACAAGCCTGGCTGAGAGGAGCTTTGCTCTGCTCTTGCTGGGGCTCGTGCCTGTGGTCCCAGTGTGCAGCCTGCAAGGGGAGCGTGATGCTCGGCCTCTGTGCGCTGTGATGCTGGGAGCATAGGAAGGCCATGGACTTGGCCTCAGCTGGATGAACCCTGCAGTGAGCACCTAATACTGTTTCCAGTCAGGCAGCAGCAACAGCATTTTCTAGGCAGAGGTAATCTGAAGGGAAACCAGTGACATGTTTTGGAAGGGAGTCAGTGCATGTTACACCGTAGCTGGCAGTGCTGTGTAGGATGGGAATATTTGCAGCTATCCCCATAGGGAATACAGGGCAGTTTCCAGTCTCAGCCACATGCATACCTGAGCTTGGCCAAACACTTCTGAGTATGGACGCAGTGGAGTAGAGGCAGTGGGTGTCGGGGAAGCCAGGCCATGGGCTGACATGCAGACAAGCCTGTGCCCTGCCTTGAGGAGAAGCACAACTTGACCCCCTGAAGACAAATGGACGTCGGCCCCTCCTTGCCCCAAGGAGAGGCAGTGCCTGTTGCTCACAGGTTGTGGTCACTGCGCTGCTGTTTCCTTCTGCCCAAAGGTACGACAGGACCAAGCTGTCGCTGAAGGAGATCAGGAACGTGCAGTACGTGTCGTGCATGAACCCGACCGCGGGGAGCTTCACCATCAACCCTCGGCTGCAGGTGCATGTCCTAGGGCTTATTTTGGGGTGGGTTATTTAAGCATGAGGCTGGAGGAAACTCAGCGCATCACAGAATGGTGTGTGTTGGAAAGGACCTTAAGGTCATCCAGTTCGAACCCCCTGCCATGGGCAGAGGTGCCTCACATTAGACCATGTCTCCCAAGGGTCTGTCCAACCTGGTATCCTGCATATCCTGCTGTCATTTGATCAGCAGAAATGGTGTGGATCTCTGCAGTGACTGTAATTCCTGATGGTGAAGCAACAGACCTTTTCCCTACTTTGTTTTTCCTCACATTCTGCTGCTCAGTCAGTGGAAGAAGCCAACTGAGAAGTTCCTGGTCAGCTTAACACCTACTTTCAGGACAGTCTCTGGTTCATACAGACCTTCATTTAGCTAACATTTGCCCCTGGAACATAGTGCATAATGCCTTTTGGTTTCTGTCATTTCCTGATGGAGCTGGCAGTATATTCTCATTAAAAAGAGGTGGTGGTGGTGAAACTCAAAGACCTCCCCCACCCCCAGCCAACCCCAAACCAGTGCAAATGCTGATGGTAACTGAAGTACAGATTTGCTAAGAGATCTTAAACCTCAGGGCTTGATTCTGGGGAGCTGTGAGCCTCAACCTGAGTCATTAGAGCTGGCTTATTGTGTTCCTTACCCTTTCTCCAGCCAGGAGACAGAGCCTGGTTAGAGGTAGCCTGGCTGTACCCTGTGCCTGCAGATCAAAGCCGCTGAGCAGGACCTGTTGGCTCCCAGGAGGGCAGTCAGCAGCAGAGGGACAGCGCCCTTCCCAGCAGCATGGCAGGTGTTTGCTGTGCTGTAGGATGCAGCTTGGCACTAGGCAGTAGCGGGGCACACCCTGAGACACAGGTGCCCATGGAAGAGGAGCTGTAACTCAGTGGGGCTGCAGGGACAGATCCTGCTCATGGCACTGTGACTGTTGGGGAGCCTGGATCCTGATCCTCATGGACAAACCTCCTCACCAGATTGAGCCCAGGCTCTGGCTCCTCTTTAACAGGCTGTGGTGTTAAAATGAAGCATCCTCTGGCTGTATGTGGGAATCTTCTCTGTCTGCAAGTTTCACTTCAATAAAGGGGTCTTCTGGGAGGTGGCGCCTTCCAGGGGCTGTTTCTAACAGAGACAGTGACTGGCTCTCATCAGAGGTCAGTAGGACCTGCAGAGCTCTTCAGTGGGCTGAATTTCCAGCAAAGCAGCTGTGAAATGCTGTTGAAGATCCCTCTGGGGGGTTTGTGCTTTTGAATCCCTGCATCATTCCCAAGCTGAAGGATGTCCCTTGCCAACTGTCCTCTGCTGGACAGTCGGAAGAGAGAAATAGGCGTACTGCAAGCTATAGAACCATAGAGCATCCCAGGCTTGGAAGTGACCTCAAAAAATCACCTGGTCCAACCTTGCATGGGGAAGGGATCCCAGATGATACCACCTAGCGCTGTGTCCAAGCACATCAAGCCTCCAAGGGTGTTCTGCTTGAGAGGTGGTTGTCCATGGCGCTGCCCATGTCCGTGTCCGTGTGCTGACCTTCCCATGTCTTCTCTTCCTCAGCGTCACTTCTGCGTCTTTGCGCTCTCCCTCCCTGGCCAGGAGGCCTTGTCCAGGATCTACAGCACCATTTTGATGCAGCACCTGACGAGTGGTGGCTTCCCGGGGGCTGTGCAGAAGTCAGCTCAGCAGCTGCTTACCCTCGCTCTGCGACTGCATCAGAAAGTAGCTGCCACTTTCCTGCCAACAGCCATCAAGTTCCACTATGTTTTCAACCTGCGAGACTTCTCCAATATCTTCCAGGTAAGTGCAGCTGCTGGCACGTGGCACTTGGAGCTTGTCCCAGTGCTGTGGAGGTCTGTGGACCTGTGTTCCTCTGGCCCAGCTGGCCTGGGTGAGCAAGCACAGTGACATAGCGTGCGTGTCCCCCTTGTAAAGGGGGTGACCTTGGCCCATTCACTTGCATTCTTCATTAGGGACTGCAGTGATAGGACAAGGGGTGATGGGTTCAAACTGAAACAGGGGAAGTTCAGGTTCTTTCCTGTGAGGTGCTGAGGCACTGGAATGGGTTGCCCAGGGAAGCCGTGAATGCTCCGTTTCTGGCAGTGTTCAAGGCCAGGTTGGATGGAGGCTTGGGTGCCATGGTTTAGTGTGAGGTGTCCCTGCCCATGGCAGGGGGTTGGAACTGGATGATCTTAAGGTCCTTTCCAAACCAAACCATTCTGTGATTCTATGATTCCCTAATTCCTGATTGACTTTGGACAGGTTCCAGAGCATTGGTTTTGAGGAGTATCAGTTAGAAGCTTATTGACTTTCCAGCCTCCTATGGTCAGTGGGGAGGGATGGTGATGACTGGTTCCAGAAAGAGGTGCAGGTTTGGGGTGGGTTGAAATGCTCTCTGCCTGTAGGAGCTTTGGCCTCCTAACTTGATGAGGTGCCTGTTGGTGGGGGTGGTGGAGCTGGGCTTGTCTTTGCAAGCCTTAGTTCCACCCTTGGGAATGTGGAGATGAATGGCATGCTCCACCACAGGGAAAGCATTTGATTGCATTGAAGGAGGTGGTGGATACTTTGTGGGCTCCTGGCCCTGAAGATAGGAAAGCAGTAAGTAGTTCATCTGCTCTGCTTAGAGCCAGGACAGCTTGTTGGTCTACACTGGCACATCCTCTTAGCTTCTTGGTAGTCAGGTACCCAACATGTGCATGAAGGATGCCATTAAATGGTTAATAAAGAAATCCAAACCAGCTTTGACTTAACTGCTGAAACTGAATCACCACTGGAGCCAGTTCCGTACCAAGGGGAAGTAACTCAGCTTTAGCAGCGATTCAACAGTGGAGCTGATTCTTTTTCTCCCAAAGTCTCAGGTTTGAAGCCCGAGCCTTTACTGCTCAGAGAGCAGTTCAGAGTTTAAGGCTGATTGAGAAAGATCTGAGCAGCCAAATTGAGAGGTTTGAAGCACCAGAACCTGTTGTAAAGCCCCAGGTTGTAATTTGTTGCTGTCCTGATTAATGTCTGTTTTACAAAGTAGGTGCTGAAAGTTCGGTGCCTTGTGGTCTGCTCCATCAGACAAGAGCTGTAATAATGACAGGCAATGGGAGATCCAAGAACAGGCTCCTGCAAAAGTTATTAACTCCATTGTGTCAGGAAGGAATCAGACCTGTCACCTGTGCTCAGCTAAACATGAGCAGCCTTTGACGGTAGATGTGGGTCATGTTAAATCCTGGCTTTAGTTCATCTGTGCTTTGAAAGGCAGAGATTGAGAAAAGCAGTGTTTCAGTGGGAAGCTTTAATTTTAGCTGTGCTCTGCTTGGAAGGTGCTGAGGGTGTGGGATATTAGGAAATGTCCTGCTGGATGCTGGGCCATCAGGGTAGGGGCAGTGCCAGGAGCGCAGGTGGCTTTTTGGTGGTCGCGTTGTTGGAGCCTGGCTCCTGGGTCTCACCGTGTTTATTGAAGACACAGTTCAGCTTTTCTTGAAATCCTTCCTTATCTTTCATTATTCATTCTTAGTTATTTCCTTACCTTAAATGTTCCTGGGGCTTTTGGGGTCTCTGGATTTCCCGTTTCTCTCCGCTGGAACACAGTTGAGGGTTCCAGTGGTGTACAAAGGCATGGGCATCTTGCTCTTGTATCTGCCTGCTCTGTTTTGGTGTCTTGTCCCAGCTGCTTGAACTGTGTTGCTTTGGAGGCTCCCTTGGCTGTAGGGTCGGTGTCTCCTCAGATGAACCATGTAGTTGTTGTTGACTTGGTAGAACTGTGAGAAATTCCATGTATTCTTGCACAGCAATGATCTCTGTTCACCATTCTCACTTGGGTTTTGCCTCTGGACATAACCTTCAGCAGGATGCTGAAGTCCAAGAAATGCCTCAGCATTGTCCTCAGTGGTGCCACCTCTTCTTTGGCATCAGCTGGCCAAGGGCCACAGGATGGAGCTTCAGTTCAGGACCTCACATAGACATAAACTGGTCTCTCCTGTGTGGCAGCAGAGGAATATGTCATTGAACCACCGTGGGGTTCAATGTTGCTCCCCAAAGGGCAACACAAGGCTCCAGGGAGGTAGGGACTGGCAGAAGGGCTGGGGGTGAAGAAGGGGAGACCCAAGGGAAGAAGAAAGCCAGCAGTGGGCATTGTTTCTGTGATGAGCACACAAACACATGCAGGTCACTGCTGACCTGGAAACCCAGCTGGGTCTGGATTGCAGCATGCTTCTTCCTGCTAACAAGGAGCTTCAGAGTCTGTGATCATCTTAAACTCCTGAGCTCAAGGGCTGGTTTTGAACCATTACAGAAAGCTCAGCAAGAACTGGCTGTAATAAACCAGCTCACATTTGGTGTCACAACCCACAGGAAATGTTTAGGTGAGGAGAAGCTGGAAACCACAGTCCAGGAGGGTGGACAAGAAGGGGCTGGAGTAGGATTAGGCAAGATCTGCAGGAATGGCAGCCCTGGTGCCTTGTCCTTGCACTGTATCACTCGCTATTACTGATGTTGCTGGGGCAAGGTCACCCATCAGTCCTAAGAACCTCTTGGGCTCATCAGAAGGTGTTACCCATTACTTTTCCTCTTGAGCAGGTCCCATTTGCAGCTGTCCAGCACAACTTTACCTTACACTTCTGTGGCATCTTTTCATGCCTCTGGGTCCCACCACGCACTGCAGAGCTAACTCAATTGGTATGCTCCAGGCAATTTCCCCTTGATTAAAGAAGACAGGTCTGTGCAGTGACAGAGATGGGGATTATGCTTTTAGAAACACATCCCCTGCTGGCTCACACTGGAGAAAGCCCTGGTGCTGTCTTTCTTTCCATCTGAAAGGGTTACCATAGTATTATGCTCTAAATTATATCTGTCATCTCTGTAAAATAATAATCACAGGCTCAGCAGGGCTGTATTTTGCTTTTTATTCCCATTTCTAACAAGATTTTCAAGCAGCATGTCACATTAAGATCTGTGGCAGCTGAGGAAGAACAGCCTCTCTCTCTTCCTGACAGCAAGATGATAGCAGTGGCCCCAGGGTGCCTGGCCCCAGCTGAGCTTTGCCTCCATGCAGGCTTTGGTGGCTGGCAGACTTCATACTCCTTTGCACGGAGAAGGGGTTTCATATCTACCTGTGATTGAACTCACTAAAGACCCCTGCAAGCTTCAGGCTGGCATGTGCCAGAGGATGCCAGAGTGTTACCTGCTGCTGTGGGACAGGAGCAGGGACAGAAATGGGTGTAAGGCTGGCGCAGGGTCAGCAGCACCTTCGGTTTATGCCTTGCTCTGTGCAGTTGTTTGACAGGACTTAGCCTAGGGCTTGGTTCTGGTCCCCTGAGCAGCCTGGTTTCAGAGCTTCCCCCTCCTCCTGTCTTAGTGTCTCTGTTATTTCTCTTCCTAACAGAGATCACTGGCACAGGGTGCCCAGAGAAGCTGTGGCTGCCCCATCCCTGGCAGTGTTGAAGGACAGGTTGGAGACAGGGGCTTGGAGCAAGCTGCCCTAGTGGAAGGGGTCCCTGCCCGTGGCAGGGGTTGGAGCTGGAGGAGCTTTAAGGTCCCTTCCAACACAAAGCAGTCTGGGATTCTATGATGCAGATGCTGGTGGCTGGTTACGGGCTGCTCCGTCACACACAGCAGGCACAGCCCTGCCAGCGTGCCAAAGGGGTGGTTGGAGGCCCTCATCTTGCTGGGCTCTGGGTGCATGACCCACACACTGTTGATTGTAATGCTGGGGTTTATTATATATATTTCTATACTACTTTATATCATGATGTTTTCATATCACCACTGTCCTCAAAGTGCTGAGGATGCTCCAGGAGCCCCAGGAGTAACATGAGATGACTTTTGAAGGTCCCTTCCAAGCCAAACCATTCTATGATGCTGTGCTCAGGAAGGAGGAGCGCAGGGTGCTCAGTCCAACAGCACAGGACAGCTGGAAAGAGGGCACTGCCCACATGGTATTTACACTGCAAAGAAAGGGAAAAAGTAATTTGTCTTACCTTTTAATGCATTGGAAACCTTCTGTCCTGTCACCTGATGGCCCCAGGTGGGAGCAGGGTAAGGCCCCTCATGTTCGCTCCCAGGCTGGTGGCAGAGGAAGCTTCCTGTGCCAGATTGCCCACAGCAACTCTAGCAGGAAGCCAGCCAGCTGCAGGGTGCCTTGTGGCACCTGAGCAAGCCTGCTGTCTGGAACTCACACTCTAATGCTTCAGTCCTTGATGACAGGACAGGACCTGTGGTACAGGTCAGCAGGCTTTGCCACAAAGGTTTCAGTCTCCCTGGTGCTTTTTATGTACTTACTCATTTTAAACACGTTCAACCTCCATTTACACATCGGGTTTGGTGTGTTCTAGGTAGTGGTGTGAAAGGTCTTTGGCTTTCCATGATTGTCCTGTATGTGCAGAGGCTTCTTACTGAGGGCCACAGAAACGCTGCGAGGGCTGGAGCAGCTCTGCTCTGGAGCCAGGCTGAGAGAGCTGGGCTGGGTCAGCCTGGAGAAGAGAAGGCTCCTGTGAGGAGCTTAGAGCAGCTCCAGTGCCCAAAGGGGCTCCAGGAAACCTGGAGAGGGACATCCTCTGGACCCTCTACAGCAGCTTCTTGTCTGTCTTGTGCTGAGGAGCCCAGAATTGAACACATTAAAATGTGAAATCGAATTGAGCCATGATATTTGACATCATTTTCTAGGGAAGCCTATGGCTTCCTAACCAGCCTCTGGCCTTTCCAGCAAGGAGGAGAAGCTGAAAGATGTGGCTGAAATATAGCCATGTATTTCATCCATCACTCGTGCATCCTAGCTGCAGGCACTATGGCAACTACTGGAAGCTCAAGGTGACAGGTAGAGTATCCCCATTGCTCTTTGGAGCTGCTGCTGGTTGTGCTCATGGAAGAGCCTGGCAGCTCTGCTGAGAGGAGTGAAGAGAGCTGGGTTTGCAACGTGGCAAAAGGGGAGATGTTCAGGTGTTAAGTTAATAAAGTGATGATGGAGGTGTGAAGTGTGGGTTTTCCTCTCTCTGAGGAAGCCTTACAGGTGCTTGCATCAAGAACACAACCACTTGTGTGGCTTCGGGTGTCTTTAGAGTGACCGAGTGCTGCTTATTTTAACATCAGTTGAGGACCTGATGGGTTTCACCTCTCTCTTCAAGCTGGCACCTCTTCTCACTCAGTTTTCCTTCCTGGAATAAAGAAAAGAACAATTTGGCAGCTGTAATGACAAATGTGAAACCCAAATGATCCAAAATGGTCCAGGAGCTGGGAGGCACTGCTTCCTATGGCTTTTAATACATGGTGTATTTTATGTAGGAATGATAAGATGTTAGGGATAAAAGCTGTCTATTTAATCCATGCCATCAAAAACCCTGTGTGCTGGTTAATAGGTTTAGTTATAGGTGACACCTTTTGGGGATATAACTCTTTAATGCATTTTAATAGAGCTCATGGTAAACACACTGGGATAAGCAGACAGCAACAAATATTTCCTGCAGGCAGAATGCACCTAATTAAAATGAATGGATTTAAAATAAAAAAGAAATACTTAAAAAAACATCACCACTGCCATTACCAGACTATCTTTCTTCTTGACAAGGCACCCATAGCATGGTGTTGGCATGCAAAAAGCCACACATCAGGGCTCTGCATGCTCTTTGCTGCTGAGATCAGGACCATCAGCCCAGCCAGGCTGCCCTGGCGATGCTGTCTGGGGTCTCGAAATGAGTCTAATGAATAGAAACTGCTTTGGAAGATGGGGGATAGCAAAGAACGTGTTCTCCAGGGGCTTATTCAGAAGTTCACTTGCAAGTTGCTGTAACAGCTCAGCCTATCTAGGGTGATAACATGGATGCTGGGGGTGAGGTTTACTGAGTGTCTTTGCTCTCCACAGGGCCTTCTGTTCTCTACCCCTGAATGTCTGAAGCAGCCCCAAGACCTGGTGAAACTCTACCTGCATGAGTCAAACCGGGTGTACCGGGATAAGATGGTTGAAGAAAAGGATTATGGTACCTTTGATAAAATCCAGCTGGAGATGGTGAAGAAGTTCTATGATGTAAGTGTTGAGGTGCTTACAGGAAAAGTGTTCCTTGGGAAAGCCGAGGTCTGCCCATCATCCATTTGCTCAGAGGGAAGTGTTCTTATAGGAACAAAATCTCTGGCATCTGTGTCCTGGGCTGCAGTGCTGTGATATGAGTAAAGGATGCGCTCCGTGAGGGCACTGGTGAGAGGAGATTTGGGCTCTGTGAATGAATTAAATTCGTTTATTCAAGTGCTTTGGGTCTTGTGTGGCAAAAGCATTAGAAGGGTTGGATCCCTCGTCTTGATGGGAGCAAAGTGCAATTCGGGCACAAATACCTACTGCTTTCCCTATTTCCAAAGTATATGTATATATATTGTTTCTTTTACAGGAAATTGAGGAAACTTTAGAGCAGACCAAGAGAATGAATGTTTATTGCCATTTTGCTAAAGGGATCGGTGAACCCTGCTATAGGCCAGTTCCAACCTGGGAGGAGTTGAACCAGATCCTTGTGGAAGCCTTGGACAACTACAATGAAGTCAATCCTGCTATGAACTTGGTACTTTTTGAGGATGCCATGTGCCATGTGTAAGGAGATTTTCTGGCTTTGTAATCTCATCTCAGCATATATCTGTGTAGATTGCTTCCGTGGAGTTTCCTGGAGGGTGTAGGTATCAGTAATGGGTCTGTCTCATGAGACTCCCCCCTGTGGTCCTGATCCAGGACTGGGGCAGCAGCACAAGAGGGACGTGGAGCTGTTGGAGAGAGCCCAGAGGAGGCCATGGAGATGCTGCGAGAGCTGGAGTAGCTCTGCTGGAGCCAGGCTGAGAGAGCTGGGCTGGGTCAGCCTGGAGAAGAGAAGGCTCCTGAAGGGGAGACCTGAGAGCAGCTCCAGTGCCTGAAGGGGCTGCAGGAAACCTGGAGAGGGGCTTGGGACAAGGGATGTAGGGACAGGCCAAGGGGAATGGCTTTAACCTGCCAGAGGGGAGACTGAGCTGAGCTCTTAGGCAGAAGCTCTTCCCTGTGAGGGTGCTGAGGCGCTGGCACAGGGTGCCCAGAGAAGCTGTGGCTGCCCCATCCCTGGCAGTGTTCAAGGCCAGGTTGGAGACAGGGGCTTGGAGCAAGCTGCTCTAGTGGAAGGTGTCCCTGCCCGTGGCAGGGGTTGGAGCTGGAGAAGCTTTAAGGTCCCTTCCAACACAAACCATTCCATGATTCACAAAGCACACAGCCCTGGGAGCACATCACAGACATAGACCATACTGTCACCTTTGGGGAGAGCTAGCTGAGAGAACTGAAAGCAGGAATTCTAAAGCTTTCCACACAAACCAGAATGCTTTTCTGGGTATAATTTCACTGTCAGTGGGAGTCTGCACATAGGTCAGGAAACACTTGAGCTGTAATAAAGCAGTACAATATTTCTCACAGTCTGATGTGAAAAATTAATTAGATTAGGCTAGACAAATACTTGGTTAACTGAGCTGGATAAAGGCAGCACAGTGAAGAATGGTGCTGGCATGTCAGGCAGAGCACAGGGGGGGTTTCACAGGCAGGATCCTCCAACCGCTCCTCACCTGGGGTTGTAACGTGGGGATGTCAGCGTTTTCTTAAGGAGAATAAATTGGAGGCAGAGAGAGCTTACCACGGGAAACAGACCTGGAAAATAATAGCAAGTTCATTTGAAGAGTGAGAAAAGAGTAGGGTTGATTTGGATAAATGAGAAACATGGATTGTGTTTTCCAGACAGCTTTTCTGCCCTTCTAGACATATGAACATGTTTTAATGCACAGCAGAACATGAAACTGAACACGAATCCCAAATGCTTGGTGAAGAGAAACGTTTACTGGGCAGGTGTGCTAGAGCTGTGAGTTTTGTCCGCAGTTTTTGCGTGTCTCCCTAATGTGTTTTTCCCTGCAAACATGTCCAGGCCTCCACCTTAAAATAACTTTGTCCAGCAGGACTTGGCAGGTGGACAAAAATAATTGGACAGAGTCTGAATTGCCGGCAAACTGTTTTTCATCAGCCCTGTCCTTTGCACAGGTCTCAGCAGAGATGGGGATTGATGGCTGCCACGTCGCTCAGATTGACATTTTTCATCCCGTTCACAATACAGATTCTGAGTGAATAAAATATGTATTGAAAAGCAGTGGGCAGAGAAAAAGGAAAAGGCTGTGATTAATAAGAGGTTTTGGATGCTTCAATTTAGCTGCCGCATCAACCGTATCCTGGAGTCCCCCAGAGGAAACGCTCTGCTGGTCGGGGTGGGTGGAAGTGGCAAGCAGAGCCTGACCAGGCTGGCAGCCTTCATTAGCTCCCTGGAGGTTTTCCAGATCACCCTGAGGAAAGGCTATGGCATCCCTGAGCTGAAGGTAAGTGACTTTTAAGGCTGAGGTGATGGGGAATGACATCCAAAGCAGAACTGGCCCTGAAAACTTCGCCCTGTTGCATATTGGAGCGACACTGATGCTAAAAAGCTCCAAGCACGATATGGGACTGTGGAGAGGAGCAGTGGCTCTCAAAATACCTTGCTGAAGTGTTTCTGCACAGAGCAGACAGACCCATTGTCCCCTGCCAGTCCTCTGAGCTGGCCAAGCCTGAGGCCATCCCAGCTCAAGGCTTAGTGTCAGCCCTGGGCTGTGCTAAGGGACCCTCATTATTCCCTAGAAAAACCTTGGTTTCTAGATTTAATAGAAATGAAACCAAGATGTGGTAATGAGCTCATCCATGAGGTACCTGTTGTGGGGTAATACCAAGGTGGAGAAGGAGCAGTAGAGAGGAGGAGGAGCGTTTCCCAATCGTATCCAGTTCTTCCTCTGGTATTTTGTATCAGAGAGGGGCTGAGTGGTGGATGAGTCACTCCAGACAGCGTGTGCCTCTGCCTGGGAGTTATAAATTAGCATTTTACAATCTCACTGAAATGGTTTAAACCCATTGTAGCTGCTGGCAAAATGATTCTCATTTAAAATGTAATCACCACGCTCACAGAAACATCACCCCGTTCTGCCTGGGAGATGTGATGGCCAATGAACCCCGGGCTCCTTCCCCAGCAGTGGCACCACCTGATGACCTACCTGTGTGTGTGTGCAAGTTCTTTTCACCATGTCACACGAGCCTGTCCCCCTATCCATTGCCTGTTTGCAACTCTCCTTTTGTGTTTTTAAGCCCCACTAGTGGGATTTTCTAGCTCCTACGTGCCTATTTCTTGAGGAAGCCTGTGCTCCCAGCCAGGAACATAGCTCAATAATAGATAATAAATTAATACACTTGTTTGCAAAGCAGCTCTTTGCTTCTCTGCCTGTGGAGGTGGAAGATAATTCGCTGTTCCCTTTACTCAGTGAGGAAAGTAACAAATGATTCTTTAGTAGAAGCTTTGCATGTGCTGAATTTGTAAGAGAGCTGCTGAAACAATGGCCTTCAGGGGCCCCTGCATGTCTTGGATCCTGCTTGGAGGGACAGGAGTTTGAGCAGGATGATGGTGGTTTTCCCATCTCATAAATAACTTGTATTTCAAAGAGATGGTGTCCTTCATTAGGAGGACACTGTCCCCTTTGAAATGAAACAGCTTTTCCATGCAAGCAGGTCTCTGCCAGCATCACTGCTCACTGAAGTCCATGGAAGAGAGGAGGAAATACCCAACTGAAGAAATGAAGGGGATATCAAGGACCAACATTTCTGGTCACTTCAGTCTCCCCCAGTCCCTGTGGTGCTTTAGCCTCTCTCTGTAAGAGCTGTACTGCACCCATAGTCTGTGGCAGAGCGAGCTTTATGAGCTCCCCTTGCAGACCCCAGTCTGATGTTTTCAGTCAAATCCATTGACCTCTTGAGTGTTCCAGCCACAGAAATTTCCTTTGGTGGTACTGGCCGAGGCTTTCTTCTGATTTTTGTGTTACATAGACCTGGGCATAATGTCAAATCCTCCTTGGTAATGTCTTACAATGATGATAGCAATAGTCTCCCCCATATAACCTGAAAGCCTCAGCATGAGGATGGAAAGTGGCCAGAGGGCTGGTTCATGCTAATGAATTGCAGTTGCTTTGTTCTTGGTTAATGGGAAGATCCTGAAATGTCCTGCGTGTAGGTGTGGTACCCAGCCCATGCTCTGCAGAATGTAGGTGCAGCCCCTAAGGCCTTTTCAACCCCCAGGCAGACCTGGCAAACCAGTACCTGAAAGCTGGTGTGAAGAACATGGGCACCGTGTTCCTCATGACTGACGCGCAAGTGGCGGACGAGCAGTTCTTGGTGCTGGTGAATGACTTCTTAGCATCAGGTACGTGTCTTCCTGCTTTCATTTCCCCTCTCCCCCATTTCAATGTAGTTTTGCTCATGGTAGCATCTGTAGTTGTAGGGTATGCAGAAGGGCAATCTATGAAGTAAGCTAGAATATGGATGGGTTAAGCTCTAGAGTAAAAGCAGCACTAAGGTTTCTTTGGTGAGGATGCACTCCATCATCTGGTAGACTTTTTTCTTCTTCTGATGTCCTGTACCCAATTTTTCCATACTTCATGGTATATACTCCATATGGTGGTTATGTGTCATATCTGTTGTGATACTGCAGCTGAGGACGGAGCTAAAGGAATGTATTGACAGATGAGGAGTTTGGCCTAAGGATCCCATGCATCCTCACTCTAGTTACCTACTAAAATAAGCTTGTTCCTGGCTAGAATATTTGACTGGAGTACCTGTGGTTATTGGTGCCTTATTTATGAGTTGGGAGTGGGAAGATACCAGCTGGTTCAGGTGATCTCCATGGATGGTGAGGGGTGGAGAGTTGACAGCACAGTGGAGTGATAGCTTGTGAGTAACTCCAGAGTTGACATATGTGGCTATAAATTGGCCATCTGGTATCAGCAGCAAACAAGCTCTGCCTGTGATGGGTTTTGTAACCAGGATTAAGAACAGGGGTTGTTGTGGAGGGTGGCGAGTAGCTCCCACCAACTCTGGTGTGGGTGACACAAACATCTCATGACTCGGGGTGAAGCTCTTCAGTGTCCTGCAGCAAGGGACAGACAGAGCAGCCTGGCTTTGGGATGTCCCGGTTGTTTTATGGTGGCTTTGAAGGGTGTTCTGTTGTAACTGTGGTTGCTGTGTGGGGGTCCAGGGACAGGGCAGAGTCCTCACTCAAGGTCCAGGGAGGAAGAGGCCCTGAAGGGATTGTGACTTCCCAGGATGTGAGCTCCTGCTGCCCAGGGAGTGCTCTGATGGCTTTGGCTGCTCTTGACTATCTGCATGCTTGTTTCACTTCTTAGCATCACCGAAGCAGCTGGAACAAAATACACATTTTAGTCTTTCTAATCAGTGAGCAGATTTCTCATGAGTGCATTACCTGAGTGATTAGTGTTCGTATTGGCACTATCTTGCTCAATAGCGATGGTTTCAATCAGATCAAAAGCCAGAAAGGAAGTGAATAGGTGATAAATTAAGGCCCCACTATAAAAATCCTGGTTTGGTACGTTTTTGGCAATCAGAACTATTAACTTCTAAAAGTTTTTCAAAGATTTGAAGATGTTTTGGTGGTCTGGGAGTAATTTGACCACTGCTGGACATGGTGTTGAACAACCTCAGGAGCTGGACGTGTAACACATTCATTTCCCAACCTAAAATGATTTCATGATCATGTATGGCCTGGTCAGTTTTGAATTATAATGGCTTTGTATTCTAATTAGCACTGTAGATCTGAAAAAAAATGGACTTTGTGTTCTTTGACTCTTTCTGCATCTTTTTACCTTGTGCTTTCATGAGGAAGTTTGCTCTCACAAGTGTTTCTTCATCAGCAGAGTGACCTGTGCCACCTTGCTGAGGCTGGAGCCCATGGGCGCCTCATGCAATGAGCTGCTTCCTTGTGCTCTGAGACCACAGCAAAACCCAGAGCAGAAAACCAACATGGGTCTTCTTTTCCTAGGTGAAATCCCGGATCTCTTTCCTGATGATGAAGTTGAAAGCATCATCAACAGTGTGAGGAATGAAGTCAAAGGCCGGGGGCTGCTGGACTCCAAGGAGACTTGCTGGAAGTTCTTCATAGAGCGCGTTAGGCGACAGTTGAAGGTGAGATGTTCAGAGGGAGTCTGTGTGCTCACCATCGACCTTGCTGCAGGGACACCACATGGGGACCCTTTGGGCTACCTTGTGGGGAGGTCAGACTGCAGCCTGGAAGGGTTTCCTGCCTGGTCATGAGCTGAGCTGAGGTTCTTGCCCCATGCAGTACTGAAGCATAGATAGGAAATGCTGGGTGTTGCCATCACTTGTTGGGCTTTAGAAAGTGATGGGGGTTGAAAGGCTGACAGCACCAGCCTTCCCATTTTCAGAGCCATGCGCAGGGATTCAGCGGGGGTACATCAGGACTGGGTCTTGCTGCTTGGAAAAACTGCACTGAGGGTCTTCATGTTGTTGGTAATTCCCAACCAGGGCACTGGGTGGGACACAGCATGCTTACGGGATCTCTTCCTCTCCAGCCCTGTAGAAAGGCCTTGTAAATATGTCCTAAGATCCCAGAACAGTTTCAGGACTTCCCAGGTATGCCCAGCATGTGGAGAAAGTACAGTGCAAGAGAGTTAGACTCTTCCAAAGGTATTTACCCATCTGCAGGACTGTACAGCGCTGTGGTGCCAGAGCAGGGAGCTAGCGACCAGGCAGTGAGTGAAGACTTGACTTTTGCTCAATGAAAGCATATCCTCCTCCTTCCTCACTGCTTGGTTGGTGTTGGTGTGACACGTTCACAGAGGTAGGGTGTCCTGTTCCCTTTTTGGTGTAGGTGGGTACACAGTTAGGATGGGGAAGAGCTGGAGAGTTGATTTGTGAGGGAAAATTCGAGGACCATACACAGTATAGAGGCCCAAGGAGATGGAATCCTGTCCTACTCCCTCTCTCTCTCAGCATAGACGGGAATTTCTGATGAGCACTGGTGCTGTTTTGTAGCTCTTAGAGCACCTTGATTGTCCTCTGCCTGGTTATATTCCTGTTCACTACTGAGGTACACTGGAAGGGCAGTGTGAATGTGATTTATTTGAGGCTGAGCCCTTTTCCTTGTCTGCCCTTCTCCTGAGCAGTGTGTTAGAGCAGATGGATGGGGTCAGCTGGGAAGTGCTGTTTATTCTCCCCAGCACTGTGTGATGGCATCATGCTCTGTGCAGAAAGCTGATCAAGCCCTTGCTGCCCAGGGCATGCTGGACTTTCAAGAGCAGCGTGGCCCAACAGAGCATGAGCACCAACACACCGGCCTCAGGGTCTTGAGAGAGAGCAGGGTAGGTGCGGAAGAGACCCGGAGAGTACCTGGAGAGCTTCCTGAAAGAGGAGCACAGAGGTGCCCGAGGCTTGTGCTTGAAGGTGTAAAAATGATTCAATGTGTCTGTCCCTTGTGTGTGAGCAAGCAGTGGCCATGTCAGAGGAGCAGTAGCTTTGAGTTCTCTTCTGAAATGAAAACAGAAGCAGTTTTGTTACAGGCTGGCTTTGACATCCTCTAAAAACCAGATCTTGGCCCATGGTGGAGGTGGTGACACCTTACGGAGATATCTGGGCTGAGAGCAGCCTGCCCCATGGTACTTGCAGGCCTGTGTATGCACTTACCAGCCAGGGCTAACAAGTGGGAGAGGAATGATGCATTGAGTGAGATGCGCTGCTGCCCACACTGGCCCTTGATCAGATACTGCTGCTTCATTGCACGTTGGCAACTTGTCTGTGTTCTTCTTTGTGCCAGATTAGCAGAGTTTGTAAATCCAAACCGTGACCAATGGTGGTTGCAGGTTTTGGTCCTTGGGCCTTATTTTGCTGTTAAAGCTGGTGAAGGGGCAGTGAAGAGGAAAGGTTCTTTGCCTTGACCTGTCTTTACACGCTGATGGGAAATTTCCTTCTGGAAAAGGGAGAGCTCATGCATCCATGAGAGGAGCTGAGCAGACTGGCTATGGGGGGCATGAGGCTCCCAGCCTGCAGGGCAAGGCAGAAGGGTAAGGGAAGAGCCCTGAAGACTGGGGGAAGGCGAAATGGTGCAGGAGGATGCTGAGCAGGGGGGCAAGAGCCCCTTGCCCAGAGATTCCCCACAGACCCACCCACACTGCACCGTTCGCTGCAACTCAGACTGAAATGAAAGCCTGGAAGGCAAAGGACTTGCTGTGCAAAACTGCACGTTCACAAATGGGTTTATTCCTGTGCTGCTTTGCGTTGAGAGTGCTCTATTTAAAAACAAAAACTTCTCATTCTGCTCAAAGGAGGTTTTGAGTTTGAGCCACCTCAATGCTGGCCTTCGGGGAGCAAAGCCAGGAGAGTTTAGATCCATTCGCTTTAATTTCTGCTTGCACCACTTGAATCTGGATGCCAGTTCCCTGCTGGGTGCAGCTTTGTGTCACTGCTAAAGCAGGGAACTGGGGTTATATTAAACCCCATCTGCAGCCTTGAAAGCGTGCCCATAGCAATGCTCAGCATTTAATTGGGTTCGTTGCGGAGGAAAAACGTGTTTACTGCTGGATTATGCCTTTCCCAGGCCAGGCTTGCTGGTGTGAAGTGCAGCGACTTGAGGACAGAGGTCGCTGGTGGTGGGGAAGTGGCTGGTAGAGCCCAGGCTGGGCTGGAGCCTGGTGCCTGCTCCCAGCCGTGTCTTCTCCCCTTCTCCTCCCCTGGCTCCGCAGGTCGCGCTGTGCTTCTCCCCCGTCGGCAGCAGGCTCCGTGTCCGCAGCAGGAGGTTCCCGGCCATCGTCAGCTGCGTGGCCATAGACTGGTTCCAGGAGTGGCCACGGGAGGCCCTCGAGTCCGTCAGCCTCCGCTTCCTGCGTGAGACAGAGGCCGTGGAGGTGAGCTCCTCACCCGCCACCATCCGAGCTTGGGTTCCTCTATGGGGTTCCTGTGCTGGCCACCCATGGGTGCACGGTGCTGGCAGCAGCCGCGTGTGGTTTTGTACCTCTCTTCCTGCAAGCAGTGCCTCACACTGTGAGGAGAGTGTTGCAGAGTCATAGAGTCATGGAATAGTTTGGGCTGGAAGGGTTTGCTCACCTTTATTGCCTTCCAACACTTACCCAGGACATCTGGGTGACTGTTTCGTGAGGAACTGCTGGTGCTCTGTTCACCTTCATTGAACCATGCTTCAAATATGGTCCATATTTCATACAACCACCTGACAGGAGGATGGAGCCAGGAGGGGCTGGGCTCTGCTCCCAAGGAACAAGGGATGGGACAAGAGGAAACGGCCTCAAGCTGCACCAGGGCAGGTTTAGATGGAGCTGAGGAACAATTCCTTCCCCAGAGGGTGCTCAGGCATTGGAACAGGCTGCCCAGGGCAGGGCTGCAGTCACCGTCCCTGCAGGTGTTCACACAGCGTGGGGACGAGGCCTCAGTGCCATGGGTTAGGGGTGGCCTTGGCAGGGCTGGGGTAAGGGTTGGATTGGATGAGCTTAAAGGGCTTTTCCAACCCAACTAATTCTACAGTTCTGTGTTTCTCAGAGAGGCCCATGGGCCTTAGCAGAGGTATGGCCATGGGCACCACACGTGTGTGCTTGGACGCTGATGGTATTGCCAGTGAAATGACTGCTTTGCTAACAAGAGGCACCTTACAAAGCAGTCCAGAAATAACCTAATGCTTATGATTATTGCAGGGAACTTTTCTCTTCGCTGCCGTGTCTGAGTGTCTGTAATTCTCAAGGGCAAATTATGTCAAGTTCTCATTGATGACAACCTGCTTCTAGACTAAAAGAGATTCATTTCTGTTTGTTTAGCTTTTCCGGGCAGGATTTAGAAAGAATAAAATCTACACTGCTTCTTTTTCCGAGTTTGCACTTTCCCCATTTGTACAGAAGAAAAGCCCAAATTTATACTTAAAAGGCTGTTATTTTGTAAAGCTAAATGCAAGAAAATCTGCCCGGAATGAGATAAAGCATGAGATAAAACGACATAAAGACAGGCATAAAGTACACGAGCAGTCAAAGTTATTTTAGAGATAAGAAGTGAAAAGGGATCAACTTAGATGTTACATCCTGGATTTTGCTGCAGCAGAATAAAAAGTTAATAAATTCCTTTCTATCCAGCACAGGAGTGTGTTATATATAGTTGTTCTGTTTCAAATAGTTTCTCCTTGTCTTCTTATCTTACCTTTAGGATTCACTGAAAAGCTCAATAAGCAAATTCATGGCCTACGTCCACACAAGTGTCAACGAGATATCCCGATTGTATCTGAGCAATGAGCGGCGATATAACTACACCACTCCAAAGTCATTCCTTGAGCAAATCAAACTATATCAGAATTTGCTTTTGAAAAAGGGCAAGGATTTAAAGGCAAAAATGGAGCGGCTGGAGAATGGTCTGGAGAAGCTCAAAAGCACCTCTGCACAAGTAAGCAAAGCCCTTGGGTTAAAAGCTGGTGGTTTTCCCTGTCTCTGTTAGGGACATCTCTGCATCCTGGTTTAGAGGAGAACTTTATGGGCTGAAACTGTACAAGGGGTAAAATCTATGTTAGATCTTGGCTTGAGCTGGGCTCCTGGAGGAGCAGAAGTGATGGTCTGTACTGGGAAGGAGAAAGAAGGAGAAGACAGGGCCCTCAGTGCCATGGGTTAGTGGTGGCCTTGGCAGTGCTGGGGCCGTGGTTGGACTTGATAATCTTAAAGGTCTTTTCCAACCGCGCTGATTCCATGTGTGTCCGGTCTCTGCTGTTTGGATGGTAACTGTGAGAGATCATGGTAAGTAAAAGGAGGTAGGGATCCAGTTGGCTGTGTGCATCTTCTTTTGATGGTTAAAAATCAGCTGTGCTGGCAAAATAGCTTATAAAATACAGGAAGATCAGTGATCTATGGATTTGCATCCAGGACATCTACAATAACTTCAGCAAAACCCCTCTCAAACTAAATAGAACATCCTTTTAAAATGAAGTTGATCATTTTCCCTTGCATTGTGCTATCCATCTTTAAGGAAAATTAATGCATGTCTGAAATGTGGATTAGCTGAAATGTGGATTAGCCATCCCAAAATCCCCCTGCTATAAAGCAACAAAAGTAGTTGTTCTGAGTATTTAACTGAGGTCTTTGCAGTGCACACGCTGCCTTTCAGAGCTTTGCTCTCTACCTCTGTTCCCAAACTCCTGCTTTTCTCTCCATTTCGTATTCTGTTCACTCTCACAAATGTTCATTTACAAGCTTCTACTGTGGCAAGTGGGCCTGTCCTGAAGTTGCTCCAAAGAAATGCGGGGGTTGACATGAATGGAGGACTAGCAGGTTCATCCCCTTCCTTATAGATCTTCTGGATAATGCTGGGAACATAAATCATGTCTCTCACACTCAGTAGGACACATGCCTTACTGGAGGGTGATGTATGGGCTTTATTAGTGCCTCTCACTTCAAGCATCTCACTTCAAGCAGTTGCTTCTTTCATGGTGAGGACAGATCTTTAGGGACACAGGAGGAGAGTAGGCATGTTTCATGTCCCCTTTGCAGGTTATAGCGTCTCCTATGTAAGGATGCAGCTAAGGATGAACAGCACCCACCACAACCAGCGATGCCAACCAAAGCAAGGAGTGCATGCCCTCAATGCAAAGCAGGCCTTACACCTTCCTTGCCTATAGAGGCAAATAATTCTGCTGACCTGTGGGACATTGCTGCTTTTGATGACACCCCAGTGGTGGACAAGATTGGTTGGGTCTGTTCTTCATTGGGAGCAACTGATGTAAAAATAACCTTTGAGAGGAGTCAGGTTCCTGTAGTGTCAGATATGGGGACCACTCTGTATTCTTCATGTATATCTTCATATGGGTGTTATGTAGGCAAGTGCTCTCTGATGAGCCATGAAACAGATTCTAAGTGGTGGTGGAGGACTGGGAGGAGACGGGGTCTTGTAGGTTTTGCGGTTGCAAGGCGAGAAGTGCCTATTTGTGAAGTTGATTAAGATGCAGAGCAGTGAGGACAAATATGTCAAATTTGAATCTAAAATTAACAGTGGGGGCCTAAAATTAAACACCTAAATTATCAGATGTGTGCAATTGTCAAAGCTGCTGTTGATTTGAAACCAGAGGGTAGATACTTACCAGTATTGGAAATCATACCAGAATGTTCAATCTTTCATATGGATTTAAAAGCCTGAACTTTATTTTCACCATGGAAATGACTGGTCTTGGTGCTGAGGATGTGACAAGTCTTCGGTCTCAGGTGTATCATCTCCAGGCTGTGTTCTGTAATGGATGCAACTCATGTATTCAAAGCAAAGGGGGAGGATTTTGATACCTGGGTATGGCCAGGTTGTGCCTGAACTCTGAGGACTAATGCTCCCATCAGCAGCATTCTCCAGATTCCTGCTGCTTGGATGCTGGGACACGTCAATGATGAGGTGTACGTGTTTGCATAAGCTGTTCAGTCTGGCCTCAGCATGAGGCCAGTACTTTGTGACTTTGCTGTTCCAGTTCAACGTAACCTCTCCCCTTCCTTTTACTCTGCTCCCCCTCACATGCTCTGTTTTTGTCTTTTGAGATCTGGACTTCTTTGAGCAGCTTCCCTCTAAAGAAACCTGTTTCGTTACCTTACAAGCCCAACCGTCCTTCCATGAAGGCAGTGGCTGTCCTCAGCACTCAGAGAAGCAAAAGCTGGCTTCCAGTTCCTAGGACATAACAGACGTGGAAGCCGTGTGGGATGAGTAATTTGTTTTTCAGAGGCTTGCTCTGAAGAGGTCAGCACTCTGCTCAGAGCTCAGCGTGAGTAATTTTAGGATGACTTGGGTTAGGATTGCATCACTGTATCCCAGATTCAGGTCTCACTTGCTCTATCAATTAATCGCTGACCTTTGTGAGGTATTTGGTGTTCTTGAAACAAGGCAAGGACAATCAGATAAAATGAGCCTGCTGGGAGCCTGCCCTCCAGCTTTTCTGTTCTTGAATAATTCTTCTTACGCTCTCCTGGTGTTAAGCAAGCACTTCTCCTTCCCTGTTGCAGTCATAGTACATCTAGGTACTATGAATCCCTTGAATCTCTCATTTGCTTTGCTCTTTCCCTTTCTACTTCACATTACTAATTGCTTAGCAGATTGTCATGGACTGAGGAAGCTGCTTACAGGTTTTCCATATTTCTTAGCACTGTCTGGGACAAAGTACTGTTTGTGTCCCATAATGATGTTCCATATGCTAAGGCACATGCTGGATCTGTCCACACCTTGATCTGGTGCTGCCTATGGGAAGGAGGTTCATAGTATTGTCTCTTCTTTTTGGGAGGACATTCTGCTATCATTTTCCATGCCACCTCAGGACCTCCTTGTACTGTTATTCCCTTGTAGCTCTTGCTTTCTTCTGCTTACCAGCTGCGTGTTACCCAAAAGGCATGTTCTGCCTTCACCAGTGTTGGCAGACACTGAAAAAGTCAATGGTGGTTTTCTGCCCTCCCCTGGATGTGGTGACAACTCCTTTTTGGGGTGTCTGGGTGGTGATTTACAAAGCACATGTCTGTGGCTGCTCCACAACACAGCGTGATCCAATGGGCCAGCCTGGTTTCGCTGTGGATGTGAGAGCAGCATTAAGAGGAGCTTGTTTGCTGGGGTGGAACTGGAAGAGTAAAGTCCATGAATGAACATTCCCTGTGTCACCTCCAGGGCCTCCCTAAGGACAGTGAGAGGTTATTGAGGTACAGCTCCCATTTCACTCTTGCCACTGCACAAACACTATTAAATTGTCCCCATCAGCTGTGTTTGAGCTTTAGCCTCACTAGGGGAAAGAGTTGTTTCCTTTCATGATGCAAAGTTCTGCTGTAGCTAGGGGGGCTGGAGGTCACCATGTGTCCCTCAGTGTGGTGAGGTCTGTTGGTCCAGCAGAGCCTTAGGACACATAACTTGCATCCTTTCCACTGGGAATGGAACCCAAGCCTGGGGCTGGGCAGGGGCCTTCACTGTAACATACACATCTGGGCTTCCAAATATCTTTCTCAGGCAAAGCCTTATGCAGCCTTTTGCTCTTTTCAGTCCTGACAATGTTGGAGCAAGTCCTTTTCCCTTCCATTGCTCATGTGCTTGGCTGAAAGCAGGTTTTGTCAGGGCACTTCCTGTTCTCACAGGCTGTGCCTGGGCTGAGTTTACATCTGCTCATTCTGTTCAGTGCTCGTGGGTTTTAATCCCTGGCTTGTTTTGTCGTGGTCGTGTCAACCCCTAAAGCCCCCATCTGCATGTGTACCCAGCACATGAGTACTGATCTGGGGGCAGAAGGTCGCAAGCCTTATCTGTCATCAGCAAAACTTCCCTTTCCTGCCATCCCTGAAAGCCTGGAGCTGAGCAAGGAGCCGGCGCTGAGTTTGCCAGCTGAAGGCATTATGTGCCATGAGCCCGGAGTCATTTGGATTTAGAGTCGTGTCTTTGTCCTGGTGAACACAGCATTGTAGTGGCAGGCAGCAGGAGCTGACAATGGCTCAACTACACAAAGAGACTGCAGAGAAACCGCTCTCCACTTCAAGCTGAGGCCAGACGTCACAAGCTTCAGGTTATAGGATTGCAAATTGTGCTCTCTTTGGGTAGGAAGATGGAATTATCAACAAAAGCAAGTGTCCAACTTCCTTTCTAGTGAGTATTTTATGTAAGTAAAGATGTACCCCGGGAGCTCCAAGCAGCCCTTTATGGGCCTGACAGCAGGGCAGTGAAAGCCTCTGTGGTCTGCATAAAGCCCATGTGAAGTCATGGGAAGGGGTGGGTTTAGGAAGAGACTTTGTCTTCAGGTGAGCTGGTGTGAGCTCCTGCACCATGCAGGTCCTTCCCCCTGTCCCCACCCCACCTTTCTGGGTGTGAGCAGGTGCTCGGTGGAGCAGTGTGTGAGGAGCTGCCACCACTGCCATGTGTCCTGATGGCTGACCAGGAGATCTTTTCTCAAGCTCACGTGATATTGCATTGTAAAGCCCCTTGAGCCCTGCACCCTCTGACAAGGGCTGTACCTGGCAGCAGATCCCAGCCATGATCTTCCTGGTGTGAAAAATGCCCTTCCCATCACAAGTGTGTAGGACCTGATGGTTCCGAGGGAAGTCACGGGGTGCTGCCTCTGCCCTGTGTGTGTGGGGCAGAGGATGGAGGGGTGGGGGAGAGGCAGGGTGCACAGGTACCTGGTGCACAGGTCCTTCACATGCTCTGTTCTGCCAGTGTCAAGGTTGGGAAGCAATAGGAAGGGTAGCTGGGTTGTACCATGTCATCTCCACAGCAGAACACACATGCACAGCGCTTGCACGCTGCCTTTACTGGGACTGTGATTTAACATCACATCTCATGTTCAAAGCTGGATGTGCTTGGCTTTACACTGAAAGAACCTTCCTTGCCAATGCCTGGTCTGTGGAGAGGCTCCTGGGCTGTACAGAAGTAATCCCAGGGCATAATCCCTGCATCCATTTCAGGTACACCTGAAATTAAACCTTTTGCCTACTTTCCATTGGATTCTGCTCAAAGCCACGTTCGCGTTGCCCTGGCAGCTGAGCAGGGATGGGACAACCTCCTCAACAGCTCATCCTGCTGGTGCTGGTGTCTCCTCTGCTGGGTTTCCCACCACTAGCAGGCTGCTCTGGTGTACAGGCCATGCCCATGGGCACTTCCAGCTGTGACCCAAGCATCATGAGCAGTAGGATCCTGCTTACAGCCAGAAATTCTGCTTTTCTGTGCTCCCAGGGCATCGTCTGCTTCACACACAGGCCAGCCATGCTTTTGGGTACCACTTAGCCCCTTCTCAGGTGTGAGCCTGTGCTGCTGGGCGGGGGGGAATAGGTTGGTGGATATCCGTGTTCCCACGTGTGTTTCTTCCCTCTAGGTGGATGAGCTGAAGGCCAAGCTGGCAGCCCAAGAAGTGGAGCTGAAGCAGAAGAATGATGATGCTGACAAGCTGATCCAGGTGGTGGGGGTGGAGACGGAGAAAGTGAGCAGGGAAAAGGCCATCGCCGATGAGGAGGAGCAGAAGGTGGCACTGATCGCCCAGGAGGTGGAGCAGAAACAGAAGGACTGTGAGGAGGACCTGGCCAAAGCTGAGCCTGCCCTGGCAGCTGCCCAGGCTGCTCTGAACACCCTCAACAAGGTAGGGTGAGGATTCCTGTGGGAATCCAGATCTCCCCTCTGCTTTGGGGGGGGAGAGGACATCTGATGGTTGCGAAAATGCCACCAACTGGTGCCATGAGGGAAGAGGGCAGAGCTCCTGTTACCTGGTCCAGCAGCATGGCACTCACTGAGGACCTGGCTTGTCCTCTTCCCGTGGTGCCAGAGGCTCTTGCAGTAAGGAAGGAAACCAGCACCCCGTGCTGCCCAGGTCTTCCTCAGTGTCCTGACCAGGACAGCAACATCCTTCCTCCCATTCAGGGTCATAGAGTCACCATTCCTGTCATGTCATGGAAGTGCTCTTTCCCTAGAGAAGATGCCAGGGTACCAGCTCAGCATCCGAGTTCCACAGAGATGCAGGCTCTAAAGACTGGCTGTTCTGCTGGAGCCCTCTCAGCACCCTGAGCAGCAGCCCCACCACATGTGAGGCTAGGGAGAGCCCATGTAGTATGTGCTGAGCTGCGCAGGGCACACGGGGTGGAGAAGGGCATGTTGGGGGGCTTATCTGTGCTCATGGTTGGCTCCATGTCATTGAGCTTGTTCATAAGAGACATTTTACACTGGATGCTGCGAGGGCTGGAGCAGCTCTGCTCTGGAGCCAGGCTGAGAGAGCTGGGCTGGGTCAGCCTGGAGAAGAGAAGGCTCCTGAAGGGGAGACCTGAGAGCAGCTCCAGTGCCTACAGGGGCTGCAGGAAACCTGGAGAGGGGCTTTGGCCAACCCAGTTTATCAGATTGATAGCTTGGAAGCCTGACTCTGTTAGTGGCAAAGCAAAAGGAAAGCCCATTCATTTTTGTCTAACAGCCTCGTTTTCCCCTTTGCAGAAGAACCTGACAGAGCTGAGGTCCTTTGGGTCACCACCTTCAGCTGTCAGCAATGTCACCGCGGCAGTGATGGTGCTGATGGCTCCGGGAGGAAGGATTCCCAAGGACAGGAGCTGGAAGGCAGCGAAAGCCTCCATGGCCAGGGTGGATGGCTTCCTGGACTCCCTGATCAAGTTCGATAAGGAGAACATCCATGAGAACTGCCTCAAAGCCCTTCAGCCCTATCTACAAGACCCCAAGTTCAAGCCTGAATTCGTGACCACCAAGTCCTTGGCCGCGGCCGGGCTCTGCTCCTGGGTGCTGAACATCGTGCGCTTCCACGCCGTGTTCTGCGAGGTGCAGCCCAAGAGGCAGGCGCTCAGCAAAGCCAACGCGGAGCTGGCGGCTGCCCAGGACAAGCTGGCCAGCATCAAGGCCAAAATCGCTGTGAGTGCTTGCCCCGTGGTGGCACCCATCACAGCAGTCGCTGCTTGGGGAGAGAGCTCTGCTTTGTTTCTCTGCGCTTGTGGGATTTTAAGGGCAGGGAGGGGATCACAGAATCACAGAAGGGTTGGAAAGGGCCTTAACATCATCCAGTTCCAACCCCCTGCCATGGGCAGGGGCATCTTCCGCTAGAGCAGCTTGCTTCAAGCCCCTGTGTCCAACCTGGCCTTGAAATTAGCCTCTAATTCTCACATCTCAGATGTAAAATAGTGCTGGGGAACTTATTCTGTGCCTTTATGCTGCTTGTTTCCAAAGCTTTTAATGCCTGAACTTTATGATGATGTTAAAGCAAATGACAATCTCTGGGTTGGTTACTGCTACTCCACTGGCGTGCTCTTACAAAACTACCCAGTTTAGGTGCGTTTTCCCCTCTGCACATGGGTAATGAGACACTGCTCAGTGTGGGAGATGTATGGGGAGGTATATCCTTGCTTACCAAGCTGGGGTATCTTGGATAGCCTCACTGATGTGAGACTAATTCATACCTGCTCACATCAAGGCCCTGAGCTGTCACATACCCCTTTTTTAGTAATAAATGAGACTGTTGTGATTGTCAGAAATATTGAGTGCCTTTCCCTCTGCTTTGTCTGCCTGGGAAATACGTTTGCTGTGACTCTGGGGAGGGGAGATGTAGAAGCAAGATGTATACTCCCAGTTGCACACAGATGTATGTGTCTGTGGGGTACTGCAGGTGTCATCTGTTCTTCATAGCTCATAGGTACCCATTTATCAGACCGTGCTTGTGTAATGGGATTCTATATATACAAGTGTACGTCTGCACGTACATTCTTATGCTTGCAGAAACAGAACCTTTTTGTGTTATTAATTCCAAAGCAGGTCAAGGAGAGACAGCTTTGTGTTCCCCAGTATCCAAGAGAGCTACAGATGCCCAATATGATCCTTTTCCATTTCCAGCTTTGTTTCTGGTGGTAGCTCAACCAGTGTTAAAGTGATTTACAAGCAGTTTAGCCTTAAGCAGTTTGCATTGGGTGCAGATAAAATCAATTATTACTTTTCTTATCAGAAGTGAGATGTTCCAAGTGCTCATGGGAGCTCCTGATTTGGTTTAGACCAGAGTGTGAACAGCTCTGTCCAAGCAAAGGGCTTTTTTCTTCCAGGTGGTTTGGGCCCTTTCTGCCCCTTCTCAGCCCCAAAGCACTTTGCAGCCAACCTGCATGTGAGATGGTCCCAGCTAGTGCTGGTTGGGCTCCTCTGCAGGAACCTCCCAGGGGACACGCTCAGGAGCAGAACAGTTTTATTGATTCCCTTGTTATATTCCCTTCTAGAAATAGGGTGTGAGAGGAATGGCTTGGACATGGTTCAATACCTGCAGCTGCCCAAGGCATCCCCTGGGGACTTGAGCACAACTTGGTGAGGCAGCCTCAAGGGCTGCACTGGGACCAAGGGAGCTGCAGCATCAGGAAACATGGAGTGCTGTTCTCTCAGCTGCCCCCTCACTGTTCAGCTATAGCACCGGTCATTCATACTTGGTCTCAATGGGACCCCCTTTCCCAGTTTAAATTCACACTAGGGCAGAGCCCCACATAAAGGAGCTTTACGTGTTCTTTGCCTTGGCCCTGTGCTGAGGATGTGAATTACAAGCACATAAAATAACACAGCACATCACTGCTCTGTGCTGGCTCCTGATGCCACAACAACTGCCTAGCGGCTGCACCCTGGGCAGTGATGGTGCTGCGTGTGGTGGTGGAGCTTGGCCGGCACTGCCCATGGGGTGAACGGTCTCTGGGGAAGGGTTTTCCTTCAAACTGTGCTCTTCTTGTCTCCCTGTCTGCATGCGCAGCGCCTCAACGAGAACCTGCGGAAGCTCACAGCCAAGTTTGAGAAGGCCACTTCAGACAAACTCAAATGTCAGCAAGAAGCTGAAGCCACAGCGTGTACCATCGCGCTTGCAAATCGCCTGGTGAGTGTCAGCAGATGCAGCTCCCGTGGCATGAATGGGAGGTATCGGGTGCTGCTGCGATGTGAACCACGTGCACGCGGTACGTGACATCCTCTCCTTTGTGGGGAATGCATTTCCTGCCCTGCAGCGAGCTTCAGGAATGGAAATGATTTTGCCTTGGCTCTTTGCATCCACTGCTCGTGTTTAAAGAGACCAGTTGTACTCTCTTCACAGCTCTCATCTCCTTTCTGTTACCTGAATGTGTGATCAAGTACTGATGGGCCCAAACTGGGTGACTTAAACATCGGATGGGTAAAATAAAGGTGGGAATATGCCAGTAGCTTTGCAGGTTCTGGACTGAGAAGCAGTGATTAGCCCCATAAAAGCAGTATCTGTCCCTGTTCTCAGGCCATCAGTATGCATCACCTGTTGTATCTTCATGCAGCCCCCTTGTCTTCAGTGGGGGCAATGCCCTTGGCATTGCTTCACCCATTAAAGACTGAGAGATGGCAGCTACTGGTCCCACTGTCCTCTCAGCTGGAGCCTCAGCTCACATCCAGTGCTGCCATTACCCATAACAACCTTGTGCTTTGGCTTCTGCACTGGCTGTTAGCTTGGAGCAAGCCACATTTCCTCCTAGCAAAGAAACAGACTGCAGGAGACTGTCCCATGCATGAGCTGTGCCTGGGGGGGTTGGAGTTGGTTCTAGCAGCCAGATCTGCTGACTCAAGCTCACCCTCCAGCACCCAAAGGCAGCATTGACATCATCTGCATGGAGAACCTCAACTCTTCTGTGCTTTCAAAACATCTGACTCGCTGTGCCTGCAGGGGCTGGAGCAGCTCTGCCCTGGAGCCAGGCTGAGAGAGCTGGGCTGGGTCAGCCTGGAGAAGAGAAGGCTCCTGAAGGGGAGACCTGAGAGCAGCTCCAGTGCCTGAAGGGGCTGCAGGAAACCTGGAGAGGGGCTTGGGACAAGGGATGGAGGGACAGGCCAAGGGGAATGGCTTTAATCTGCCAGAGGGGAGACTGAGATGAGCTCTGAGGCAGAAGCTCTTCCCTGTGAGGGTGCTGAGGCGCTGGCACAGGGTGCCCAGAGAAGCTGTGGCTGCCCCATCCCTGGCAGTGTTCAAGGGCAGGTTGGACACAGGGGCTTGGAGCAAGCTGCTCTAGTGGAAGGTGTCCCTGCCTGTGGCAGGGGTTGGAGTTGGATGAGCTTTAAGGTCTCTTCCGACACAAACCAATCTGTGAGTCTATGATAAGATGCAGTTAGCAGTAAGGACTCCTATGAGTACAGATTAGGCAGTGCACTCCCAAGTGCCCTTCCTCCCAGGAGCAGTGGAGATAAAGAGAGTGTACTCAAACCAGTCTCTTTACCAAGAGGCTGTACCTGTATGTCCAGGAGAGTGTCCTGGCCTGTCTGATTGTATTCAGGGATGGGGATTCATCTCTGTCTTGTTGAAGGTGCTTCTGCTGGTGGAGCTGGTGGCAGGTAAGTCACAGTACAGAAGTGATGCTGAATCCAAGTTTCTCTGCTCGTTTTATCAGCTCCTGGCTGTGTTGGGCTGTAATTTATATGTAAAGTATCTGTTTGTACCTATCCCAGTGCAGATAAGGAAAAACAGCAGAGCAGTGAAGCCTATTGCTTGGGATATGGAGAGTTGTGCTCAGTTCTCTATCTCCTACCCTCAAACCTTGTAATGTGACCTTCAGCTTTAGCTGGGATTTTCAGAGCTGTCCAGATTTCAGGTGGGTTTTCATGGGCATGTTGTGGGGCATCAAAGTGCTCCAGGAACTTCTCTGTTCACCCATTACATGCTTAGGTACTGGGGAACTACTAAAAAACCCCTTTTGTCTTGAATTTCTGCATGCTTCCTTTGAAAACAAATGCAGCCAGGACTGTGATAGACTCAGATGTAAGGGGTCAAAGACAAATAGCAGATAAGTCCCCTCCTGTTCTGATGCAGATCTCTTATGCAACCACCAAAGAGGTTTGATGCTTTCATGTTCTTCAGGTTAAGCCTCACTGGATGCTTCCCAAGCCTTTAATTAAGACAGGGAAGTATCTTTTCCATTTGAAAGAGCCGTTTCTGGGCAGATTTTGCAGGATGAGTTATTTCCCTGTGTTTTTCCACAGCCTAAAAACATCCAGTTTAGCATGGGATGTGAAGGTAGATTGTGTCCCACTTAGGAGTGAGTAAACACTAAAGAAGAAAATGTTTCATGAAAAAGAAACAGAGAAATGATGGTTTCAGTTCTTTTCATGTAAGTATATGTGTGTATAGAAGTGTGCTTTGCACTGAATAGGGCTTAATTTCACCTCGATTAGTACCACTGTAACAAACAGAACACATTTTCTTAACAGTGCCTGCTTAGCATGTGAATTCTTGGCTTAAAGCATGAATCTTCAGTCAGGTTCAGCGAGCTGGGCTGGGTCAGCCTGGAGAAGAGAAGGCTCCTTATGGGGAGACCTTAGAGCAGCTCCAGTGCCTGAAGGGGCTGCAGGAAAGCTGGAGAGGGGCTTGGGACAAGGGATGGAGGGACAGGCCAAGGGGAATGGCTTTAACCTGCCAGAGGGGAGACTGAGCTGAGCTCTGAGGCAGAAGCTCTTCCCTGTGAGGGTGCTGAGGCGCTGGCACAGGGTGCCCAGAGAAGCTGTGGCTGCCCCATCCCTGGCAGTGCTCAAGGGCAGGTTGGACACAGGGGCTTGGAGCAAGCTGCTCTAGTGGAAGGTGTCCCTGCCCGTGGCAGGGGTTGGAACTGGGGGAGCTTTAAGGTCCCTTCAACCCAAACCAGTCTGTGAGTCTATGATAAAGAAAAATTGTGGAGTTTGGGTTTTTGTTTTTTTTTTATGGGGGGGTGCTTATCTCTGTTAACAAAATTGTCCTTGTAAAGGAAAACAAGCAGGTATTTTATCGAGAGTCACTTGTGATGTCCGTTCGTACATGATCTTTTCAATGTAATCATTTCCTGTAAAAGAAAGATTTTGGATTCTGAAATGGAGCTAAACCACAGGAATGAAGTTTGGAAAAGCTTCCTTTGGTTGCACTTCAGGTTGGGATGGTGTGTGGGTTAGTCTGCGTTCTGATAGCACTGAATGTGTGTCCCAGGCTGCATCATCTCAGTCAATCAACAAGGATATGTTTGCTTTTAATCATGTTCTTTATCTCCCTCATTAACTGGGCCAGGGTCAGGGTCATCCCCTGCTGTACTTACTGATGTGCTTTGCTGGTGCTGAACTATATCCTCAACTGTAAAATACCTCAGTGTGTTTTCCACTTGTTAAGGCACAGTCTTGATTTATTCTGTGTAGCAGTTCAGCTGCCTTGGCTTCAAAGCCTCGCAGTTCCTTTCCTCCTGAAGTTCCTTGGATGCACAAGGTAACCGGTTTTGGAAAGAAACCTTTCCCTTTCCTGGCTTCAGGAGAACAACAGCAGCAACCTTTGAACTCTTGAAACCATGAAAGCCTTTAGGAAGTGGTTGTGCTCAAATGGGTTTGGTGTTGCATGAAGGGGAGAAACCCTGCGTGGCTCTGCCCGGACATCAGTGGGTGATGGTGACTGCTGCCAGAGTTATTGCAGTCTTTTATAGATACTTAAGTTAGGATGTTTAGTGAGCGGGTTTCAAGTCTCTCATCGAAGCAAACTGAAAACAGTAAAAGGAAACCAGAGGATGCGTTAAGGTGCAGCCTGATCTGGCATCAAGGGAACTCTGTGGAAGAGGTGGTTTGATGTTTTGGGGCAGATGAAGGACATCACTGGGCTTTCTGCTTTGATTACATTGCTGTTCTTCAGCAGCAGCTTGTTGAGGTTTATAAGCATTTTCATTTGATGGAATTTGGACATCTGCTCAAGTATGGGGCATTACTGTAGTGGGGGACCATGAGCAGTCATGTCCTCCTGTGCTCCCAAAGATGATGTCCAAGGATGCTGGGAGGCAGTTTTGCTCTGTGTTTGAAAGTGTGGAGAGCTTCCCCACATAGCATCTGCCTGTGCACACAAATGAGACAGGGTGAGCATTGTTCTCTCCATAGTTTGCCAGTGTTGTTGTCTTCTGTCCCCAGATGCTGCCAGGATGCACTCTTCCCCAGGCTGAAACACAGAATCATACAATAGTTAGGGTTGGAAGGGACCTTAAGATCATCTAGAACACCCATTGCTTTCATCATTAGAGATAAAGCAGGTGGAAATAAATCTTCCTGCAACTAGGATCACACAAAATGAAGTGTCATACAGCTGGCATAGTCTTTGCAGTGCTGAGGAAGATGTGTGCTGGGCAATGCCCTGGGCTCAGCTAGAAGAAAGCGGTGTGGTTTTTACTGATCTCTAGCTGGTAAACATCATCTGCTGGGTAAAGCGTTCAGCCTGATAGTCATAAACACTGATAACAGATAAGAGGCTGAGAGCTCTGGGATGCCAGCATCAACCCTGAGCTTTTATAAGGCAGAGAAGGCTGGTGTGGGATTGTTTGTGTTCTGGTTTTATCTATGGCTTGCTGAGAGATGAGGATACGAACAAACACACAACCACACAAAGCGCTACTGAGTCTCCTGTTGTTCTGAACAATGCACAGTCTAAAAAAGGAGTGTGATAGCAAACAAGGGTAGAAAGCCAGGTGTCATCTGCCCTGTTCAGTGTCTGCTGCTGCCACATCTCTGAATGCAAGGATTTGGAACGAGATCTGTGTGCTGCTTAGAGCTCTTGTAATGCTGCAGATAGATAAGGCTCAAAACCTCACTTTCTGCTGCTCCCTCAGTCCCAGCCCCCTTAACCCTACCCAGCTGTTCCAGAAAAACACTGGAGAAGATGCAAAGACATAGCAGCCCCGTTTAGTAGTGCATGAGCAACCCAACCAATGCTTCCCGTAGAGACCTCCATCGCCCTTGTCTTGGGACTGGAGTGTAGATGGAGGAACTTCACCTCCAGCTTCCACCCTGAGGCTCGGAGCTGTGGTTAGTTTTCTGGAGGGGATTTTCACCTCTTGCTGCCACAGTGAGGGCTTTAACTTCCCTCTTGCATGGAACTTTTTGCAACACAACTAGAAACACATTGCACAGACACAACCGCATCAAGCCTCAGGACCTGCAGGCAGCATTAGCCCCTGCTGAGCAAAGTCATCCAGACTAAACCCTGAAACTCTTGTGTCTCATTTCATATGGGAGATGAGCATGGGCTGTTGGCTCAGACGCTTGCCTGGAGCTGAAACCTCTGAATGAATACTCCCTGGGCTCCTGTTTGAAGCTTTAATGGGGGAGAACATGGCTCTTCCCAGCAAAGAGAGAAAAGTAACTCTGGATTCTCTGCACACAGCAAGGCACAATTGCCAGGGGTCTCTGTTTACTGTGGATCATGTGGAAATTATTAGGATCAGGGATGATCTAAAAGTCTGGGTAAGGCCAGGGTTACTTCTGCTGGTGGGAGCTTGTTGGGAGAGGAGGAGAAACACTTGGTCCCTGGAAAATCAGCTGTCTCTGCCTGTGGCTGGGATATGAGCTGCAGCATTTGTATTGTGGGTTAACGGAGAATCTATTCACTTAGAATGGACATCCAAGACATCCAAGAAGTCACCTATGTGACTGTGGGCAAAAATAATTCTCAGTCTTGGAAATAAAGACATTTGAGGCTGTATGAAGACCACACCTAACTGAACACAGGTAGTGTTGCTTTGGATTAAAAAATGAATCAAGGGGATGAAGACAAGTTGAACCTTAGAGTGCCCTCCTCTTAGTTTGGCATCTCATGAACTTAGATGACTTAAGGAAGATGCTCTAGGACCTAAGGGACGGGAACCAGGGAATACCAAGGGGTTTGTGCACCAGAGGATGGCTGCTGGGCGGTATTAGTGAGTGGATATGTGCTAATGCAGCAGATGAAATACCATGATGAGAGACGCAAAGTAATGCGTGCAGGGCAAGTGAGCTGTAATCATGCATTTCCATTGATGGGTTCTAATTGCACTATTGTCACTCCCAGAAGAATTCGTGGAGTCATTGCAGAGAAACAGCAGTGTAGCACTGGAGGAAGGAAGGCAAACTGAGTATTAGCAATTGGTAGGAAAAAATCAGGAAGCAGAAGTTAAATGATCATTGATTCGGATCTGTCGTGCTCATCTATCAGCAGCTTTCATGCTGAACCCAGTCATCTTAGCCCAAGTCAGAAGGCTGTAGGCGACGTAGAAAACCTACCACAAAGTTTATAATCACTTTCCTATGTGAAGAGGGGAAATGAATTAGAACTCTTCATTTTGGAGAAGAGATGGGACAGAAGCCTATACAATGAGGACTGGTTTGCAGAAGGTGGGTAGGGAATGATTGTTCACTATCCCCCATTATCAAAGAGCTAAAGATAATAAAATGAGATGGCCTTTTATTTGCCACTTCCTAAATAAAAAGGATTCCAATGACTTCTATAGGATCTGAGGTGGAAAGCCGGAGGAAGTGGACCTCTGTGCGCTCTGTTCCTGGAACTGAGATGAATGATAGTTTAGGTATAATCCTTAAGAGTAACTGCTCGCTTGAAAGTAGTGCTTTGCTTTTTCAACAAGTAGGATCATGTGAAGAACAGATACGGGGCCTCAGACCAGGGTCTGCCCAGCTTCAGCTGGACTCCAGCAAATGCCCAGGTCAGAGGAGGAGCAGGGCAGGTATATCCCATGCTGCCTGATCCCTGATACTTTCCAGCCTTCATATGCTCCACTTTAAAGAATCCATGATAAGACAGAACTATAAGAATGAAAACATAAAACTAAGAATTCCTGCAGATAAAGGGGAAGCATGACTGTAGTTGAAGTAACTGGATGGTTTGGGTAAGGGAAACACAGGAATAGAATGGAATTTGGTAATACAAGATGCAGACATGTACCTATGGATTTATAACAGATTGGTTGTCTCTAAACCAGGAGCACATTGGTAGCAGCCAGTGAGGACCGCTTGAATCTGTTCAGGCTGTAACCTAGGGAGAGCTCTGAGGTTGAATATGGCAAAGAAGACCCCGCAGCCTCTCTGCTCCTGGAAGGAAGCAGGCTGTGAGAAGCCTGGTTCACTGGTTCACTGGATCAAAGGGGCAGATTTGACAAGGCAGAAAGGCCACCAGAGGTATTTTAAGAGGTGTCTGTTCGTCCTTTGTTCGTCAGAAGAATCACAGCAAGCTGGATGAGCTGGTGTGTAAACAGGTCACACAGCTCCTCAGTAATACAATGATGGAGGCTGTCTATAAAGCATTGTAAAAATGATACAGAGTGGTGGAGGTGTGAAATGCGGGGCAGATAAATGTGAAGTAATGTCTATTGGAAAAATCAGGTTTCACTTTTCATGCCCTGCAAGGTGATGCTGAATTATCATTCAGGAATGAAATGATGCACTTAAGAGTTCTGTGAATATGAGCTCTGTGCTCCCAGAGGCAAGAAATTCCAAACCCAGGCCAAAATGGAACGTTAGGGCATTTAGGAAAAGAAGAGAGAACAAAACAGAGCAGAATCACAACCTCACAATACAAATACATTCTAAATAAATCTTGCTGTACTTCTGCCTGCTTCCCTGTACCTCAAAGGATGTGGTAGAATGGGAAATGGTGCAGGAAAGGTAACAATGAAAAGAAACCAGATAATAAAGATTGCATCATTCAGTAAAGAATTGCAAGGAAATGGATTGCAAGGACAATCAAAAGGCTGCTTCCTTGTGAGGAGTTGTTGAATAGGGTAAAGCTCTTCAGCCTCAAAAGGAGACGGCAGAGGGGGTATCAAGGGCTTGAAATCATAAGTGGTACAGAGCAGGTGACGTGAAGATGGTTCTTCACTGTTTTTCCACTGTGTGAATGGGTTTTAGCAATTGAAAAGTTCCGGCTGCTCATCAAAGGATGTACCTTTTTAACAGAGAGCATTGCTAGTCTGCCTGTCTCCTGACCACAGGATGCTGGAGATGCCGAAAGGTTGGTTTGTATCCGTGGCAGCTGAGACTCAATCATGAAGGAAAAAATCAGCAGTAGCTGTTAAGCACACAGATATAAACTCTGTTTCTGAAGGTCCTTAACCTCTAATTGTGGGGAGGTGGGAGATTGTCATGAACTAGCATTACCACATGCTCATTTGTATGGTCTTCCCAAGTCGGCTGCTGAGGGCTGTTGTCAGGAGACAAGATGCCAAAGGAGGTGGAGCTTAGGTCTGGCCTGGTAGAGCTGTTCCTGTGATTATGGATTTCAGAAGAGAAGAAAATTAACTTCTTTTGCTTAGCCAAGCAGAGCACATTGCCTGGAAAATGATGGCTGCTTATAAAACCTGGAGGTACCCAAGAGGGTGAGAGGCGAGCTTTTCCCAAGGAACAAGGGATGGGACAAGAGGAACCGGCCTCAAGCTGCACCAGGGCAGGTTTAGATGGAGCTGAGGAGCAATTCCTTCCCCAGAGGGTGCTCAGGCATTGGAACAGGCTGCCCAGGGCAGGGCTGCAGTCACCGTCCCTGCAGGTGTTCACACAGCGTGGGGACGAGGCCTCAGTGCCATGGGTTAGGGGTGGCCTTGGCAGGGCTGGGGTAAGGGTTGGACTGGATGAGCTTGAAGGGCTTTTCCAGCCTGGCTGTTTCTGTGATTCTCTTGGAGCTGGAGGAGTCTTTGCAGGAGAACCAATGGTGTAAACTGGCCAGGAGTAAATTCGTGTAGGAAGCCAGAGGGTGTCTGCTAACCCTCTGCAGCAAGATTCTGCCAGAAACAGGACTTGGTCAACTTTGAACATGTGATGGTGGAATTCAGGATGGATCTGAAGGTGGTGCCTTCCCATCCTTGGGACCCGTGTTCTGCATATCAGCTAACATGGCAAAATAACCCACTTCAGGGGAACTAGTTGTTTGAGGTATTCATGAGGCTCATCACAGAGGTTTATGTTAGAGATGGTACTGTTTAGCATCTAACAGCGACCTGGAAGGAAACAGTATAGTATGAGCCACCCCTATCTAAGGAGGTTTGCAGAACAGGATGTAAAGGAAGTTTTAATAAACCTGAAGGATGCATTCCGGTCAGGTTTCCAAGCTGTGGTTCTCGGTTAATCAACCTAAAGCTTGCTCCTTAATTGAGTGTCTGTGCATGCAGGGATCTCTTACTTTACCAGGAGGTGCTGTACCCTCTCCAAAGCTGGGCAGCCCTCACTCGGACTGTTTGTGCACTGGATGCTCATGAAAAATGTCTTTGAGGAAATGTTTTCTGGTCAGAGCCTCAAGGAACATCCCAGTGTAGACCCAAGGGGATTGTGATCAAGATCCCATCTGCCTGGGGGAGTAATAAATTGCGTACAATAGCTGAAGGTTGTGGCTGCTGGAGAGGAGTGCACCGTGTGAGAGGGTGTAATGGGGTGTGAAGCTGGGAACTGGGGCCGCCTCAGCAATCCTCATCTTTATGTGAATCCCCGCTGCGGAAGCGATGGATCCTCCCTTGATGGTTTTAGAGGAGTCCTGGAGCAGAGAGCTGAGATTTGACTGCAGTCTTTCACTGAATGGGAGGGGGTGAGGAAGGGGGGGTTAGCATGGGATATTTCCCATCCCCAGGTTTTAAACTTTAGCAAATGACAGTTGACAACAGGAACAAGGTCTGGACTTGGCCAGATCCCGAGGTGTTTCTTACAGACCCACTGTAATGATCAGTTTGACTTGGGAAATTGTAGGTTGGGGGACTTGCCTCTGAGGACGTGAGATGGGCTGAAGCCGTGAAGGACTTCAAACAGCAGCACAGCACGTTGTGTGGAGACGTCTTGCTGATCACAGCCTTTGTCTCCTACCTGGGCTACTTCACCAAGAAATACCGACAGGACCTCCTGGATGGGATCTGGAGGCCGTATTTGCAGCAGCTGGAAGTAAGACAAGACCTGATTCCTCTGAAAACCTGTTCTTACCAGAATTAACATAAATTCTGATGTCCACAGGGGATCCCCAAGTGAGTGGGTCCCCAAACGAGGGGCATCCCTTTCCCCCACTAAGTTGGATTGAGGCGCAGGATGTAGCCACACTTGATTTACTCCTCTCTGGGGAAGATGTGGTGTCCTTGCTCCATGTGAGTGACCCAGTCCCTCTATGCAGAGGAAAATCTCCAATGCAGCAACCCAAGCATGGGGGTAGTGTGGAGAAGGAATTGCATGGAGCAGGCTGAGCTCACCACTTGGCTTGGAAAGCCTCTGGAAGGGTCTTCATGCTGGACACGAGCTCTGTTCATGCTGGACACGAGCTCTGTTCATGCTGGACACGAGCTCTGTTCATGCTGGACACGAGCTCTGTTCATGCTGGACACGAGCTCTGTTCATGCTGGACACGAGCTCTGTTCATGCTGGCCATGCCTCTCAGCTGGTTTTACCCATGCCTTAGGACCAAATGGAGACTCTCATGCTTCAAACTTGTTTAATATTTCACTGATCTTTAATGGTCCTCCATGCATTGTAAAGACAAGTGCTGGGACTCCTGCAGGATTGAGCTTTTGCACATCAGTACAGTCACTGTTATAAATCCTGGTGCAATGCCAAGAAGGCTGTAAATAAGCTTACAATGGGGCAGCGATGCCCAGATCAAATTGGTGAGGAAACCAGCAAGTTCCTTCAGATGGGAGAGGAAGAGCTACCTTTTGTAGTTCTTAAAACCAAGCCAAAATTTGGGTTCATAGGAAAAATTTAGTGAAGAAAAGCAATATTGGTCCAAAATCATGACCTGACTCTGGGCTTAGAAATTTCAGGGAAAAGCCCATTCTGCTCAGATAAGTGGCACAGAGAACGTTCTGGTTGTCACACCCACAAATGGCCTCCCATGTCAGAGGAGTGTTTCTGGACCTCCTGATGCTCTTTTGCATCAGGCTTAAGAGGGTGTTCATTATGTTCATGATGAGGAGCTCTCTTCCCAGCGAGCTGGTACCGGCAGGTTTGAGCCCACCTGGCTGGGCTGCGGTCCTTCGAGTGCATAGTGCTGTGCAGGCAGAAGTCTTTGGGTTGCTTGCATGGTTTGGGTTTGGGTTTATTCACAACTGAATTGGGAAACCTTGAATACTACATCAAAACTATCCTGTAGAATGGGAGGCCACTGATAAGCATGATTTTTGTCTGGGAATACTGTCCTTGCTCAGCTCTGTTGCAGGTCACGCTGGCCACTTGTTGCTGACACACAAGGAAGCATTTCTCCTTTCCTCGCAGGTGCCAATCCCTGTGACTCCATCCCTTGATCCTCTGACCATGCTGGCCGATGATGCTGATGTGGCAGCCTGGCAGAACGAGGGCCTGCCGGCCGATCGGATGTCCACCGAGAACGCCACCATCCTGAGCACCTGTGAGCGCTGGCCTCTCATGGTGGACCCCCAGCTGCAGGGTATCAAATGGATCAAAACCAAGTATGGAGAAGACCTCCGAGTGATCCGGATTGGGCAGAAGGGGTAAACATCAGCCTTATCAGATAATAGTACCTGTTACTGGTTAGCTGCCTACTTGATGAGCACTGTATATTTAACTGCAACCATCCCAACCAATTACACTGAGGAAAACCCTCACATGTATTTGTGCATTAACTGCTTATTCATTAGCCAAATGATAGAGATTTCTTGTTAAATAGAGGTTCTGTTTAGTGCTTGGCTCAGTTACCATGGAAACTCTTCTGAAGCTGAGAATGGAGCGAGCCATTCTCAGCTGGAAGCTGAGCTACATGTAGGACTGTGGCATCCTCCATTGGGCTCAACTTCTAGAATCATAGAATAGCTTGGGTTGGAAAGGACCTTTCTCACCTAGTTCTTTCATAGATTCATAGACTCAGAGGTTGGTTTGTGTTGGAAGGGACCTTAAAGCTCCTCCAGCTCCAGCCCCTGCCACGGGCAGAGACACCTTCCACTAGAGCAGCTTGCTCCAAGCCCCTGTCTCCAACCTGCCCTTGAACACTGCCAGGGATGGGGCAGCCCCAGCTTCTCTGGGCACCCTGTGCCAGCGCCTCAGCACCCTCACAGGGAAGAGCTTCTGCCTTAGATCTAACCTGAACTTCCCCTGTGTCAGTTTGAACCCATCACCCCTTGTCCTATCTCTACAGTCCCTAATGAAGGTCCCTCTCCAGCATCCTTGTAGGCCCCCTTATGTGTCATGTCCTGACTCAGTTTCACCCAGGGGGGTGAGTAGGGCTTTCTACTTAAAAGAAGAGACTGGGCCAGGCCATGGAGAGAGAAGCTGCCATGAGGGTCACCATGTCCTCAAGAGCAGCTGGGTGAACCCTGCTCCCATGCTGGCACCAGCTAGGAGGTTCTTATTGCAGCATTTACAGTGATGTGGCTAAATCTTCTATGGGAAGGCTTTTCCCTCCTGGCTCTTATCAGCAGGCTGGTCTTCTGCTGTCTCAGTTTGCCCCTATTTCTACCCACTATGGAGGAGTCCCAGCTGGGATGGAAAAGACCCAGAGCCAAATCTCTGCCTGAGTAGGAGCTCTGAGATTATTTCTTTTAATAAAGAGCAAAGCATTGGCAACAGGCGAGAGGGACCCAAGCTTAGTGCTTGTATGTGGGTTTAGAGATGTCTTGGGGTTGCCCAGGTTGTTTTGCTGCTGTCTCCTCTTCTTTCATCATAGAGAAGAACAAGAAGTTACTAGATTTGATCTTGTGTGGGATGAAAATACAGCTCAGTTTTCATTAGAGCACATTTTTGTTTCCTGGCCAACCTGGTCAGCATGCCTTGCAGTTATCCAAAGCAGTACGTAGCAAGGTAAGGATCCCAGAGGAGGCACCCTAATACAAACCTCCAAGGTGGAACAGGAGGAATAGACCCTGTAATATCCATGTGCTGCCATTACAGCTTGGTGGACAAACACAGCATCTCTTTTTCCCCTCCTCCCCAGCCACACACCAGGCCAGCAGGTACTTAAGGGAGGAGTTCTGTGTGTTGCTGTGATGTCTCAGGGCCACTGGCTAAAAGCATCATTTACTGCCCCATTACAGTAAATAAGGGAGTGTTTCAACATCTGGCACATGGTGCTTCTTTGCTTTCAAATGCTTTATGAAGTTTAAACCCACCCCTTTCTCTCCTTCAGGAAAGGGCCATTGAGGAGCTTTAGGGTCAGTTGCTGTCACTCTCTCTATTTCTGTGTATAAAGTCTTTCTGGACTCAAAAAAGTAGGTGCTGCTGATCGAGGATGGGCTTTGCGTTACGTCAACATATTCCTTTAAAGGCTGGTTTAAAGGGCACTCTGAGCTTCTTGTCTTTGATCTTTCTGTCACCTCTCGAGGTCTCAAACTCTCTAGCTTAGATGGGGAACCTAAATTTAGCCAGTAGAGTTAGCTGGACCCATTCAGTGCAGCAGTGATGCTGTTACCAGCAGCTGGAGCATCCTCACCTCCTGCCCAGGGCCCTTCTCTCCTTTTTCAGGGAAGGGAGTTGGGTGAAGTGCAGAGCAGCCCTGAAGGAGAGAGCAACAAGCACCTGACCCTGCTCTTCCTGGTACAAAGCATCCCAATGCAGGGCATCTCCAATTCCCAGTTAGGCACTGGGCAAAGGGGTCCAATTCCCTCATGAGGAACGAAGCTGTACTGAATGTGACCCTAAACCCTGGGCAAAATGGAGCTGAAACTTGCTCTTCATCCTTGTTTTTGTTCAATATGAACTGCACCAGTGGGTTCAGGGGAAGCAGAGTATTTGTCAGTAACAGCTCCAAGTTGTCCTATCCTTGTTTTCTGATGGCCAGGATCTTTTCCCAGGAAAGAAGAAACAGTTCCTATTGCTTGTCCTTTGGAGGTCTGAGACCTAATTCTCTTTGGACAGCCAAGACTCTGCCATGCCACTTTTTGCTCCATATGTTGAAACCATCTTCACCTTTGTTCTGTCTTGCAACTGCTGGCACATGCACGTAGCTGCCATTGCAGTGTGGAGCATCCTCTGTCCCCCTGGCATCCTCCTTGCTGCAAAGCGTCGCATCCCGCTTTGCTGCAGTGGGTACCAGTGCTGTTTCCCGTAGGTATCTGGACAGGCTGGAACAAGCCCTGGCTGCAGGAGAGCTGGTTTTGATTGAAAACCTGGAGGAATTCGTGGATCCAGTTTTGGGGCCGTTACTGGGGCGAGAAACGATCAAGAAAGGAAGGTGAGCTTCGGGGAGGTTTAACGGTGCGTGTGAATGGGCTCTTTATGCTGTTGTGCTTTCTCTTCCTGACCTCAGACTGTGGGTGTTCATACACAGCAGCACTAACACCCTGCCTTCAGAAGGGAGGGCGTTTTAAATCAGTCAGTCACAGGTAATTCAGCCATAGGGAATAAACCTCCATGTTCCATTTTGTTGGACAGCGTCATTCAAACCTCCTGGAAAAGAGAGGCCTGTAATTCTGACCTTGGGGGCTGTATTTGGCTCTCCTGCCATTGAATTATTACGAGAGTAGCTGTTGCTGGTGTGAGAAAAAGTAACCTTGGATTTTAGCAACCACTGCACCTCACTTAGGAATACAGCGACAGGGTTAAGCATCAGGAATGTATAAGTGCTTGTAATGAGGTCATGTTCATGGCAGATGCAGGTCACCCTCCAACCCAGAGAGCAGCAAGAGGGACTTCAGTTTTCCCTTCTTTCTGTCCGTAAAGTAACGGAAACACGTGTCTAGTGTATGCTTCAATAATGGGAACAAGTTAAACTGTGTGCTCAGCGCTGAAGGTGATTCAGGGGCTGTTTTGATGTTGTTTTGCTGGCTTTCACAGAGTGGAGTCTGCCTTTAGAAGGATGTGCATCCTTTGGGGTGCTGGAAGTCTCTGCCATGGACAGCTCTGCTGCTCACAGGAGCCTGGCATGGGCTGAGCTCTGTGCCTGCTGCAGTAAAGAATGAAAAGCTGCTAAGCTCTGCTTTTTACATTGCTTAAGTTCTTTGAGGAGCATTTCCCCACTGGCCTAAAATATCCTGGGGTGATGTGAACTGCTGGGAAAGGCAAGCTGCGAAAGCCTGCACGGTAAAACATCGTGAGGAGCAGGGCTCATTGTGGGGAGGTGCAGGAGGGCTCCTTTCAGAGGTGATGATGGCCCTAGTGAAGGGGATTGAAACATTTGAAAGTGGAGATGGGGCTACAGCAGAGCTGGTGTGACTCCTGAGCCCCCTGCAGGGAAAAGCTCCGTCATCCCCTTTGGGGACTGGGTGTCCCTGCCCTCAGAACTCCCTGTGAGATCGCATCTTTCTTAAGAAGATGGAAAATAAGTCTGAAATAAGAAGTCATTGGGGTTTGTAATTCCCAGGACATGAGCCTAGGAATCACAGAACCCCCCCCACAGATGCTGGTAGACCCAGAGCAAGAGGGTTTTCTGAAGTCAGGGCTCTCGGCATTACTTCTGGGTGATTTCTCTCTGCCTCAGTTTCACAGCTGTAAAAGCAGAGGTAGCCAAGAGGACACCAAGGGAGCTGACTGGGAAGTGTATTCAAATTCCCATCATAGGCCAGCTGCATCCCTGAAAGCATTTCCAGTTTCTCTTTTCCCGTGGTTCTCATGGGCTTTGTTAAATCTGGGTTCAGAGGATGTTGATTCCTGTGGCCTCTGTAAGTTCTAGGCCTGATGTCAGCAATGCAGAGCAGGAGAAGGCTGGGTTTTCCTGGGTGATGAATTGCAAACAGCCACTACCTCATCTGGCTTCACTGCTCAAGCTCAATGTGACCACAGAGTTGGCCTGATCTGAGCCAGCAGACTGGCCAGTTTTAGCTGTGGCTACTTAAAATCTCAGTGCTGATAGGCTTTTCCTCCATGGAGCTCCAGGTTTAAATAGAATGCAGTCTCTCTGAATGCACTGACCATCCTACTGCTGGAAACTGAACCTTCTCTAACACAGTCCAGAATTCAGGGACAACTGGGGGTTTTATTGTAACTCAGAAGTGATTCAGGTGTGCCTGAGTTTAAACACTTTCTGCTTTCAGAGTGATTTCTGTGTGAAGAGTGCAAAATCCCATGCTGGTAGATGCCATGGACCAGTGCCACTATTTCTCTTTGGGTGAGATATCCTGGAAGAGACGTGTGCTCCTTCTTGTGCTCTAATTGCAGGTGCATTAAGATTGGGGACAAGGAGTGTGACTTGAACCCTGCTTTCCGCCTCATCCTCCACACAAAGCTGGCAAACCCCCATTTCCAGCCCGAGCTGCAGGCGCAGTGCACCCTCATCAACTTCACTGTCACACGGGATGGGCTGGAGGACCAGCTCCTTGCGGCAGTGGTCAACATGGAGAGACCTGACTTGGAAGAGCTTAAGGTCAGTGGCTGGGATTTGCCACTTGGAGCAAGTATAAATAATAATCATGATAACAGCATTAATAGTAATAATTCATAACCATTATTACTGTAATTAAATAGCATTTTATGTGCAAGGCTGCAGAGGTGGCTCTGCTCACCGTAACATCAGGAGGTTTCCCTTGAATGGCAAGCACTGAAGAGTCTTTTTCTTCACTCTTTTGCTTCCTTGGTATTTTGGGAACACTTAAACTGCAACTTCAAGTGTTTTCCTCCAAAAAGTTGGGCAAAAATCTCTTTCTCTTCCTCCTCTTCCCAGAAATGGAAACTGAGTTTCTCAGTTTATCAGGTTTTTCTGGACTTCACAGATTTCATTTTGTAGGTAGGATTCGGCTCCCTTCATTTGAGGCATTAAGGGTACAGGATTCCCACTGTAAGTACTGCGGAGCTGGTAATGAATTGTTTCTGTTCTGATTCTTCCTCCCCCTTATTTATAACAGGCCAAAATGTTCTCCCTCCCTCCCTTAATAACTATGGCTTCGGTTTCAAGAGGATTTTTCAAGGAAAATCCTTTGTTCCAATGGCACATTTCACAACGAAATTAATACGTCTCATACTAAATGTTTACTGAGATTGGGAATACATTTACTGCACATGTTCAGTCAGGCCAGGCCAGTTCTGTGATAATCTTTTCATTTAATGAGGTTTTAAAGCATTTTAGCTCTGCAGCCTTAATGATGCATTTAGTTTTAACCAGGCTCCTGTGTTAATGAGCCAAAAGAGGGCATCAGAAATACATCATGAGCTGGTTTAATGTGTGAGCCCTGGGTCTGGGCTGGCTCTGCGAGAGACCCGCAGCCTCTTGGCCAGGCGCCCCTCGTGCAGGCTGGGCACTGGGTTGCAAATGGAACTGGGGATGGCCACGATTAGCACAGTGGTGGCATTAAGTGCTGGGATGTTAAGGACCGTTCCTGCTCACCTCGGCAGCATTGCAGTTAATGGCTGCTGTCGGGATAAGACAGATGAATTCACTGTCATGTGCACTCAACAACATAGCCAGGCTCTGGGAAGTGGTAACTCGCATTCAGCAGCGCTTCCCTCCTGTGCTTGGGAAGAGCTGTTAGAAAACACTGACAGTGATGGGAGTTAGGGATCGCGTCTCCTGAAGTCCCCAGTTCTTCAGGACATGTGTGCTGTGGAAGAAAGGAGCCAGGGAAATGTGTTCCCAGATGAGCTATGCCACTGGCATGAGGGATATGGGGCTGAGGTCTTGCTTTAGAAAGCACTAAGCAGATACAGAGTGGTGTGGGATGTAATTACCTCTTCCTTTAAGAATATTTAAGCCCTTTGTGTTACCGAAGCACGATAATACCAGAGCCCACTATCTCTCCCTCTCATCTGCTTCCCTTCTGCTGCAGTCCTGCTGCCCCTGCAGGTATCAAGGAGGAGAAACCCAGCCTGGTATTCCCGATGTGCTGCTGGATGGGGAACAGTGTCCAAACAATCTCTTCCCTGCTGGGATACAAGCAAGGATTTGTCCCTTCAGACACAGGGAGGGGGGCTGGCAGTGGCTGACCCCTGTGGTGACTGCTGGCCAGGGGCTCTGTACTTTCTTCTGCCCCCGTCTATTTACTGATGTGAAAAAGCCACTGGGCTGTTGTCTCAGATCCTTGAAGATACAGATTTGGATCATTGGATTCCCAGAAGGAAAGGGCACTTTCCTGGGTGTGTTTTAATCCATCCTCTCTACCCTGGGACAAAAAGGACGTGTGGTGACTGGGAAAGGTTTAGGGCTCTGGCTCATGGGCAGGTGGAGGTGACTCCTACAGTACTGCACAATAGTTACTGAGCTCAAAGTCTTGTCATAGGGAAAGAAGGAGCACACGTTATGTGTAGAGCCCAGAAATTATTGTTAATAACCTAATCAAGATTCATCAAACAGCTATTATTAATCCAATGATGATAACACTAACATTGTTTAAAATGCTTTCTCAACACAGTCTGTTTCCATAATCTTTTCCTTCATTGATTCCCCATTATTCAGTCTTTCTGTTCCTTCTTGCCTTTGAAGGTGTCTTTATCTGATTGACAGGATTGCACTCTTATGACGGGTGTTCAGAGTCTGAGACCACGTTTGCCCTCTCCCATATTTTGCTTGTACAGACAGATCAATCTGTGCAGAAGAACTGCTTGCTCTGACTTGAAATTAAAGCCAGGCTAACGCAGCAGTGACCCGGCTGTGAGGCAGTCACAGCTAGGGGAAGCTGAAACCAGTTTAGGTCAAGACAGTCGAAGCCAACTCCTGAGACCTCCCCTCTCAGGTCAGTACAAACCCTCTGGCCTTTAGCTAGTCTCATCTGCAACTCCCTTTTGCAAGGATGACATGGTCCATGTGCTGCTGGTGCTGCCCATGGTCCATGTAGTCTTACCAGGACTGGTTTCAAGTATCTGCCACCTTCCCCTGATTTCACTGTTTGGACTGAAATGTCTCAAGTTGTGTTTGCTTCACATTCATTGTCTGTTGTGCTGAGAACAGCCTTAGGAAGACTCTTATGGCAGCTGTGTCATGGTGAGTAAGCCATGACTTAGGGTCCTGCCTCGCTGGTTCGTTAGGTGAAGCATGTGAAAGTCCCTGCACATTTAGGCTGTCATGGCCAATGCTGAGCTGCTTTTCCAGGAAACAAATTGCTCTGCAGGAATGGACTTGAAGAACAGGGATTACTTTTTCCCCCCTCTGGTTTGTGATGTTAAAACAATACAAGAAACCCAGCAGAAGCAGCAAGGAGAGGAAGCATTGCTGAGCTGGGAGGGGGTTGGCCATGAACCCTTCCCTCTGGCCTGTAGCTCTGGTGAACTGTTTTTCCCAATGGAATGACATTTTGAAGGGTCCCAGAGTAACGTGTTTCCCAGAAGTAGCCCTGTTATAGATCAACTGTGAAATAACAGATCATGCTCCACTGCAGAAGTAAGAGCTGATGACCTTGCTACTGCTGGAAACAGCGGCATGGATGTGGGCTGTTGTGGGGAATCCAGCACTGTGTGCACGTCAGAGGGCTTCTTTCTGCATGGTGATTGCAAGCTATTGGAGCAAAAATCACACACGTCCTCGTGAATAACTTCAGGGTTTGCAGTGCATGGTCTGGAATCCTAGCTTGCAAAATGTCAGTTCCTCAAGGCGTGTAATGTGCTTGAAGGATGGGAACACACAAAATTAGCCAAGTTAGTTTTCTGTTTCAAGACTGGTAAAATATTTACCTCCATGGGCAAGCTCCTGTGTGTAATGCCTCTAGAACATGCCTTTAAAGCCAGCCATTTATAGCTGAAATGCCAATAAAGGGCATGCTTCAGTGCACACTACTTGGGTTGACATTAACATGGAATGAGTGTGTGTGCAGCGAGTGGATGAAATTTCAGCCCACATATTGAAAGATGACTTATTAAGGAAAGAGTTGGTTTGTCTGCTTGAAACTTCTGGCAACAGCACAAATACTGCTGGCTCCTTTAAGTGTTGTGGGGTTGGAAGAGACATAGGGTCACATTTCACATTTCAGGGGCTCTTCTAGACACTGTAGGTAGCTGGAAATTGTAGGTATGTTTTCCATTGCAATTGATTTGAATTTCTTGATTGTGTCATAGAATCATAGACATATAGAATGGTTTGGGTTGCAAAGGACCTTAAAGCTCCTCCAGCTCCAACCCCTGCCACGGGCAGGGACCCCTTCCACTAGAGCAGCTTGCTCCAAGCCCCTGTGTCCAACCCGGCCTTGAACACTGCCAGGGATGGGGCAGCCACAGCTTCTCTGGGCACCCTGTGCCAGCGCCTCAGCACCCTCACAGGGAAGAGCTTCTGCCTTATCTCCAACCTGAACTTCCCCTATTTCAGTTTGAACCCATCACCCCTTGTCCTATCACTGCAGTCCCTAATGAAGAGTCCCTCTCCAGCATCCTTGTAGCCCCCTTCAGACACTGGAAGCTGCTCTGAGGTCTCCACACAGCTTCTCTTCCCCAGGCTGAACAGCCCCAATGTTCTCAGCCTGCCTCCGTACAGGAGGTGCTCCAGCCCCTGATCATCCTTGTGGCCTTCTCTGGACTTGCTCCAGCAGCTCCATGTCCTTCTGATGTTGAGGACCCCAACACTGCACATAGTGCTGCAAGTGCGTTCTCCCCAGAGCGCAGCAGAGGGGAGGAATCACCTCCTTCACTTCACCATTTGAGACATTTCAGGCCAATCAATGAAGTTGGGTGAAGGTGGGAGGTACTTGAAACCAGCCCTTGTAAGACTCTGTCACTTAAATGCAGCCTGAGGGTTTAAAATTGTCACACACTAGTGCTGTACTTTCCAGGGTGTTAGCGATTGGCTTCATTAATGTATAGAACAGCCACCAGGCTTATACCTTGGCAGCATCCAAGCCAGATGCACAGCTTTTCCACAGGATGTTTTCTGTGATAACAAGAAAAATAGGCATTCACAGGAGGACTGTACAGTGGAATAACAGAATATACCTGACAGCCAGGAAAGATACCATTTCTCTGGCAAGCTAACACACAGAATAGAGCAATCACATTTCATGGGAGAAAGCCTGCTGTGGAGGATCAGTTCAGAAAAGAGCTAGATGAGAGTCTTTGTTTTCACCATGAACAGCATTAATGACTGGTATCACTGCAGGCACAGGGCACCAGGAGATCACCTGCACCAGTGAGATCTGGAGGCTGGAATGCACATGGGTCCAGCAATCAAAGAGGGGCTGGGACTTTGCTCTCGGTTCTGAGCCTGAGATGCATTGGGCTCAGCTCTGGATCCAAGTGGCCTTGCTGTTGGTTTTGCCATCAGGTTTTTAACCCTGTGGTCCTCATCGCTGCTGTGACTGGTATCTGTGTGTTGTGGCAAGTACAGAGGTTCACCAGGAGGGGTGAGAAGCATCAAGGGATATTTAGGCTGACCTAAGCCCAATAAATAGACACTTCTAAGATGGAGATGCAGGACATGTGAATGAGATGGGGATTGAAGGTCATTTCTTCCTGATTTACTTCCATCATTTTCATACATTTCTAGTGAAAGGGCTCAGTTATCCCTGTGGTTTCTCTGCTGTTTGAGGTTTCTCTGACTTTATAGCTTGCTGGATATGGACTGATTCCCAGAGCAAAGAGCAGGAGTAAGCAATATTAACTATGATAGCTGTCAATTAGAAGCCTGCTCCCATGTGAAGGTGGCTAATCCTTACTTTACCATGTGTTTTGTGTCTAAAACTGCCTGAATGTGTTTCTTGCAGTCATCTCTCACAAAGCAACAAAATGGCTTCAAAATCACCTTGAAAACACTAGAGGACAACTTGCTCTCTCGGCTGTCATCAGCATCTGGGAACTTCCTGGAAGACACAGTGCTGGTGGAGAACTTGGAGGTCACTAAACAGACCGCTGCAGAGATCGGAGAGAAGGTACAAAGAGAGCAATAGCCTAGAGAAAAGCATGTGTGTGGTGTTATCTGTGGGGATTTCTGGATGGAACAGAGAAGAGAACATTCTTCTTTAGGTATGCAGGGCAAGAACATAGTAGAGAATAGAAAGTGGTGTAAATTGAAGTGCTCTCCATTCTGGACAGCTTCATGCCATTTAGTTCTTGAGAGCTTTTGTATGTTAAATGGCCTATTTAAGACCAAGAGAAAATGATGTAAAGACAATAAAATTGACACACTGTACCAAGGCAGCTTTAAACCATTCCAGCATAAGCCTGAATACATCACACTTCCTCAGTTAAGCTGGAGTTTAGTACTGAGCAGGGAGTTGTGATCTCAGGTGAATCTGCAAGAACGTGGGTGTTTCATACGCTTCCTTGGAGTGTGAGTCACCATTTGGATTAGCTGTGCAGTGTCAGCATTGCCACCTACCTCCTTCCCCTTGCTGGCTGGGTGGGGTTAGGTAAATGCACAGTGGTTCCCTGTGCCATGGAGGGAACTTGAGAAGTGTGTTTGTGATGCCAGGATAGCCAAAGGACTCCTGCATGGCCGTTCTCAACAGCTTCCCTCTGCAATCCTCCCGTCTTCACAGCCTGCATGGCGGGATAAATTACCTGGATGAGTTACCCATGGGGTGGGGTTGGGCTGGAGCTGCCTTTCTCTTCCCAGCAGTGTAGCCCCAGTGACTGAGGGGCTAAGTGATCCTCCACATTAAAACCTGGAATTACTTCTGCTGGCTATTCATGGTCCATGGGATGCATTCAGCTCCTTAAGGAGGGTTTACTTGAACACCCAAAGGGGATGAAGGGGAGTTCGACCTCTCAAGCTTGGCATCTCCCTCTGGAAGTGCTCCAATCTCTAAGCCAGTTGTGGTTGTAAAGCTGGTTGCTGACAGCTCTGTTGGTGAATTTGGAGTTTGCTAGAGGCCTGCTTCTCAAGTCAACCCTCACTCTGTTCTTACTCTATCACCCAAAGAAAAATGTTCAGGCAACATTTTCCTTCCTGTGGAAGTCCTCCCTGCTCTGTTGATGGAAAGCACCTGTCTTCCCCACCTTGGGCTTTTATTTTACTAGATTTATTAATCATTTGGGGGATGGGATATCTAAAAGTTAGCTGCCTAAGTCTAAGCTAGACTCTGGGCATCCTTTATAGTCAGTGGGGAGACATGGGTGCTGTCAGAAGGGGAACTTATCTGATGTAGACAGGTCCACGTGGATGCTTGTTTCTGCAGTAGACGTTGAAGCTGTTCTTTGGGGGACTCACAGTCCATCATTGTCCCTGGGGATATGCCAAAAGATCCCAAGATGTGTTGGTGGAACACCCCAGGTTAAAGTGCTTCGTTGGCAAGGTTTGATGTGCTCCAGCCAGATGTGCTCACACCAGCTCAGGTCACGGCAAAGGAGCACCCAATGGCATGTATTTTGGGCTGTGTCATGCCCTGCTGACTTGTACAACATGTGCTGAGCCCTTTTCTGCTGCATCCCTGTTGTATGGTTTGCTGGATCAGCACTGGCGTGGCGGCATGTGGCTGTATGGCTAGACACCTATGGCTGTACATAGCCAGAGCCTAAAATTGTCCCCAAGAGGCTTGAGGCTGTCACTTCATGCTGCCGAAGTGGAATGAAGATGAACAGGACTGAGATGATAATGAGGTGATTTATCTGGCCAAAGGGTTTTCACCACAGCCAGCATGCACAGCAGCTGTGCAGACACTGCGCCAGCAAGGTAGGGGTGTGTTAAGTGCTGCTGAGGAAAGGCAGCAAAGAGCTAATATGAATTAGCAGTTCTCAGCCTGGGGGGGAAGCTGCCTTGAGAGCAGCATGGGGACTGTTCAGCCCTGGGTTATTAATGACCTGCACAGGAGGGGGCAATTAGCAGGAGAAACTCATTGAGGAGAAAAACAATTCCACTTAGTAAAGAGCAGGGATCCAGGGAGAAGCCTGGAGGGGGCTCAGGAAAACAGGCTTGGGCACAGGGTGGTAAATGCAGTTAAATGGAGAACACGACCAAGGAAGGGGGACATGGGGAGCAGGCGGCTCAAGCCTGGCTGCACTGTGGTTCTAGGCCATGGGGGTTACCCACTGCCAGGGCTGATGTCTTTGTGGCAGATGCCAGCCCTCCCCTGGGCTGCAGGTTCAACTCACAAAGGTGTTTCACAGTAACTTGGTTCTGTGTTTTCCTTCCAGGTCCAGGAGTCTAAGGTGACAGAAGCTAAGATTAATGAGGCCAGAGAGCACTACAGGCCTGCTGCTGCACGGGCCTCTCTGCTCTACTTCACCATGAACGACCTCCATGCCATCCATCCCATGTACCAGTTCTCTCTGAAGGTACTTTCTCTATGAGCCATGGGCCACCCCACGGCTGCAGGAGGCAATGCTGCTGCTTCTTGATCTTGCTGAAGTTCACAGTCATCCTCTGGGGTCTCTTGGGGATATTTGAGCTCATAACCTAAACGGTTCTGCTTCTTTGGTTTTATGGGAAAGCTTTGCATTACTTATTTCTTTATGTGCCTACTTAACACATTACTCATAGAAGAAACCCAGAATGGTTTGGGCTGCAAGGAACCTTCCACTAGACCACAGGCAGGGACACCTTCCACTAGAGCAGCTTGCTCCAAGCCCCTGTGTCCAACCTGCCCTTGAACACTGCCAGGGATGGGGCAGCCACAGCTTCTCTGGGCACCCTGTGCCAGCGCCTCAGCACCCTCACAGGGAAGAACACTTCCTCCTTTTCCATTAAGGGGATGGCCAGCACCAGCTTGCAACACGTAAGTTGTGTTGTGCTCCTCTTTAGTACTCATTGGGAAAGGTTTGGTCAGAACCTGTGGCACATGCTGAGCAGAGCATGTTCCTTCCTGCCCTCTGTGGAGGGAGCAGAGTTTCAGCAGCACCTGCAAAGACCCGGTGAGGAGTGGTCTGAATGTCAAAAGAAAAGGTCCTGCTGTGTTGGCTACTGGGTTTGGGTGAGGGACCCTACTCAGCTCTGAATGTGCCAGTCAGCCTGATGCCGGTTGTCAGGCTGCGGTCAGGTTAGAAAAGGCATAATAGGCTGTTCTTCCTTTTGCTTGGATTCTTTCTCAGTAGTTGAGCTCTTTGGAAAGACACAGCCTTGCTCAGCGATGCATTAACAGTCTTTGTTACTGAAAACCCAGGAAGTGCCTTTGCAAAGCAGAACCTTACAAGCCACTTGTTCTTTTTCTCTGTACTCAGAGCCTTGGCCTGGAAGAACAAAACACACAATGGATTTGAAAGATATCATATGGGAAAAGAACCAGCCAAGTGCTTTTTTTCTATGTATTTTATGTATTTATGCACTGAGATTTTGCACAGCATTTGGAGTCATTTGCTCCATCGCTTAGTCTTTTCTTTATACTTACATTGGTTCTGTATCTGTGATGTCATCAGGGTCACAGTGCCTGTGTGGATATAGAACCATAGAATAGTTTGGGTTAGAAAGGACCTTAAGATCATTTAGTTCCACACCCCTGCCACGGGCAGGGACCCCTTCCACTAGAGCAGCTTGCTCCAAGCCCCTGTGTCCAACCTGCCCTTGAACACTGCCAGGGATGGGGCAGCCACAGCTTCTCTGGGCACCCTGTGCCAGCGCCTCAGCACCCTCACAATAAAGAATTTCTCCTTTATATCTAACTTAAATCTCTGCTGTTTCAGTTTGAACCCATCACCCCTTGTCCTGTCACTACAGTCCCTGCATCCTTGTAGGCCCCCTTCAGCAGCACCTGCTGCAGTGAAACTGAAAGTGCAGACAATCCCTTGCCTTGGCAGAGTAGTCCCAGTCGGTGTGGCCAGTAACCCCCAAGGGTTTTTGGGTATTCATCCAAGAGTTCCAGTAGTAATGTTTTCATAAATGGAAGGCTTTTTGTTTTTACCACAGGAGAAGGGTGTTTCGGGGGGGGGAGGGTTAAATGAGATGGCATCCTAGGCTAGAACTTCTTCCAGAGAATTTCTTACCTTGACAAGTGACCTGGAAAAAGTAGTTGAGAAAAGAATACAATATTTGGAGCCTCATCCACAACGAAGCTTTTCTTCTTGATATCCACAACTCATACGTTGTGATATCCACCAGAAAAATGGACAGAATCCCTTTTGTCCGAGGGTGCCCTTTGAAAGATTCATTCCTTCCACATACATAATAGATCCAGGAGTTCCTGAGGTTTCACCTTTAATCTATGTCTCCTGTATTTGGTTTGGTTTATGTTTCCTAGTTAACATTTGCAGTGTGTATAAATACATAGAAAATTATTGAATGACATGTTTTTAGCTAATAAATTCTGATGACACATCATAAAGCGTCGTGTAAAGATGCAGGGAGGTAATTTGAAACTCCTAACCACGCAGCTAAAAGCCCATTATAAATTAGAGCACACAAGATTTATGCATGACTCTGCAGCCTGGTTTAACACAACTTAAAGAAATGTTCAGTAGGAAAACGCATTCTGCCATTAATTAATAATGCAGTAGGTATCAGTGTTACTCGAGTTTGTTGAGGCATCATTTTTCCTTTGTAGAACCCTACAACTAATGCTGCCAACAAAGTCATGCCTCATCCGGCTGGTGCGGTTAATTCAGATTGGCCTGGTTATATCCTGTTGCTGGGTCCCAGTGTATGGAGCCTTTGCATTGCTCATCAGGCCTTAGGCTTTGCTTTTCTTTTTCTACTTGAATTTGATCATTTACTGATGGAGTTTCTTTGGGCAGCTTGAGAAGATTTTTGTCTTGTCTAAATCAGGAATGTTATTATAAGAACCCTTATTATCTTCAATCAGAGCAGCATTCTCAGTGCATACACCCCACCCCAAGGGAACCTGTCTGACTGGTTAATCCCACTTCCATAAGAAGATGTCCAACCCTCCTCTCTCATCTACTCCTTTCATAGATTCATAGAACCCCAGCATGGTTTGTGTTTGAAAGGACCTTAAAGCTCCTCCAGTCCCAACCCCTGCCACGGGCAGGGACACCTTCCACTAGAGCAGCTTGCTCCAAGCCCCTGTGTCCAACCTGGCCTTGAGCACTGCCAGGGATGGGGCAGCCACAGCTTCTCTGGGCACCCTGTGCCAGCGCCTCAGCACCCTCACAGGGAAGAGCTTCTGCCTAAGAGCTCAGCTCAGTCTCCCCTCTGGCAGGTTAAAGCCATTCCCCTTGGCCTGTCCCTACATCCCTTGTCCCAAGCCCCTCTCCAGCTTTCCTGCAGCCCCTTCAGGCACTGGAGCTGCTCTCAGGTCTCCCCTTCAGGAGCCTTCTCTTGTCCAGGCTGACCCAGCCCAGCTCTCTCAGCCTGGCTCCAGAGCAGAGCTGCTCCAGCCCTCGCAGCATCTCCATGGCCTCCTCTGGCCTCGCTCCAACAGCTCCACGTCCCTCTTGTGCTGCTGCCCCAGAGCTGGATCAGGGCTACAGGGGGTTCTCCCCAGAGAGCAGCAGAGGGGCAGGATCCCCTCCCTGAGCTGCTGTTCACACTCTGGGTTCACCTCAGCACACAGAGGGGTTTGCTGAACCCAAACAGTAACACATGCATTGCACTTTTTGGTTTTGTATTTAAGGGAGTTGCTTTTTTCCACGTGGGGACGTTTGGGACGTGGGAGGTGTGGCTTCCTCTTCCTCCTGCCTTTTGCTTAACTTCTGCAGAAAATGTGGACTCTAATCCCTGTGAGAGAACACAACTGGTCAGAGAAATGTTTCCTGTGTGTGTCCTAGTTCAGGCAGCCCACGTTTGCACTTCATCAAACGCAGGAGAGCAGTGTCATAGGGACCGTTGTCACTGCCTGGCTGTACTTGGAAGAGCAGCTAAAGGCAGATACAGGGGCTGGTCTCTAGATGTGGTCCCTTGCCTTCTGGAGCTGGTGCGCCACGCTGCTGGGCAGATGGGAATGCTTCGTCTGTGGCCCCACGGGTACAGTATTTGAGTGGCTTCACTTACTGCAACGCTTCAGGTGACACCCAGGAGCATGCAGGCTGCCTCTAGAAACCCTCTGTGTCTCCCCTCCTAGGCCTTCAGACTCGTGTTTCAGAAAGCCATTGAGAGGGCACCTCCGGATGAGAGCCTGGAGGCGCGCGTGCTGAACCTCATCGACAGCATTACGTTCTCTGTGTTCCAGTACACAACCCGGGGGCTGTTTGAGTGTGATAAATTGACCTACACCGCTCAAGTTACCTTCCAGGTAAGTGGCACCATTGCATGCAGTGATTTATTTCATAGGCAAAGATATTGGCATGCAGGGAAAGCTCAAACTATCACAGCCGTGGCCTTCAGCATCAGAGCAGAAAAGACAAGGGCTGGGGATTGGATTTTCTTCTCTGCCTCTCTTGCCGGTAACAGTTACAGATGCTGTGCTTGATTTGCATTGTGCTGACAAAGGGTTGTTGGAGAGATTAATACCTACTTGCAGGACCTGAAAAAAAGGGCAAAGTAAGCTGGTCTTGAAGGCCAAAGAAATGCTTGCTAAATAACTGCTGTCTTTGGCTGGTATGTTAGTATAATTTTCAGTCTACGACCTGAGCACAGAGACCTTTGTATATCCCTGTGCTGAAATCAAATTCAATCAGTTAATAGTGCTTGGCAGGATGCTGCAAAGTTGTTATTTATTTTGTGCAGTGAATGACTGTGTAAATGCCCTGCCATGGAGAATGCAAATATGAAGCAAGTTTGAAGTGCTGAAACGCTGTGTCTCGTTAACCTTGATCCAGTGATTGCCATGATTTTTTTCATTCTACATAACTAGGTGTGAAATGGCAAGGAAGTGTATGTGTCCACACACTTATAGACACACATAAAACAATTGAACACTGTATTTTGTTCATAAATTGCCTGTGTGTAAAAAGTCAGTTCATATTTTGCAATGGCAGCCATAATTCTGACCCAAAGGATGCCATCTTTTTCTAATATAGATCTCTAAATGAAGTATTGAAGTAGCACACATTGTACTTGTATCTACACTAAGCATTAAAAATAGTTAATGGGTCACTTTAAGCTGTAAGGAAAAACAGCTTCTACAGTTCAGTGTGTGGAGGCAGCTGAGTGAGGAGGCCCAGGATTCTCCCATATAAACAAGCAGTTGGATCTTGAACCAAGCACCTCAGTACTTGGTGGAAGAGAAGATGCCGGCACACTGTGGATGCCATTGCCAGGAGGCAATAATGAGATAGGGTCTGGGATCTGTGACAAGGAGATAACAAACTCACCACTCCAGCACTGTTCTTTTTTCCACAGTACAGAAATGGTATTCAGGGTTTTGGACTTTGAGATTCCAGAAGTCTGACAGTGCACATGGAGCCGTGGCTCTAGCCAGTGCGTGTGGAGCCATGTGGCTCTGGCTGGGCTCTGAGCATGCATCCAGATCTACCTCGAACATTGCTCTGGCAGTCTTATTCCATGTATTCCATGTATTTTAGACTGGATATGAGGAAAAATGTATTCACTGAGGGGATGCTTGGGCATTGGAACAGGCTGCCCAGCACAGTGATGGAGTCACTGTCCCTGGCAGGGACTTCTCAAGTGTGTTACCCATGAGCCTGGATCACAGCCCTTAGCACAGAGCTTTCCCAAACTTATATTGCCAATCTCCATACTCATTCCTGGTTCTCTTTTGGGGAGGCCCAAAGCACCTCTATGGTAAGTTTCATCACACCCTTTCAACACAGGACACCGTTTACCTTTGAGCCACATATTTGACAGCTGCATGAGTTAAATAATGAATCTGATTGAGTATATTCCTGCTCTGTATCCTGGCTGCTCAAGGATATCTTGTTTGTTTGCAATTACAGGTACTTCTGATGAGTAAAGAGATCAATGCAGTAGAACTGGATTTTCTTCTAAGGTACCCAGCGCAGACCAGAGTCACAAGCCCTGTGGATTTCCTGTCTAATCACTCCTGGGGAGGAATCAAGGTATCTGCTTTACTTGAGCTGTGTGAATCAGCATCCCATATCTCCCCTCCATGGGAAATACCTCCTGTATCTCCTTTCAGGAGCATACAGGTTGGTCCTTACAGCATTTGGTGAACAAAGTTCTGACCCTAGATGAGAAGGAGCACAAAAATGCCATAGAAATAGAGAGTTTTGTAGGTACAGGACTGTCTCTGTGGGCTCCTCATGACTGTACCCCAATGATCTGTGTGTCCCCAAGAAGGTGATTTTCTCTTCCAAGATTTAGGCTTTTCTCTCTGTAAGACAGGAATGAGAATACCACAGAATCATAGAATGGTTTGTGTTGAAGGGACCTTAAAGCTCATCCAGTTCCAACCCCCTGCCCCAGGCAGGGACACCTTCCACTAGAGGAGGTTGCTCCAAGCCCCATCCAATCTCTGATTTATGTGGTTATAGATTGTAAAGGAAATGGAGATCCTCACTGTATTTGGGAAGAGGTGGGAATTCAGTGTATCACCATCTGCAGAGATGTGCTGGGGATAGAGGAGTCGCAGCTGACAGACCTTCTGCAGAAGAACACTGTCCTGGCAGTGGGAAGGTCTAACAGCTGCCGCATGTTTGGAGTGAGAGGTGAGGAATTGCATCTGAAGGACTTGTGAGTTATCCCATCTTTGCTCTAATTTGCCAACCGATGTGAATTGTGCTGGATTTGGACCTGGTTCAGCAGGGTGTGATTGGTTGTCTGGAAGGGGTCAAAATGTTCTTCAAGTTAGGCATGTTCACTGGGGGGATCTGAGATTGCAGCTTTTGGTTTAATGGGGCTTCTGCTCAGTCTCTGGCCCTTTTTGTAGTGATGTGGTTGTAGCATGCTGCCTTTGTGTGACATCTCTCTGGTGCTGTAAAGTAGGGAGTGAAGACATCCTGCTTTCATCGGGATAGTTCTTATATTCTCCTCTGGGGCATTGTGGTTTTCCCTTTCTCTCCCTTCTATTGTGCTACACAGAGAATGGATCTGGTTCCTGGAAGGTGGTCAGGCAAGACATCTTCATCTACACCCAAGACATCCCCGATATTCTTTTACTGTTTGAATCATGTAAACCAGGAGCCCTGGCTTACGGTTCCACATGCCAGGCTGTGCCTCACCTGGCAAACACTGTCTTGTAATGTGGAGTTAAAGCACTGAGTTTCAGACTGCAGTTCAGAAGTCAAATGAAGCCGATGTTTCTGACCCAGGCCAGCCACAGTGATTTCAAATTGTAGCATGGAGCAGTTCATAGCAGGTGTGTCTGTCCTGACCAGGAGTTGTCATTGTTGACTCATTCTGTGCACGCACGTGGCCTAACTCGCATTGAAAATGTCACAGTCACATTTTCAGCCATAAAATAAGCTTGGAACTTCTCACTAAACCAGCGCTGTTCATCTTCTAAAAGGCATATTTCCATGATAATGGCGGAACTGAAAGAATTCTATACCCTTTCTTTTATCATCTTCTGTTCAGCAGTGGCATTTTGCTCTTCAGACAGCAGCAGTTTTATTTTTGCCTCTCTTTTGAAGACAAATTAAGTGTTCACTTAGGGTCAACACACATAATCAGGGAGCTCAGCCGTCAAGCCCATGAAATACATGCTTTGCAACAGCACATTTTGTCTTTGGGCTGTGCAGTCTGTAGAGATTATAGTGTACATACACATTACTGCCTGAAATCTCACACCTCTTCAACTCTGCTCTGTCCCTGTGCATGCTCAGTGGGGGGATACAGAGGGTGGATGGTGCATTCCAGTTCCTCTGGAGTCCTTCTGGGTTGGCGTTCTTCACTGCTTGGGAGTGTTCAGCACTACAAAGCTGCTTTCTACGTCAGTCCTCTAAATTTCATCTGGAAAGGGAACTTCCTTCTCCACAGGTTTCAGAGGTTTTGGGCTCTGGTTCTATTTTTAGAGATTCTTTTTATGCATCTTAGGAAACACAATGCTCCTGTAGTGCCCAAGGATGTCTTTGCTAGTCCGGACTTAGAAGTAGTACGTTCGCCAAGCAGCCGCCTAAGTTTGCAGTGAGTTTTGTTTCTGGGATAATCCCCTCTGTGCTGGCCAGTTCCATTCAGCGTGGGTGAAACGACTTTCCATGTTCCTTGTGTGCTTCATCATGAGTGTTGCAACAGCCTCACTACAGTGATGAAGTTGGTACAGTTGCCAGCTTAGGGTCATCAACACCAGAAGGAAAACAACTCCCATCCATTCTTCACGCTTTATTCTTACGTCTATTTGACATATCCAGGAGAACAGACAAAAGCATAAGGGATTTTTAGGGTATGGATTCTATATTATCAGCTACTGAACACTTCCGATTTGTCTTCTGTGACAATTGTAGCATTGATTTGGCTATAAATAATATGGCTGGTGTCAATGTTATTAGTGTTTATGTTCTATTAATGTGTTTGTTTATTAGCCTTTGAGTTTCTGGCAACTCCAGTTACTTGAGGCATGGTTTTAGTATAATCACATTTTGTCACAGACTGCTATAATTAGGTTAATTAGTCATGGCTTCTACACAGCTTATTAGCAGGCTAAAATCCCCTTTGCTTTCATCGGCAAGATTAAGTGCTATAATAAATTGTTTTTCCAACAAGGCTTGAGCAAAATACATTTCAGATTCGTAGTTCAAATTCAAAGTGGAATTTAGCATTCTCCTTCATTCTTCACAGAAACATAGAAAATGCTCCTCCACAAAGTGCTCCTCTTTGCCAGGGCTTTCAGGCCAAGGTAGCGGTGCCAAAAGAAATCAATATTGGTATTTGTGGCCCATTCTGTGCCTCCCATTTTGGGCACATTGACTTCAAAGGAAGCCTCGTTAAATGTTGAGGACTCTGGGCATGCAAGGAGCCTTGTGTGACTTGGCTTAGTATTTACTGCTGTTTGATTTATAATGCATAAAGGCTAACAGTCCTCTGCAGTTGTTCTGCTCATGATGTGGGATCTGTCTGCGGGACACACGTGCATGATTTAGGCTTCCAGCTTCTTTTCAGTTCAGTAAGACGTTTTACAGAGCTTTTCACTATAACCAGTGAAGCTCAATGTTCACCACTGGATGAAGAAACCCACTTGCCTGCCCAGAAGGGCACAGTCTGTAGGGAAGGGTAATATTCTTATTAGAGCTGCTGATAGACTTGGGAAAAATAGGTAAAATTTCAGGCTTTTTAGGTGCTTCTCTAAGGCTGAATTGAATTCAATCCAAATACAGGTCAAGGAAAACTGCTCTGAGCTTAACTTGATTCTGTTCATCAGATATGGGGGAAATAGTGGTATCTGCAGAGGCTCTGGAGCAAGGGGAGATGGGAGCAAAGGACACAGTCATTATCCTCAGTGCAAATACGGCCTCTGGGTTAGTGAAGGGTTAGTTATGAGCAGGAAGGGGAGAAAATAGCATCATTTAATGAAATTTGTGCCTTTGCTGAGTCCCTGGCTTTGGTGTTCAATAGAGTTGGTCATTTCAGTTCTAAGGCCTGTCTTTTGCCGGTACTTAATAGTGACCTCTTGAGAAGTCCAAAGTATTTTTTACTCCTAATGAGGTTTTCTGTCTTTCTTCTATTTCCTTTAGTACACTCTGTTGTACTTGCCTTACCCTCTGTGTTCCCTGGACTTAGCTGTGAGTTTTCATTTCTCTTGGTACTTCTGGAAAAGGTCTTTGTGTATGTGTGAGATTGACTTGGCTATTGGTTACCTTACCAGTAAATGTGTGGACACACCTTAGATCCCAAATGTACAGTGATGCTACTGCTTGAACTGCACAGGACATCAGGACACAGCCATGTCCAACGACCATTTTGATATTGTTGTTGCATGATTGAACTTAACATAGAATCAGGGTGGAGATTGTCCTCTGTAGAGTTTTTCCCCCATTTTTTGCTTCTTTCCTTCTCTAAAAGTTTTCCAGTGTCTAATATGAGGGTATTGATATCGGTATTCAGTATTCACTGAACTGGTGCACTGTGGTCTCTTCAACCATGTGTGAAACCCATTCTGCTTGTTGAGCTGTTCTTCACTTACCCGCAGGGCTAGGACAGACAGCTCATGTCATGGTTCTGCTCTGATCACAGGTATAGAAATGGCATCACGGGGTTTTTTGTGGTTGTTGCAGACTGTGTCTAGACTAACAAGTAAAATGGCCCAGCAGTTGTTTTCTGGCCCTGTCAGTGTCTAAATCCATACAGTGAAAGTGCCCTCATGTCCCAAACCAGGTTGCTTGCAGTGGGCAATCCTTGGCTGTGTCCAGGCATTTTCTGAGAGCAGGTGAGTTCTCCAAAGTCAAATGTGAGATGGCAAGCTGCTAGCAAACTGTGTGGCTCACAGTGAGCTCAGGCCTGGACCTCTTCTTTAACCACAGATTCAGGAGCACATCAGCAAGCAAGAAGAAAGTGTGTGTCTTCCCCTCACTGTATAGGTATGCTGGGATATGAGATGGGCAGAAAGGCACTCCTCCTTCCCATAGTGTGAGACAGCCTCACTCTGGAACAGCTTCATAGATGAGCCTCACACAAGGCATAGTTCCGCATCTTCTGTTCAGTGCCAGTGCTCCTCAGGGGTTCAGCGGAGCAGTTTGTATTTGCCTAGGAAAGGTCATATGGACATACCCACAGTCAAGCTGAGCTCTTCTTGACCTTTACCACTACTGCTAAAGCTGGTGCTCATGCCCTTCGCACCTTCATTTGCGAGGTTGCCTTGGCTACAACCATCCCTTTTTAGAAGATGAGGCTTGCTCTGAGGCCACTGAGAGGTTGGGTGAATGGATTTCCCTGTGACCCCAGGGGTCTGTGATGTAAAATTCTCCCATGCTTCAGCCCCTTCCATGCCCTTCCTGGGGACCTGTGCCCGTGTTCCCCTCTGGCTTTGTGCCTCCTGCAAACCTGTGCTCCCTGGTAAACTCTGTTTGCATCTGGCTCTCCGCAGCAGCGTGTTCCCACGGGCTGGATGCAGGCAGCTCTGGATCTCCTTTGCACAGATACTCATTTCCCAAGTCTGATTTTCTTT